TTACGCCCCGCGGTCAACAGCAATTTCTTTTCAGTGGAGTTGGAAAATGTATTTTAAACTGCCAGTGCGGCCATCAAGTGGCCCAGGGATGCTGTTCCGTGCTGTTCTATGCAGCCAGATAGCTATCGATGGCCAGCAAACCGGAAAAAAGCGTTGAGCAAACAGCAACAGCAGCATCAGCAGCATCAGCAACAACTTCAACTACCGCAGCAACAACTACAGCTACAGCAGCAACAGCAGCAACAGCAGCAACGGCAGCAACAACATTGAAAGCAAACAAACACACAAATGAATTGCGTGGATTTGCATGAGAAACTACAGTTAACAACATAACAATCTAACAACAACAACGAACAACGAACAACGAACACAGCAAGCAAGCTCAAGTGAAATGTGTACATAACAACAACAACCGAAATCTTAAGATTTTCGGTAGCTTTTAAGCTGCAACAACAAAACAACGACCCCGGCGGCAAACATCGTGAGGCGGCAATCTACTTGAAATTTCACGCTCTTTAAATAACAACAACAAGCACTACAATAGCAGCAGCAACAACAACAACAACAGCCACAACAACATACAACTTGAGCTCTGACAAGAACCTGCAGCAAGCAACAATTAAATCAAGCATCCACAACATAAATTTCATTTTCACTTGACGCATCAAATTAAATAACAAATAAAAAGCCCTCGAAAGTGAGAGGACAAGGCAAAATCACACACAAGTGTTGTGTGTACAACACACACACACACACACACACACGTAATGGCAACTAATTTTGTGTTCTTGTGCACTATATATAAATATATATATATATACACCCCAAGTGGTTGGAGGGGTTGGGGGGTCTGCTTGAGAGCTCGACGACTTTCACTTAATTAAATCAAATTTCAAATGAAAATGAAATGAAAATTATTTATTAATTGCACTACCGCAACACAGAAAGTCACTTCATGTATTTTAATCTAAGAGGGGTGGGCGTGGCCTAAGCAACATCATATATACATATTATGTATATATATATATATATTTTATTTGTATAGAAATTTGCATTGAATGAGCAGAGTTTGTCTTTCAACGTTCAGTTTTCCAAACCATTTGAATAACATTTGCTCTCTGCCTCTGTGAGAGTTGCTCAGACAGTTTACAACCCAACAAATCCTAAAGCTGACTTCATTGCTGTCAGTCACATGCGCTTGAGCACCAAAAAGAAAAAAAAAAGTAGAAAAAACATTAGCAACAACGTCTTTAGCTGCTGTCGCTCATTAAATATAAATTTGAGCTGCTGGCATAAATCAAGCTGCGTTTAAAATGAAAATGAAACAGAAAACGAAAACGAAAGCGAGAAAATTCACAAGGATAAAGTTTTTCTTATTTTGGTTATAAACTTAATTCACTCATGGTGAGAGAGCTGCTAGATTCTCAACAGCTGCAACAGTTGTCAGTGGCACTCACTTCCGTTAAAAGCAGGCAGTTTGGAGTAACTTTGCAGCATAGTTTGCAAAGAGCGAGTGTTATTAGATGATCAAATTTTGACTGCAACTATGGAAAAGAGTAGTTGATAAATTTTACTTAAACCTAAGCCCATTGTGAATAACTGCAGCTTTGTCGATAACTTTGTTGAGGAACAACTTTAAAATAGAGCAATTGGGAAACTATATTTCTCAAGTTTGACTAAGCGCGGGTCGAAAAACTTGAATTGCCATAACTTTGTCAAAAGTCAATCGATTTAAAAAAAACCAGGGCTTTTAAATCATGATTGGAGGGACTAGAAAATATAAAATTTACATGTGATTTTCCATAACCAAATTCGTGTTCAAATTATACCCAAAGCCACCGAGCCTCCTTATGCAACGATAACTCTTCATAATTGAAGCCTAACTTAGTCGAGCTTACTCATGGAAATAATTACCAAACTAAGCATTATAAAAAATAACCATAGTCACAACCAAACTATCGATCATTAGCATCGAAGGTAAAACCATTTTTAAAAGCCAAAATTATGCTGTAGCTAGAAGCCGCCGAGGAGCGAGGAGCTTTCGCTTTTTTGGCGGAGATGGGAGGCATATTGGATTAATGGAGAACACACGCTACCTTGCCACATACGCCATGTTGCACATGCCAGCTGAAATTAGCTGTCGAACGTGTTGGCAAAGAGTTTTGCAGAATAATTGATTCTGCCGTCAAATGCAATCGACAGCAAGAACTAAGCAAATATTGACCAAAAGCTGCTGAATGTTGCAGGCAGAAAAGGAAAATCGATAAGAGAACATGGGGCAGCAACAAAAGCGAATGCGATGCAAAGAAATCAGCGGAAATGTCACTTTCTTTTCAATCAAAATGCAATTCATGCCACTCGAATAACGCATCAACGGCTGAAAAATGTTGCTGCTGCTGCTGCTGCTGCTGCGGATACAAAAGGTCGTGCCACTTCATGAGGCGAGGAAAACACTCAGGGAAAAACAAAACGGAAAGGTAGCCAAAGAGTGAAACACAATTTTCAAGTGTTAGTAGTTAGTATGTTGCTCTGTGTGTTGCTCTGTGTGTTGGTGTGTGTGTGGGGGCCAAGTACTGCCACTGTCTGAACTTTAACCTGTGTGCCCATGTCGAACCGAAAACGAAAAACTAAACTAAAAAAACTAAAGCGGACGCAAGGCGACGCTTTAATTTGCAATTCGTGGAAAATTCTTTAACTGAAAGACTAGTTAGGCAGCAAAGTACAGCAAATGACCACCCCCTTCCACCTCTCCCTTGCAGCGCCCACCTGTTGCCGCCTGCCCAGTTGGCAGTTGCTTGTCCAACAACATGGTAAATATTTAAAAATGTACTTAGCCAAAGTGAAAGAGACAGGCAGAAAAGGGGAAACTGGGAATAGGCAGTCAGCCAACTAGACAGGCAACAAGCCCCCCAAGATCCGACGACGAGGAGCATTGAGGCGACAGTTGCACAATTTGGACAGATGCGACAAACAGCTGACTACACGGCTAAGTTGTGGCAGACAACCAACTTGCAGATTTGCAGACCCAATCCCCAAGTTTCAGTTCCAACTCCAGGTTCAGCTACAACAAGACTCAATAATAATGCCAGAGCCAGTGTAAATCACTGTGCTAAGAAAGCAGCGAAATGGGAGGGGATGGCAGGGCACAACTGCTTTGGGGGCTTCAACTCCGAATGCAAATGATTGGCATGGGAAGCGCTCTTTTCTGGGTGAAGTGAAGTGAAGCCAGCAACAACAACAGCATCGAGGAGAGTTTAAGAGGCGACTAAGCTAAAGTTAAGTTCAATTATGTGCTAAGTAGCAAGGAGCCAACAGCAACAAGTTGCAACAACAATAGCAACAATAGCAACAACAGCAACTAGCTGCTACAAGGCGCAATTAGTGAGGAAAATTGCTAACAAACTGAGTGAGAGTTGAGCTTTAGTTGTAGTTTGTTGCATTTAGTTGAGTCCGCTCGTAGGTTAACAATGACGGCTAACATGGCGTATGAGTCATGCAAAGAGACTTCTTTTTTATTTGTTTGTGTGTATTCAGAAATTTCAATAAGTTTTCACCATTGTCGATATCAAGGTTAACAAAGTCAACTGACTTTTAGTTGAGCTTGCTGTTAAACCATCAACATAAAATGTTGCAAGCTTTAGTGTTCAACTTTACAACCATTTTAAGATTAACTATTATTTAAAAAGCAAACGAAAACTTTCTGCATCCGTGCTGAAGTACAAATATTTGCAAAAACTTTTATGAACAACATACCTTCATAATCCAGCTCAACACTGCCAATTAATTTGGACTCAACCATAAAACTCCTCTACTCGGTTAATGGAATTTCCAAGAATTTTCTCTACAAATGTTTACGCATACCAGAACAAAGTGATTGTTTAATTTGTGTGTGTATGTTTGTTTGCTACGAAGTGGAAAGGGAAAACTGTGGGAATAGGGGAAAAAGGGGCAAATGAAGGAACGGAAGCCAAGCTAAACTTATTCGGCAAACAACTTGCAATTTTGTTTAAAGCATATTTTGCAAAGACAATATGCAAAAAGTAGAGTTTGCAAAGAGCATTTTAATAGCAAAACAAAAGTCGCCAAGTGACGACAGCAGAATGTGAATTGTGGATACGAGTGCCATCTATATTTGAGTATTTAGAAAGTTTCCTGCATAGAAAAGTTGAGAGCAAAATGGCTGTTAGTTAAAAGAAAGGAAGTGACGGGACTTGAACTCCAGATGCGAGTTGTAAATGGAGTTGTTGACTCTTGCGCACAAAATTACCAAGCAAATTGCAAAGTGCGACTTTGCCAAGGGTGGCACTTGCAACGCCTGCCACACCTCTTACAGCTGTCTTGCATCCATTTCTGAATACGTTTTTATTATTTCTTTTTTTCGCTTGCATTGCTTCCGCTGGGCAAACGGAAAAGGCCCAAGTGCAGTGAAGCAATTTGTGGCAATATGTGAGAGTCTCGTTTGCCATTAACCTAACGCAAATGCAGTTTTGCAGTTTGCAGTTTGCAGTTTGCAGTTGGCTGTTTTGCAATTGAAGCTGCTGATTGGCACCCAGAAATCTTCTTCAGTTGGATTTATTACATTTAACCGTATTTTCAATTTATCGCTCGAAACCTTCCTGGTCCGAGACCGTTGTTTGCAAACGCTGCGTCAATTTCGCACTTGCCAAGAGCCACAGACAAATATGTGTTTAGTGTTCTTGGCTCATGGCTTGCCAACGAGTTGAGCAGACAAACAAGCATTTAAGCCAGTGCAAATATTTGCAACTGACAGGCAGTTGCAGTTGCAGTTGCAGTTGCAGTTCGAGATGAAGACGGGTGTCGGAGGCGGAGTAGGAAGTCTGCCTTCGAAGCACTGTTGGAAATCTAAGGCCCATGCCTTAAAGCACTATTTAAACAGAATTGCAGCTGCAGTTTAATTAGCACAGCCCTGGCCACATCAATCAAGTCGATTATAATTGTATACATATATATGTGTTTTTAATTTCTAACTCTATTTGCAGAAGACGGCGACAGCGAAACCAACAAAATATCATTATTATCCGCACAATCAACACATCTATCTGCTGCCCGAGTGCGCCATACAGCAGGTCTGCAATGCTGTCTACGTACGCCTTAACTACACCCAACCGCTCTGCGCCTGTCCATCAAGGTGAGCCACAGTTTCCAGTCCAGGCTCAGTTGGATTGTCAGCTGCGTCCAGCTGGGCACAGCGCATTCCCAGACAGCTGCTAACCACTAAAAACCTAATCTATCTTCCTTTTTGCAGATATCGTGATCCCTGCTCGGCCAGCCTCAACGAGGATGATCAGCACACCACCAAATTGGTCGGTGATAATAAGAAGAAGGTAAGTTGCCATCTAACAGTAGGGTGCGTCAATCAACTTACACTGAAACCAAAAAAAAAAAAAAAAACAGCAAATGGCAATTGAAATATTTTTGAAAAGTGCAATTTGAATCAGGAAATGGAAGCTTAAATTGTGCTTGTTTTTTCGTGCAGTGCATTGCAAGATGGTCTATGTAATTGGCAACAATGATAGATCATGTGGCTGGGCACGACTTGAAAGCGATCAGCTGGCACTGCCTTATAGATTGCCAACTAAAGATTTTGTGGCAGCAGGATCTGAGCCAAGGCGCTTGTTCTTGTTTGACTTGCTAACAAGTGCAGTTGGTTGGTTGGCCGGGCAACCATCAAACCCACCAGCGCACCACTAGGCACCACTGCTGCCGCATGTGTGTGGTATGCGACTGCAGCACGTCATCAATTAGCTATGCTGTGGTGCATAATTGAGATATAAGTGGTAGCTGTTGCTGTGGCACTAAAAAAAAAACTTGCAAATAAATTAAATAATAAAGCACGTTTAATAGTTTAATGGAGCGAGCGGACAGTTGGACAGTTTGCTGGCCAGCGTGGGCTGCAGCTGCCACAGCAACAGCTGTAATAATTGTGCAGTTGAGTACCGTTAAGTGCCACACTTGCCGCCGTTGACGATGATGCCTTGCTGCAACTGTACCAAACAAGCAAATTATGAAAATGCGTTTAAGCGAGCAAGTGGTAAAAATAGCTATAGCTAGAGCCACATCTAGAAAAACTAGAAAACTACAAAGCACTGCAACAAACGGGGGTAAGACTTTTAACTGGCAGGCCACATTAACCTGAATGGCAGCCAATTGGCAAGCGGGCGAAAGGAAATACCAACCAGCCAGCCAGGCAGGCAGGCAGGCAGGCAGCCAGTCAGCTAGCGCCGCAAGTCAATCAAATTATTGACAGCAACAACAACAAGAGTTGCAACAACAACAACAGCAGCAGTAGCCCAAGTGCAACACGAATCTTTTAAAAGGACAATCATGTCAGGGCAATTGAATGGGGATCAACACCAGTAAACAATTGCACTGCAATCTCTGCTCTTTTTTTATGTTTTTTGGCAAGCTTTAGCTAATGTGGCACAAGCACCATGCAACATACACCGTCGCTTTGCCTCCCCCTCCCCCTCGCCCTCGCCATCGTCATCCCAGCCAGCGCCCAGGGCATCAAGCGAGTGCCTGCTGACAGTGACAGCTCTCGCCTGTCCAACAGTGGCTGCACTGCTGGCTGCAGCTGTGGCATGTCTGTTTTGTGGCATGTTAACTTTCAATTTGCCCCACGATCTGTGCATACATATAGAGAGAGAATTAAATGAAAGAGGCGGAGGAAGTTTGGCAATTCGATTAGTGAACTTTCCATTGCCGTCCTGTGGGGCAATGTCTAATTGAGAGTTAGCCACCATCTATCAGCCATTATCCGTCTAGACAGCCTAACGGGATTCATCAGGCACTAAATACACCACCTATTTCTTCTTTGTTTTCTCTGCTGTTGCACAGGCAATTACGCTGGCCAAAACCTGCGAGGCAACCACGGAAATGCGCGAATGCCGCTCCCCCAAGGATTGGTCCCTGCTGGCGCTACAAAACACACGCACCGGCAAATCGCACTATCTCGTCATCTGCCGTTGCCCCGACCACTTTAAGATGGGTAAGTAATGGCCAAGGCCAAGCTATTAACGAATATTGCATTAAAATCGCCAAAGATAATTATTTCAATTGAAAATTGGTTCGGTTTTATAGAAGCTTGGAGCCAACCCTATGGGTATTCTTATAGTCTAGAATATAAAGAGATCAATTGGTAAATTTACCCTTATTCTTTAACTGATGCCAAAATAGAGTCTTATCATTGTCAATTGTGTAATGATCTGGTAGAGAGTGTTCGACTGGGAAACACCTTTCTATCCCCTGGTTACCCATATATTTAAGACAATATGATTTTCTCTCGTGTTTCTTAAGCAATCTCAATGAAATGTTTACATTTTATCAAGATTATATCAACTTAAATGCAGTATTAATCTTGAAACGCTGACTTAACAACTAAGAATACACCAGTCGAGGAACTAGCCAACTTGCAGATACCTTTCTATCCCATCCTTACCTACATATCTATAGCAATACCATCTTCTTTCAAGTTTCTCAAATGATCTCTCTGAATTTAAACTAATAAACCTATTTCCCGTTGCGACAGAGGGACCCATGGCCCATGATCAGCCGACGTATGCGAGTGTGCCCGGCATTCGGGTGTTTGGCATGATGTGCGTGAAACCCGGTTACTCGGTGCGCAAGCCCAGTTCGCAGCCACCGAAGCGTTATCAGCTGCAGAAGCCCTTCTATCGTCCGATTGGCGGCAGCAGCAGCAACAGCAATCTGGGCGGACAAAAGGACAGCTATGGCAGACCCATCTATGGCGGCGGCAGTCAGGGGGGCAGTGGGGCTATCAGCGCAAACTATCAGCCACAGGATCAGACGTTCCAGGGCGGCAGCAGCGGCAACACCTATCAGTATCTAAATCGGCCGGAGAGCACACATTCGCATAGTACGCCCAATTTCCGACCGGATCAGTTTACGTTGAATGGTTTTCCGGGCAGCAACTATGGACGGAACAATGAGCGACGTGGCGAGGCGCCGCCCATTGAGGCAGCCGCCGAGGAGCGGGAACGGGATCAGGGAGCAGCTGTCAGCAGCAGTACACAGGCCAGCGATGAGGCGGAGGCACGCACCACGCTCCAAGCGGATGCCAATCTCAATCTCAATCTCAATTCGGAGTCACCGGCGGCGGAGCTAACAACATTACCGGATTCGAGCCGTGCCAAACGATCGCTGTATACGCTGGAAGATTTGGAGCCGGAGTTTCCGTGGGATCGTGTGCTGGAATTCAAGGATACCATTGTCTGGGACTAATGACGCAAGCGGGCAACCTAAACTAGTAGTTAAATTTTTCTAGCAACAAAATTATTTGTGTGGATCGAGCCTCGAATTCATTTTTATACAACTGCAAAAACCTACTGTGACTGATGCAAAGGATCGAAATCGATATCGATATCGATTCGGGATGGGAACCGGTATCGGCGACTACGTAAAAGGCGTAATGCAACGTAACGTAGCATATCGTAGACGAGACGCAACGTAACGTAACGTAACGTAAGAGAACTTAACACTTAGACGCTAAGCACTTAGCACATTAAGCATTTTTGAAATGGCATTTCCGATCATCTCATTTGATCGTCCCCAATTAATTTTTAACAAAATACTCGTATTTTTTGTATTTATTAAAAACAAAATAAAAGAGAAAGAAGAACGAAGAAAACAATTACGAATTAATTAAACAATTACGCGCACACGCCCCGCTCACACTAATTGTTTAATTAATTTGTTTTGCATGTCGAACCCTAGCATGGCCTCAATTTTATATATTCTTTAAACATACTTACTTAATTAAACAGTGAAGCAAATTACTTAAATTATAAACAAGCGAGAAAAAAATACATTTAGTTGCCTATTTATGTTAGACTTAAGCTGCATTTACTAGTAGTTAAATTAAACGAAATTAAAACAAAACAAAACAATTATCAATGTGAACGAAAATTTGCGATTTTCAATGAATTCTTGCTCTGCTGCGAATACGAATTGCATATGTAATAAATTATTTATACACTTAAGTTAAATCAATAATAAATGCATTGCAAACTAAACCTTATCTTCGAGTTGGGAGGAAGGAACTGATTGCTAGAGTCATATTACCATCATCTAAATTTTGATGAATTAAAAAAGGGATCGATTTTGTTTGCATTTAAACAGGCATACTGGCTGAGATATCAATTAAGTTAGTGATGTTGCTCGAGAATATATATACTAAATGGAACAGAGACGTCTCCTTGAATGCGTTACAAAGTTCACAACAAAAGTACAACAACCTCTACAAGGGTATAATAACAAAATTAGGTAAAAGTTAAGGAACACAACTTTTTAGCTACATCAGCCAAAAGTTATCAGCTGAAAATCTCTTCGTGCTTTGTCTTTCAAGCTAAAAGTTAGCTGATATCAAATTTTACATAGATAATTAGATAGTCAATCAGGGACTTACCCAGCATTTCCGCATTGACGACAATGTTGCAGCTGTACATGGGCGTAACCAGTCGCTGTGGTTGATTCTGAAAAGCCTGACGACAAACCTCCTTTGCAGCCGTTAAAACTTGACCTGAAAAGTCAAGAAATATTATTAACTATATATATATATATGTTAAGCAACTCCAGACCCACCCGAGAACGGACCACAGCCACGTGCATTTAAATCCTCGCCCTCGGCCTGGACAGACCATTCGAGCACGGCAAAGCAAACGCCCTGCATGGGCTCCTCGCAGAGCGGACCTGCGCCCGTTGTCAGCTGGAAGCCATTCACCAGGGAGCTATTGAAATCTCTGCGTGCATCCGCTGTGAGCCGCACATCCGTCTCGGAGCTGCACTTGGACTGCCAAAAGTCGGGCTGCTCATAGTCGCTGAGATTCAGCAGCATATTCGTGCCACAGTTGCGTGGACCCAGCGCCCAAATGCGTTCCACCAATTCTGGGGGCGAAAGTGAGCTCAAGCCATGCAGCTGCAGCTCCGCCAGAGCTGCAGTCAGTTGAGCCTTAATGGTAGTCAGGAGCGCAGTGAACTTCTCCGAGAGCAGCGTGTTGCGTGCTGAAGCAGACAGCTCCTGAAAGGATAATAATAATTAATTGATGACCATCTACAATCGATCCTTGAGCTCACCTTGAACAGATTCGCATGCTGTTCCAGCAGATGGACAACTGCCGCTGGCAGGGGTAAAGCAATCACACGCAGTGTGCCCAGTTTGTTGAGTGTTTGCTGGGTGGCAATCTTCTTGGTCACGTCTTTGTCGTCGGCTGTCTTGACTATCGCCTCGTTGACCATATCCACGGTGGCATCGGGTACAATGGTCTCCCGGAACGAGACAATTGGCTTGGACACGTTCACCTTGATCTTGGCGTAACTCTGCTCCAAATCATGAACACACTTCTCTACATGCACCTCACCCAAAGTGGTGATCACATGCTCACCCGTGGGCGCAACGGAAACCTGGACACAGGCATCTGCCTGATTGAGCAGCTTGAGTCCCTTGACCAACTTGGGCATATCCTGTGGCTGCACTGGCTCAATGGCCACCCTCAAGATGGGCGTGGCCATAATGCTCAGTTCACTGAACGAGGTGCAGTCCAAGCTGCTGCTCAGCGTTGCCGTCTTCACGACGTGCGACTCGAGGCCACCGATGCCAACAATATTGCCCGCTGGCACTTCCTCCAGCAGCTGCAGTTCACCGCCCATGAACATGTACAGATCCCCCACCGTCACTCGGCTGGCATAGGGCGCCTGTTCAGGATCACGATGCGTTGGCTGGCGAGGATCATGCTTGGGCGTCAGATTATACAGTTGCATGCCACGACGCAATGTGCCGCTAAAGACGCGTGCAAAGGCAATAAACTCGAACTCATTGCGCTCCGTCTCCGGAAGGGGTTCAGGCTCTGCTCCAGCAGCTGCAGTTGCTCCCGTTGTGCTCAGCTGCTCCACACCATCGGTGATCTGCTCTAGCGTTGCCTGTTCGCTTTGCTGCTTGCGTTCCTCGATGCGACGACGCACCTCATCCCGTCGCTGCTGCAACTCCTGATCTGTCAATCGCTTGGGTCGATTCTGTGGCAACTGGCTGACATGCACCGGCGTCATCTTGGACACAAAGGCAATAACATTCTCACTATCCGCCTTACAGCTCCTAAAACTCTCCTTCAGCTCGAGTGTTTGACGTGGCAATGAGTTCAGTTCCATGTTAGCCGGGTAGAGCAGTCGCTGTGCTCGCTCCTCGCTGATGCAGTGCGGCGCCGGCACATGGCTCACCACCATTTGAAGCACACTGCGATCGATGGGCAGCCATTGACCCAGCACCGCTTTAATTTGCAACTTCGGATCGGTCAAACGCAAATCCCGCGCCGCCAGTTTTATGCCCAGTTTTTCAGCTATGAGCGGCAGCTTCTCCTTGTCCTTGCGCACTGCGATAATATCATACAGGCTCCAGATGTTCTCCAGCACAAACTGCACAAACATTGGTTTCTTGGCCTTCTCCTGGGCTCCAGCGACAGCACACTTCTTCTTGCTATTGTAGTAGTAATCGCCCCAAAGAACTGCTTCCAGTTCAGCACGTGGCATTTCCAAACGCTCCGCATAGGTGTTGGCAAAGTCAGCCACGGCAAAAGCCCAGCCATCGTAGGCGGAGCAAAAGACAGCATTGCCCGTGGCTGGCGAGAAATACAACTCGGAATCATCGACTTGTTCCAGCGCCGATTCGTAGTTATGCTTGTCACTAATATCCTCCTTGGCCAGCACATCCGAGGCAAAGATGCTGCCCAGCACAGCATTGACCTGCTCCAGCACTTGCGTCAAATGAAAGTAAGCGTCCAATGGCGTCATCTGCTTCTCCAAGATCAGACGATCCAGTTTGTTGAGCAGCAGCACCGGTTTCAGCTGCTCCTCGTAGATTTGCTTGAGACAGGCACGTGTCTGGGGACCCACACCCTCCACCACATCGACAACAACAATGGCGCCATCGCACAGCCGCACCGCAGTCGAAACCTCGCTGGAGAAATCCACATGTCCCGGTGAATCAATCAGATTTATCAAATAGTCCGCATTCTTTACATCCTGATAGTACAGGGAAATACTGCTGCTCTTCATCGTTATGCCACGTTCCTGCTCATCCTGTCGGCTGTCCATATAGCGCAACTTTCCTGCTCAACAGAAACATTTCGCATCACAACGAAATACAACTCAAACAATAACAATAACAACAACAATTTACCAGCCATGCGTTGTGAAATGATGCCATTGCTGGCCACGAGGGAATCCGCCAGCGTTGTCTTGCCATGATCCACGTGTGCCAATATGCATATGTTGCGAACCTGCTGGGGTTGCTTTTGGAGCTGCACAAGCTCATTCTGGTCCACCACGGGCATTTTATTAAATCTATTAAATCTACCTGTTGCCGTACGAACTGTTTTAAAAAGACTTTTGTTTACAATCGGCCTTGCTATCGATAACAGCGATACCCGCAACGAGTACTTTCAGAAAGCTCCATCAGCTGTTGTGGCGCCAATTGGTATCGTTCGATGGGGCCAAAAATGTACTCACTCAGTTTCAATTTGAAAATAGATCCAATCAGTTAATTCAAAGTTGGACTTGTTGAGCGCTTTAAGTTAACTTTAACTCACATTTTAAAAGTACATACGAAAATTTTAGCTATATATTTCTATAAAGCAAGTTAGAAAGGCATTTCAATTACAATTTGTATGAGTAACAAGTACTTTAAAGAGCTCAATCAGCTGCTGGTATCGTTTGAAGGCGCCAAAAACGTACTGAATTTGAAAATAGAACCAATCGGCTTATTCTTATTTGCCTTAACTGGCGCTTTAAATGAAGTTAAAAACAATCATTTTAAAAGTACATTTCAATTCAATTTTAAATACGATTCTTGTAAGCTTAAATTGCGTTTTTTAGTTATATTTATATAGCTGAATGTAAAGCAAAGTTACCAAAAGGCATCAATGATGATTATTTGTGTGAAGTGTCTGGCTTAGAAATGTGTTCTAAATAAAAGTATTACACGGCTCAGGTTGGCTGGATGCTAGTTTACTTGATGGCGCAATTGGCCAATTTGCTGGTTAGCTGCTCGCCATCGGGTGTCAGCAGGAAATTGTCCTTCCAAACTGCAACGCCTGCGGCATTTGTCTTAAAGTCAACCGAGAGTTTCTCCCAGATTTTCTTCTTGGGATTCAACTGATCATCCGGTGTGCCACTGTAGCCTTCAAAGGCGAGACGACTGCCAGGAGTAGCCGTGGCAGGCACCAGAATAGGTTCCACAACGGTGTGATCGGCGCTGTTTAAATAAGGATTACAAATTAAAGATTACAGATTACAGGTTAGAGAATCTCCAACGGAACTCACTTGGAGGTGCAAAGAACCATGCCCTCGGACAGGATGCCACGCATCTTGGAGGGCTTCAGATTGCAGAGCACAGCAACCAGTCGCTGTTCCAGTTCCTCAACCGTGACAAATTTCACCAGACCACTGATGATGGTGCGTGGTTTCTCCTCCGCCAAATCAATCTTTAGCACATACAAAGTATCTGCATCCGGATGACGAGCGACTTCGATGACTTTGCCCACTCGTATGTCCAGACGATGAGGCGCATCCTCATCAGCAGCAGCAGCAGCAGCCGGAGCAGCATTCGCCTTCACCTTGCCAGGTGCCGGATAAGCAGCCGCTGTCAGTTTTCTAAAGCAAGAAATTTAAGGATGTAGTTAATGAAGTTAAGGATGTAGCAGAGAACATCATCTCTTCCAACTACTAACTGCAGTTCGGGCTTCTCGAAAGCCTTGCGAATGGGATCCAGCAGGCGATTTATGTACTTCTCCACGGATGCCTTCAGATCACCCGGATGCAGTTTGTTGTCTGCATAATATTGCTCGAGTTCCTCGTACACCAGGAAGGTAATGTCGCCGCCATTATCCGCAGCACGATGAATCTCGAAGCCTTCGCCGTCTTTGAAGAGAGAGAAGAGGACGTGTTTGACAAAGGAAAGGAGACCATTGTCGGCTATGTTGCCGGGTTCGCAAAAGGCCTTCTTCAGCTTCTTCTTGACGTTGGCGGGCGAGTCGAGCAGATCAATCTTCGAGTCCTCCTCCGAGGAAGACATCTTGCCGCCAGCCAAGCCAGGCACTAATTGAAAAAAGGTAGCATTTTGTGAGTAAATCAAATGATGATTAATACATTTGTGACTCACCCATGGGATTCATGAAGTGTATGCGCTTCTCGTAGCCCAGTTGCGGCAAATATTTCTCGGAAAATGTGAATATTTTGCGCTGATCCACACCACCGAACTGTGCATCCACCTTCAGGTACTCCTCATCCAATCCCTGCAATCCCGGATACAACAAACCCGAGAGCAGTGGATATTCCACCTGTTTGACAACCTCGGCGCCCGCCTTCTTTGCATCGTGTATGGTGACCAGTGAGCTGAGCTTGTACACATCCAGTGTGTACTCCTTGGACAACTGATAGTCGCTGCCCTTGACAAACTTCAGCTTGTCCAGTGGAACGCCAATGGAACTCAGCATGGCTTTTATCACCTGCTCGTAGTATTGTGTGCGCAGCTCCAGCAACGACCATGGCGCCTTCATATTATCCAGATAGGCGTGCAGATCGGCAAACAAGATAGTCACCTCACAACCGGCCTTGAGAAAGTCTGCAATCTTCGACATGGGAACAAAGTAGGCCACATGTGGTTTTCCAGTTGTTGCTGTGCCCCAATAGATTTTCAGATCGCGCTCTTGCAGAACTTTCTGCAGCTTATCCTCGCCCAGTGTCTCCTGCAGATTGCGAGTGATCAGCTGCTGCTTCTCAGCGGCGCTTAAAGTTGTGCCAACCATTTTGGATGAGTTATTTTTTTGGAGCACACCTTGCGAAATTGATTGCGGTGGAAAGAGGAAGAGAACTGCATGCGTGGTGCTATGCTAGATCTGGCAACGCTCTCAACAGCTGTTGAAGTAAACAAAGTATTGGTATTGGTATCGATACTTTTGAGTGAACACGTTAAATAGGCAAAGCATGCACCCAAATTTCCGAACTGATAATTCTGTCAGCAACTGTTCAAAATCTGTCAAGTCTGGGGCGTACGTGAAGAAAGTCAAGCTGCAATTGTTGGTATCGATACTTCAACTGAACATGTTAATGTGAGATCTGGCAACGCTGCCAGCAGCTGCTTAACAGCAGTTAAGTTTTGGGCGCATGTAAACAAAGTGTATTTTTGGTTCGATACTTTTGAGTTAACATGTTAAATGTGCAAAGAGCCAAAATTCTGAGGCACTGTATCCGCCTTGCCACACAACGACTTTGCCACACAGATGTACGCGTGCGTTTTGCGCCCAGTCCCACGGGCTATTTGCATCTTGGCGGTTTGCGTACAGCGCTTTATAACTACCTTTTCGCCCGGCATTCGGGCGGCAAATTTCTGTTGCGCATCGAGGACACAGATCAAACGCGGCTGGTGCCCGGCGCCACGGAGCGTCTCATTGAGGATCTGCTATGGGTGGGCATTGAAATCGATGAGGGACCGGGCTTTGGCGGTACACAAGGCCCGTATATACAAAGCCAGCGCAGGCAGCTTTACAGGTGAATGGGAAACATTAATTATCAAGTGAGAATTCTAATCCCCCCTCCAATAGTGAAGCTGTTGAACGCCTGCTGGCAAACGGCAGCGCCTATCGCTGCTTTTGCACGGAACGTCGCCTGGAACTGTTGCGCAAGGAGGCGCTGCGCACCCGGCAAGTGCCGCGATACGACAACAAGTGTCGTCATTTGACGAGAGAGCAGTTGGAATCGCTGCTGGCCAAGGGCACGCCACACTGCATACGCTTCAAGCTGACGGAGCACGAGGAGCCACTGCAGGATCTCATCTATGGCAGCGTGCAGCACAATGTCAGCGAAACGGAAGGTGATCCCGTCATCATAAAAAGCGATCAATTCCCCACTTATCACTTGGCCAACGTTGTGGATGATCATCTGATGGGAATAACACACGTTTTGCGTGGCGTCGAGTGGCAAATCTCAACCACCAAGCATCTGCTGCTTTACAAGTCAGTGAATACAGCTAATCCCCTGCAGACAATTCTTATATAACAATTAATTATATTTCCTCAGAGCCTTTGGCTGGCAGCCACCGCAATTTGGTCATCTGCCGCTGCTGGTCAACGCGGACGGAACGAAGCTGAGCAAACGGCAGGGTGACATTGGCATAGAGCAGTTTCGGTCACGTGGTTACTTCCCCACTGCCTTGCTGAACTACATCATCTCTGCTGGAGGTGGCTTCGAGCACAGACCGAATGCCAAGCCTGAGTTGCTGCCAGTTGCCCAACTGGCGCAGCAATTTCGCTTGGAGCGCGTCAATCCACATCCCAGTCGCCTGAATGCCGACCTGCTCAACGACTACAATCAGCTGGAGATTAGGCAACGTCTGCAAGGAGCAGAGACGCAATTGCAACTAATCCGACATGTTCAGCAGCTGGTCAAGCAGACCTATCCGGCGCAGTGAGCATGCCTAAAGTGCTGTCTCCTCAAACCTCTGCTCACATTTGATTTTGCAGTTCCAATCTGGATCTGGGCGAGGCACACATTCTGGCCGTGCTGCAGTGGGCGGCGCAGCGTTTGACACTCATTCAGGATTTAACCAACAGCAAGTTAAGTTTCCTCTGGGTCAAACCCAGCAATTTTGTGCTAAAGGATCTGTCTACGGCACAGCTGGAGCAGCTGCTGCTCCAACTGAATGCTCTGTCCGATTTTCACAAGGATCCGCTGAATGCCACACTAAAAACTTATGCCACGTCGACGGGCATAAAATTCCCGGCCCTGATGAAGGAGCTGCGTGGAGCTTTAAGTGGCCTCCAAGAAGGACCTGGCGTCGCGGAAATGATGGAAATCCTGGGCAAGGCAGTCGTCCTCCAGCGGCTAGGCGAGAGCATTAAAAAGCAATCGCAATTGAAACAGCATCAACTCTGATCAAATTTTATTTAAGTACAGTGATCAATCGCTACAATGGGCAATAATTGAATATATGATTGTTATTTATGATTATATTTAATTGAAATATATCTTAAAATCCTATGCTGTCTTCAAATTGTTGTTAAGAAAAGATAAAAGAGTTCAATTAAGATAAGAATTTCGACTCTGATTCAGGATGGGTTTATAACTTGGCAATAATTGAATAATTTCAAATCTGATTGTTGTTTATTATATTTAATTTAATAATACCTTCAATCGGATCGGAATGGGTGAATAATTTTCGATAATTGATTGATTATTATTTATTATATTTAATTTAATCGGTTAAAGATTAAATGATTCAATTAAAATAAGAATTTCAAAATTGAAGCATCAACTTTGGTCAGATTTTATTAAAATTGAAACAGTGATCACTCGCAACAGAGGTCATTTCTGGATGGGTTCAAAATTTGGCAATAATTGAATATATGCATTATGATTGGTATTTATTATAATATTTAATTAAATATCCTTTGAACCTTTGCTGTATTCAAATCTGATTTCAAATTAAGAGAATGGATGTTGTAATTAGCCAGCGAGCACTGTGCTTCAGTTATTTAGTGTGTATATATAGTTAATCTGAGAATAAGTATAATGAGTACATAGCGTTTAAATTATGGCAAACGATTAAGCTTAAGCACCGCTCCTAATTTCATTTTTATCCTTTCCACTGCCGACAAGCCTCGCCAACTGCTATAAGATTTATATATATATGTATGTATTGGTATAATATGATACTGGTTGCTTAGCTAAAGTCGCGATTGGATAGCACAATGGGTGCAATTAGGCTCCAGCCGTAGATGAAGACGCCCAGCCAGCTGGATATGATTTTGACCCACATGGAAGCCTCGTTGCCATTGAACAACTCAATATCCGAGTGGGGCTTATACCAATTGGTCAGCGTCATCATCACATATAGAGAAGCTATAAATATATATAGATTAAAAGCAGATCTAAGTAAAATAGGCCATTGATTTACATACCGCAAACGAGAACTGTGTGAAATGAGGTCCAATTGTAGCTGACGCCTTCGGTTTCGTTGTCGGTGCTGGGTTTATCTCCTGCGCCGCCCGATTCTGAATCTGATAGAGCTTCTGTTAAAACTACATTAGTTATAGATGATCGGCAAATTGTACACAGTTTCGTAATTGTTGTTGTTGTTTGGTTGTTAGTGGGTAGTTTAAGCATTCAAAAATCAAATGTGTTTGTTAAAAAAGAAAAGAGTGTTAATAATTAGTTAGCCAAATGGTGTACAGCATATAAATGATAAATGGCTGGATTAATGTGGATTAATGATTCTTACTGATTGAGTTTGATTAAGATAGTGTTAAGCATTTAATGTACTACACAAAAATATAAATAAATCATTGATTAAGCAACTTAAATAGTAAATTAGATTAAACGAAACAAATGTTGAATCGCATTTTAGCAATGGGGTTCTACAGAAATCGAATAAAGAATTTAACAATTGAAATATTTTTTAACTAATTACAATAGATTCAATGAAAATGTGAAACTGTGCAATGTGCATGATAAGAATTAAGAAAATAATCACTTTTCCACGTACCACGTTTCTCGCTGTTGTCATTGTTGATCTTGGACACCTCCACGGCGGAGCTGAAGCAGTTGTAAAGGATGCACAATAGCCAGACGACGAGGCCAATAATGTTGGTCGTATCAAAGGTCACCTTCGAGTTGGGTGTGGGTGGTGCAACCGTTGTGGTGGTGGCATTATGCAGACCATCCATCAACCCAAACATGCCCGGATTGCAGGCCTTCTCTGTGAGTATCAGATACAAAAATAATCATTAAATTAAATACAAATGATGCCTAGTTCAAGGCTAACCCGGATTGTTGGCCACAGCGGACCAGGTCAAGTAGATGGTGTACAAAGTGACGAGCGAACTTTGCAGCAAGCCCGAGTGGGGCAAACGTTCCTGCACCGCCGGCAACACAGACAGAATGCTGACAACCAAACAGAGTATCAGATTAATCGAGATAAAGAACTTGTTGATGCCGCAGCCAGTGGACTGAAACAGTGAGAAATTAGTTTAGATATAAGATTAACTAGTAACTAGTACAATCTACGCATACAGTGGTAAAGTAGATATAGAGTAGAGTAATGCCCGTCAAGGAGGCAATATAGCCGAGTAAAGTGACGCCAGCCAGAGCATAATAATAGCCACGATTGTTCTCCGCATTCTCTGCAAATAAATTGAAGATTAAAGTTAAGTTTTAAGGTCAATTCCCCTTTATGTTTCCTCAAAAAAGTGCTCACCAATCCAATTCTCCGCAACGCTATGCGCAAAATCCACAATGATGACCAACTGGACCAGGATGAAAGCCAATCCTCCAATTAGACCCACCCACATCATGGCCGGTCCAAAGGAACCATCCGGTATGAAAATCGCCGCAATCGAAGCACCAAAACAGATCAAAAACTTCAAGGGCCAAAATGCATTCTGGATGTGGGCACGAGGATCTCGAGAACTCTTCACGCCCAACATAATGATGGCCATCAGAGTGAAGAAACAGGCGAGTCCAAAGCAAATTCGGTAAACAGCCATATAACCCAAGGCATATTCACAATCCACTTGCAGCGAGCCGCCCGTAAATGTTTCTATAGTCTTCGAACTGTAAGTCGAAGTGGAATTCACGCAAAATGGCAGCTTCTTCAGCGTATTCTGTAATCCTGGAGAGAGTGCAATTGCACTCAGAACTGTACCGACTAGCAGCATGAAGGCGTACATGAAACGGGACGAGGAGGAGTTCTTGCAGGTGGGGCAGGCGGAGCAACACATGCTTGCCGCAGTGCCCGTGCAACAGAGCGCGCACTGCAAATATATGAATAAAAATCAATTTGAGCTATTTTTAGCTATTTTCCAGCCAACAGCTGGCAGCACTAATTCTACATTCGCATCGATTTTATTTCACTTGTCAGCCATATGCGCAATATGTTTATGTCGGGTTTATTTAATTGTTATCACACACCTGCGCCGCGGAACAGAGGCCCAATGCAGCTCCCATAATTTAATAGCGCTTTACTTTGATTTATCTACGCTTTTCCTATTAAAACTGCGTCAAGTCGCAGCTGAAAGGCTTTTGTTTGTGAAAATATGACGAACAAGTGTTGAGCAGAGAGAGAAGAGAGCGTGTGGAGCACATTCTGTTAGCTGATGTTTAACAGTGTCGCTAACAGCGATAAGTCGATAAGTTGAGTGCATGCAACACTGCTAGAATGTTACCATGGCTGGAAAATATTGAAATGGAAATTTACCGTTCAGTTTTGTTTTGTGAGCGGTTGCGTCTGGTTGGTGCGGTACCTTTACACTGTGCGCAAATTGTGTGGTGCATTTTTTGAAACTGTAGTGGTGGTGTAAACTGACTGACTTCGTCTCTCTCTCTCTTTCTGTGCCTGTGCTCGTGTGCTGTGCTCCGTATATTCCCGTGTATGTGTGTGTGTGCGCCTGCATTCGAACAAAAAGGAAAAGTGTGAAGAATTTGAAAGAAAGAAAGCGCAACTTAAAATCGCTGAAAAAGAAAACTAATAAAAAAAAACTCATAAAAAATGGCAACCGAAGTAGCTTCAATACCCGCTGAGGAAACGCCATCAGTTGCAGCAGCGGCAGTCACAGAAAACGCTGCTGCTGCCGCTGAGCAGGCGGAAAAACCTGCTGCTGCTGCTGGCGCTGCCGCTGCTGCAGAGCCTGTCGTCGTCGCTGCTGCAGCCGCTGCTGCCGAGAACGCTGACAACAACAAAGAGGATGGAAAGGCGTCGTCGCCTGCTGCTGCTGCGGATGGAGCTGCTGCTGCTGGTGGCGCTGCCGGCGCCGCTGCCGATGGGAAGAAAGATGGTGGCGTCGATTCTACGGTTGCAGCGAAATCTGAGGCGAAATCTGAGGCGCCCGCCCAGAAATTCAATGTGCACAAGACCAATTTCGAGAAGGACATCATTTATCTGTATCAGTTCTCCCGAACCCCCCTGCTGCCGTCTCTCTCGCCCTACTGCCTCAAAGTGGAGACTTGGCTGCGTCTGGTCGCGCTCAAGTACGAGGTATGTTTTCCACTTACACACACACACCTACACCCATAACTTCCAACATATGTAATTTTTTTCTAGTGAAAACATATTTAAAAATCTTTACTTGAATTTCCCATTTCTGATTATAGCCTGGCGAGGTTTTTCATCATCTCTTCTCTCCTTTTTTTTCTCCATATGCATGTATTTTGCGGTAGAGATTTTTTCTACACACACACATGCATACACTCACGCATAAAAACCGCCATGATTGTGTGCTAAGCCTGTGACCTGCCCGCTCACCGCGCCCTATAGCCCTGTATATGCTGAAAAGGGATACATTTAGCATTTGCCTCTCTCTTTCTTTCTTTCTTTCTATCCCGGCAGACTTCCAATGCGTGCGTTTGTATTGGTGTGTGTGTGTGTGTGAACCTGTAGCGAGCCAGGCGTTTTGTTGTTGCTACTGCTGCCGGATTTTATTCCTGTCTGTTCATGTGTATATGTGTTTGCATGTGTGTGTGTGTGCGTCTACATAAAACAGCGTATACATAAAATTTGTGTGTGCGCCGACGCCGCCGTTGTGCTGCGCCTGGCCTGGCCTGGGTCTCTGCTGCTGCTGCCGCTGCCTCTGCTTTTGTCTCTGCCTCTGCCTAGCTGCCGTTGTCGTCGTCTCCGTTTTGCGCTCTCTCATAAGTTATGCTTGATACTCCACTCACATATATATACTCCCTCGCTCCCCCACTCCCTCACCCTTCCCCCATGCGAAGTTGTGCTTCAAATTTTGCACTTGGCACTCTCTCGCTCTCCCTCTTTCGCTCTCTCAGCAGAAGCAGCAGCTCCCATTTTATTGCTCTGCTCTTTGTCTTTGTTGCTGCAGCTGCTGCAGCTCTGCTTCATTTAGTTTTTAGTTTTTTTTCAGTCTCTCTGTCTTTGCCTTGCACAAATTCCAAGCCCCGTTTTTGTACCCGTTTTGTAATTGCTTTTAATAAAAATTGTTTGGCCCCCTTCCCCCATTCCCCTTCCAGTTTTATTGCTGCACTGTGTTCTGTCCGTGTCCCACTCCCCTCGCACTCTCGCACTTTAAGTAGCCCGATTAGAAAAATATGTATGTAATATGTATAAGTGCCTGTCACTGTCCGCTGTCCACTGTCATTCCAGCGACATCGCTCCAAAAGTTTTAAAGCTTTAGGCGCGCGCGCGATGCGTTTTGCATATTTTTAAAAAAAAATTGTTCATATGTTTTGTATAGGAACGCGGAGACTTACAAATGCGCGAAATGGGTGCGGCCCCAAACAGCAGCCGCAGCCAGCAGCAAACTGCGGCGGCGACGCAATTGTTGTTTTTAATCTTATTAATTACATTGAGGGGGTGGGGTAGACATAAGGAATGTTAATTGATGCTCAAGTAGTTGAAAATGCCTCTTAAAAGAAAAAAAACTGATAATTCGACGTTCGGCCGCCAGCAGCCAGCAGCTTTTGCCATATGCTGCTCAACAATTGAATTGATTTATCGTTGAATTTTGACTGCAATTGCAGCAAAGAAGAAAGTAAGCCTAAAAGCAATTATGATTGACACTTTGTCAAGCCCGCATAAAGTGCGTTTGTGTGTGTATGTGTATGTAAGTCTACACACGACGCAGTCGCAGCGCACTTTCCATTTTGTTCCGCTTCGTGTGTGTGTGATAAGAGCTAGCAGAGTTCAACAAACTGGAATGCAACTGGAAGGGGGAGAGTAGTGGGTGGGGGACTAAATGGAATGGTTAATGAACGGACCTTTGTCATTTTTCATTAATCACAACGCCAACAAGACGACTACCCCCACCCCTCCTTAAGCGATGACTGTTGTAAACGCATTTTTTTGTTGTATATATTATCAGCAGCAGGCGCACATTTAGCCTTGCCTAAAAGTAAACAACAGTTGCAGCAGCAGCAGCAGGAGAGGATGGGTGATTAACCAAACGCATATTTTTTCACGCCATAAGCGAGCGTGTCGAAACCAATAACAACAGCTACAACAACAACAATATAATTCAACTTAGGCGAGGCTGCTGCTGCTATTTGTGCTTATTATTGCCGCCCGCATAGTTGGCATTCCAATGTGACTGACATTCCACATTCCATATTCCATGTGTACGATATATGCATATGGGGATTGTGCAATTAATTCAACATTTACAACAATATGCATTACAAATGCGGACAGGCAGACAGATGGACGTGCATAAATCAACATATATTTTGAATTCATTTGGTTGCAATTTTTTGCGGCGCACTTCCGAAACGACGACGGCGACAAGTAACTCAATTTATAATTTATTTAAATGTGCGCGCCGCGTACAAAAGCCAATATTGCCAGCACAAAGTGTTGACTGTGGCAACGGTCTGGCAACGCTGTCGGTCTCTCTGCATGTGTGTGTGGACAAACTGTACGTGTGAGCTGCGCTGTGCGTGTGCATGTTTTTGTGTATGTGTGTGTGGGGACTTTTTGAATTTTTCTTTTGTCAAATGCAGTCAAACGTTGAGCTGTGAATTGTTCCGCTCTTGTTTGACTTGTTTTGTTTTCTGATTTTGTTTTTTAATTAATAGCCGCATATTTGCCTTAAAACAAAGACTGTCCACACACATAGACATACACGCATACACATGCAATATGCAATATAACTGCAACGACAGTCGCTGCCTTTGTTGTTGCTCACTCACTCGCTCGCTCATTCACTTGCCTGGCATAAAACTCCTCTCTTTTGGCTTTTCGACAGGGTGTGGATTTCAAACTCAGACACACATACACATGCACGCAAGCAGACACTGCATAATTGCATGGCGTGTTGGGTTGCTGCTTGCGTTGCTGGTGTTGTTGTCGCTTATTCGTTCCTGTTGTTCTTGTTCTTCTCTCATTTTTTTCTGTCGTGTCTTTTTAACATGCATCCAATGCAATTGTTGTTGTTAGCAATGTAAAAGTCTACACTGCGCCAAAATTGAGCCGCCGTCGCCGCTTAATTGGCATAATGATATAATAAATAAAAAAAAATAAACATTTGCATTGTGTTTGTTGCTGCGGCGACAATGCGTCGCCGGCAAAACGTTGTCACTGCCGCTGCTGCGCTGCCTGTCCTCTGCTGGTGCTGCTGCGTTAAGTGTCGACAGTTATGCGTTGGTGGAAGCTTCTTCCATTTTTCGAAGCAGCCTTTTTTGTGGATCATTGGAATTAAATGTGACGACAACGGAGACAACGGCAAACGACTACTCCACCCTTTTTAGCCTGGGCAGCGACGACGACAACGACGGCGATGCTGCTGGAAAGCAAGCAGCATAATCTGCTCTCTTCCGTTTCTCTCCCTTTTCGCTCTCTTTTTGCTCTATGTGTGCGTGTGTGTGTGAGAGAGTTTGCAACCACACCCTGCTGCCTGCTGCCAGCCTGTGTGTGTGTGTGCGTGTTTGTTGCCCTTCCGCGCTAAAGCATGAAATATGCTACGCCCTGCGTTATATGAGTTGCTTTTGTTGTGGACAAAACCATAAACAGAAAAGAAAAATTTCTAATTAGAAATTACAACAGCAGAATAATAATAATATGCCGGACATAACTGTCACTTTTTTTGTAACGGTTAACGGCGCATGCATAAATTGTATGCACACATCCATAAACATATATGTATATGTGTATGTGTGTGTGTACGTGTGGTGTACACACTGGAAGAACACTGCTAGGCAGGCGGCACTGGAATATGCCAAATTCAAATAGCGGGCAATTGGAATGATTTTCCTTCTCAACGTTTGCGAGCGGCGGTTTCGTCGTAGCCATTCGTGTGTGTACAATTTTACATGCGTATGCGTATGTGTGTGTGTGTGTGCCGTTTCACAGTGGGGGTTGTTGGGTGTTGGTTGATTTTTCGGTACAGCATTTTGTAGTGGTTGTTTGTGGCCAGCATCTCTCGCCGCCTTTTTGGCATACATACAACACGAGTATAGAAGTGTATGTATGTGTGAGTGTATATATATATATTGGCAGGCCTATGTATGTCATGAGCGCCATCTAGCGTCTGGAAGTGAATGACGGCTCGCGTGGGAGCAGAAATTGAACTACATTACAAACACATTAGTCATGCACACAAACACATACATACAAGTACACACACACACATACACACAAAGGCTCCCATTAATTGGGAATGCTGAACGATAAGGAAATTCCTGAGGAGAAAAATTTATAAACAGCAGCAGCAGTCGCAGCAGCCGCAGCAGCAGCAGCACCCAACCCTTTATTATGATTACTCATCAGCCACATTATAATGCACCCAATCCGCAATCTCTCTAGCGCTTACTCATACACAATATATATATAAAATATAATTGTTTAAATATTTCCGCATATTTTTGTATTGTTTTCCTCCTCACAGAATGTGGATCATAAGATGCGTTTCCGTTCCAAGAAGGGTCAGTTGCCGTTCATTGAACTAAATGGGGAAGAGATTGCCGACTCGGCCATCATCATCAAGGAGCTGTCGGCCAAGTATGATAAGAATTTGGATGCCGGTTTGACTGCGGAGCAACGCAATGTTTCGTATGCGACAATTGCCATGCTCGAGAATCATTTGATTTGGATCATCTTCTATTGGCGCGCCAAGTATCCCGATAATGTCCTCAAGGGATACAAAGTGAATTTGCAGCATGCGCTCGGCCTGCGTTTGCCCAATTCCATTTTGAATTTCTTCTTTAAAATAACATTCGGTCGCAAGGTAAATTTACAAAAATTTTAGTTTTTTTTCCTCTTTTTTTAAATTTTATTTTGATACTTGGCACTTTTGTTGTGGCGAGTTGAAGATTGTTTATGGCAACTTGAGTCGGCTTTTCCGGCTGCGTTTCTCTGGCTGGCTTTCCTAGTGTAAATAAACAGAAAATTTGGAATCGTTGACGTATTATGTTGCACACCTACCCAAATAATAATAATAACAATAACAATACCACCTCTTATACACTAGCTGCAAACTCCGATCCGATTCAATGCGATCCCACAGCCAGAGCCGAGACAGTTAAATGTTTTGTTTATACTAGAAATATCATGTGAACATAAACAATATTGGGCGCGTTCCTTATTGTATTGTTTATGTTCAGCTCGTAGCTCTCATATAACCCCAATTAAGATATATACACAAAACAAATCCTAAATAAAACAAATTGACAATCATCAAATAAACAACAACAACTACAACAAAACTACAGTGAACGCTTGCAAAGTGGAAAATGTTTCGATTCTTTCTAGAAATGTTTGTGAATGCAATCAACTTTATTTTACTAGAAATTCAGTTTTAAGTAGAAATATGAATGCTTTCAATTTACTATATAACTTCCACCTTCATTTCAAATGTATTCCCATTTCCACTTTTCGAGCGTTCACTTTAATATAATTTAATACAAAAAACCAAAGAAATTCCAATCATTATCACTAACTCTTGCATGGTGTTTTTTCTCTTTTTCGTTTTTTTCTTCATATTTATGTATATTTATATATATATATATCTAAAAATATATATATACTTTTATGTTTTAAATGGTATCCTCCTCTGCTCTACTGCTAACTCTCTGTGTGTGTGTGTGTGTGCGTGTGTGTGTGTGTGTGTGTGTGTGTGCGTGTGTGTGTGTGTGTGTGTGTGTGTGTGTGTTTAATGTGTAAAACTATACCCACTGCCCCCCACAACCCGTTGTGCATTTTAACCATCTAAAAAACAAACCCAAACAACCAACAACAACAACAAACAAATTTGGCAACCGAATATTGAACACAACAAGTGGTTCCAGGGCACGAAAAAGCTAAAGGCGCACGGCATCGGTGTCCATAGCGCCGAGGAGATCGAGGAGTTTGGCAAGAACGATCTGAAGGTGCTCAGCGAGATGCTCGACTGCAAGCCGTTCTTCTTTGGCGATGAGCCCACAACCCTTGATGTTGTTGCATTTGCTGTGCTATCGCAATTGCACTATCTGTCCAAGGATATTGCGTATCCGTTGCGCGACTATATGACCGAGAAGTGCCCCAATCTAATTGGCCATGTGTCGCGCATGAAGGACAAGTGCTTCCCCGACTGGGATGAGATCTGCACAAAGCTCGATCTGAATGCGCACATTCCCAAGCCAGAGTGAGTCCAAATCCTAATCCTATATCCGTTATATACATCCATTAAATGCATTTTTCCTCCTCTTCCGCCGCTAGGCCCGAGACCAAGGAGGGCAAGGAGGGTGGCGAGCAGGAGAAATCAAATGAGCAGGAGGGCGCCGATGGCGACAAGATCGAGAAGGAGCTGGAGAAGGATAAGGTAAAGGTCAATATTCGTTAGCTGAAGATTCCATCTATCAAATTGCATTCTAATTAGAATTCTTCACCTCTTCCTTAAACAGTCGACCGAAAAGGAATCGACCGAGGAGAACAAGGAGAAGGAGGAGACAAAGTAAAGCGCCGTTAGTTACATCATATATATAAATCTATGTATATATATATGCAAAAGGACGATGAACGGAATGGAATACAACAAGAAGAACAAGAACAACAACCCCCCAAAAAACATATATATGTATATATATATGTAGTACGAGATACTATTACTATATATCTATAGTATATATATATATATAGTTAACGCACTGCGCTCATATATATTATAACATTCAACAAGCCAGAAAAAAAAAATCATTTAAAGCATAGGACAACTGTAAAGCAAAACAGGCAAAAACATAACAAAAAAAAGAATGATCCACTCAAAACAAAAAAAAAAGAAAAAGTAAAAAAAGGAAAACAAAAAACGTATATACAATAACGTAACGTAAAAACTTTGGACATCTTTTTTTATATATATACAAAGTAAAAAGAAAAAGAAAAACAAAACAAAAAAAAAATACAAAAAAAGAAAAAAGAAAACGGTAAAAACATTTAGTATAAAATTATAAAAGTTTATACGTATAAGCGAGAAGGAGAAACAAAAAGAAAAAACAAAACAAAAAAAGAACAAATGAATTATAAAAATTAGTTAAAGAACTCGAATGAAAGTAAATCAAGTGAGAATGCGAGATTGAGAAATGAGAATAGAGAGAGAGAGAGAAAAAAGTGAAAAACATGGGTGAGATAAGGTGTAGAACAGCATTTAACCGTTAGTTTTCATTGAAGCGATCTATAAAATGCAATTCATAACAAGCACTCACACATACAACACACACAAACACTCACTCACAAACACTCACTCACAAACACTCACTCACTCACACTCACTCGCTCGATTTACACTCACACAGCCATGTATACACACACACACTCACACAGACACACACACTTACGCAGATATATAATTGCATAAAGGCAGCAAAAATTGCAACTCGATGGTATTGTTTACTCTTCCAAAATTGATTAAGCTTAAAGTAAATGTCGGGGTTTAAAGAAGAAGATAATGTATGGCAGCGTATGTATATATATATACATGATATGATATATATGTATGTATGTAGTAGGTGATGATGAGAAGCTTTTGTGAGACGATTATGATGATGATTATGAGGGACCGCTGCTGATAATTAAGTTTATTTTTTATATATATATGATTGCAAATAGTAATTTTTTATTCATGTGTGCAAATAATTAAATAAAAATATTGAAAATTTATTACTTATAATTATAATATACATACATTATATACGCCCCTATCATAACGATGTGTATAAAAATAACAAACAAAAACAAAACAAACAAAAAAAGAAACAAAAAGAAAATCATGATAAATCGTGTATGTTAAAATCATCCTCTGTTTATTATTATTTTATTTTCTATGATTTTTTTTTGGGGGGGCAAGGTTTTTCCCACGAAAATGCCCATCCCCCAGCCTTGCTTTATATATGTTTTCATAAAAAAAAAACTTGAAATTCGAACCAAAAAATAACAACAAAAAAATACTCGGCACAAAAGTCTAAATGCAATTTGTACTTTAAAATTATACTTTTTATATTTCGGTACAAAACAAAATTTTGAAAACGCTTTCAATTATTTTATGTCTCGTCCCTTTTTTTATGTTTTATACAATAAATGTTTAATTTTAATTACGCAAATATATATAAATATATATATAAAAAAAAACATATGCATAATTTCTATTGTAATTAACGCTGCAAATAACATAAAACAAAACATCAAAACTTAGAAGAATCTTGAAAAGGGGAATACGGATAAGAAGAAGGATCATATAAACAAAAGAAAACAAAAAACACTGACACGAAAACTCAACTCATGCAAATTATTGGGAAATTTCTCAAAATGGGGAAATTTAAATTTGAATTACCCTTGCAACTTAAAAATTGTTTTTTTTTCTATGGTTTTTTGCTGTCTTCGCCATTATTAACTGCACTCAATTCAATTCTACGTTCTACCATTCTACACCCGCCAACGCCATGAGCAAAGATACAAAAGAAACAAACAAAAAAGAAAAGAAAATGGCATAGAAAAAATCAATAAAAAAAAACGATAAAAAAAAAACAAATTTTTAATAGGGTAAAACAAAAACAAAAAAAAAACAACGGAAAACTAAAAGAAACCAACCGAAACAACAATCGCCAAAAACGGCGTGCAATGAGGCGAGTGAAAACGTGAAAATGAAAAAAATAAAAATAAAAAGAACATTGAGAACACATTATAGGAGACGATGACGATGACGACGACGACGAAGACGCAGACGCAGACGACGATGAATGAGAGATAAAAAGAGAACGCTAGCTAGAAAGAAAGAAACGGCGCAAGACTCATTGTTGATGAAGAAGCAGAAGCAGTTGCAGAAGATGATGATGATGATGAAAGGGGAATCTCCATAACGATACGATTTGTAGACTATGCAAGTATTTTTATGTATTAAAGGTTATGTTGTAAGTTTTTATCACAATATTTGTATTGTAGCTGCTCAGTGTTTTATATGATTATATAAAATGGATAAAACAAACACAAAAAAAAGAAAACAAAACAAAAACCAACCGGACAGACAAAAAATTATTGTATTACATACATCTTATATATAATAAATATGCTTCTTAATAAAAATAAAACAAAACAAAACAAATACAACTTATTTATGACGGAGGATTTGCACAAGACACAACGCACTCCTCTCCTCACCCCCAGCCCCACCCCGCCCCTCCACTCCACAAACGATAACGCCCCACTAAGCTGGGGTGGCTTACAACAGAAAAAAAAGAAGAAAACAAAAAAAAAATAGAATAAAACACGCAGAAACAAAGAAGAAATTAATTATGATACTTGAGTTATCTTTGACGTATAGTTCTGATAACCTGCCCAAGTTGCTCAAGTTGCAACCGTGCTGTTCCTAATGCTTAGAATAATTAAATTATCTTTTTTCACACAAAAAAGATAGATTTTTTCGATAGCACCACCCAACCCAACCCACCGGGCGACAGCTCAAGTTCATGCGCCACAGATAGAGTGCCACACACACATATATAAATATATATATATATATGAATATTGTTTTGCTAGAGTTCAGTAATAGAAATCGATCGTGCTAGATATGAGAGTCGTAAACTGTTTTTATCATGATAATGGGACTGACCATAGACTTATAGATTAGTCACTCTCAGTTTAGTCACTTTGTGACCATAAATATAATCGAATTTTGATGGCGGAAGACACACAAAGTGGAGTGTTTTCTATATAGGGTTTCAAGAGGTTCAGTCAAAAGAAAACCCCAAACAATCGAGCCAGACGGGAAAGTGGTAAGCTATTTTATCTTGATAATAGTAATGACCTTATAGACTTACATGTTAGTCACCTTTAACTTAATTGCTTTCAGGTCATAAATACAATCGCAAGAGAGTGTGTGAAAGAGAAGAGAGAGGCATGGAGAGGAGGGTGTACTTTTGGGGGAATTTCAAAACGCTCGCAGGGAACTCCCATTTCTTCGGGTATTAATAATGATGGCCATATAATTTTGATATGAAACTGCTTCAAAGCTGTTATAGCAAGATAATTCAAAAGCTGGTAAACCAGAGTTATATTGCAGTCTGATATAATTGACCGATCGCGCTAATTTCTGATACAAATGCGAGGAACGTCATAATGCGCTTATTGGGTTAGTTGTGTTAGCTTAATAAGCAATAGCATCTACAGAATTTATTTGATATAATTGTCCAATATAAATATGTTTTCATTTATTGAATTGGTTTGGGATATCTTGATAGACAGAAGGTTGTTCATATAGGAGCTCAACTAGTGACAGATTGATTCTATGCCAGTTATAAGACTGCCTGTAGCAGAAAGACATCAATATGCCAAGTTTCATCAAGATATAAGACTAGTAAGCTAGCAATGCTGATCAAGAATGTATAGTATTAAGTCTTAAAGCCAACTTCTCAATATTCAAGGCTTTCAATTGGGAATATTGCCATCTGCGGGGCTCAACTGTAGTTAGCTGTAGCATAATAAATAAATGTATAAAGTCAGACAAATGCCAATGTAGCCCAGAACTGCCAATCAAATTGACATTCAATTTCAATCTGACCCAAAAGACATGCCAACAGTGATAATCGATATTTGACCTAGGCCAATATAAAAATGACTATCCAACAAATGCCAATGACTGAAGTTATTCCCCCCACACCCACTCCTTGCACACCCCTACCCCCTGCCCCTTTGCCCTTATCCATTTAGATAATCGACGACTAATTTGATGTCTGACTAAATGTTGGCGCTCCAAATTGAGCGTTCCTTATATACATATATATATATATAGCTATTCATCAAATGGCGCCCAGCGGGGGGCAGGTCTAATCAAGGCAAACACGTTCAAAGAATTGCGAGTGGGTGGTTCAGCGGTGCAGGGTGGTGCTGGTGCTGGTGCTGTGACGCATCCCACACACACACACACACACACACACACACGAAGAGACCCCTTTCAATCGTTGGTTGTCAACCGACTGTGACATTTGGCAATTTATTGAAGACGGATTCCAATCAGAGCAAATCATGCGAGCCTTCGAGCACTTCTAATATGGCAAGCGGAATTTACGGTCGCCTTGTGCTGTGGTAATAAAAAATAAAAGGTAAGTGTGATATCGCATATCCGGCCCAATACTGCAGCTGCAAAAAAATAATAAAAACCTACACTTTACGAAACAAATCGAAGAATAAACGAGTATGCCTCATTTATAGTTAAATTTAGCTGTGAACTAAAATGAAAATGCATAGAAAACTAGCTGGTAAAATGAGATAATAGTTTTTTTTTTTCAATATGAACAATCAGTGTTTCCATTATCTAATCTTAATGACACTTTTACAGTTGATCAATGATATGCCTGGGTAAGTTCTATATCAATTTTAAGAGTAATCTTTACTATCGCAAATCGATAAAAAATAATATTAACGAGAACTTATATTCCTAATATGAAGTCTTTAGCTGAGATCGTCGCAGTTAATGCTGATCAAGAATGTATATTCTATGGGGAGCTACCTTCCTCTGTCTGCTAAACATATTTGCAAATCTTTGTTTTACTCCGCTGCCAGTTCTTAAAGGGCTCGGCGCATAATAATTTAATTATTCCATGATAAGTATATATCTTATTGGATTTTCGATTCAACCTTTAATGCTACATAAGAAGCTGATAATATCAAAAACCATAATGCTCAGTACAAGCTCTTTTGGCTTTAAGAGCTTTTAGTTATCATAAAGCATAAGTTCTTAAAATCTTCTTCTAAGAGTTTCAATACCAGACTTAGACAAAGTTTCCACTTGAGTTAAGTACAAAATTCCCCCTATTTTCTCTGGGTGCAAAATAATGTAACGAGCTCGGAACGCTTTTGTCCTTTGTGGTGAGCAATAGCGTGCACCATTGCATGCCCCAATGGAGCTCTGTGTGTGGAAGGGGGGATTGGTGGGTTGGGGGTGCATAGATAACTATTGCATGAGGCTTGGCAGTAGTCGGTAGTGGAACTGTTGTCGAATCGCTCACAGCATTGAATTGGTGTTAAGCACGAACCGAAGTGAAATGGAAAATGGAAATTGCCCAAAATGGAAATCAGCAGTTGTCATTGAGGCTCGAGGATTGGGACAAAACAGCTGCTGCTGCTGCTGCTGGTGCAGGTGCTGATGGAGCTGTAGCTGGAGCAGTTGCTGCTGTTCGTTGCTGGCGTGCGGACGGAACAAACAGCAAATGTCGAATCAATTGTTCTTCCTCAGCTTGGCGGATATATTCTCCGTTTATCCGGCCATTTTCAAGGAGCGCAGCAAACAGCTTCGCAAAACCAAACAAATCTATTTGCCCAGCGATGAGGAGTGGCAGGACAAGAGGTATTTTATGCTGCTCGAGATACAGCGACAAGTCAACGATTCCGCCGACAAGACCATCTCCCTGAAGGACATCGATAAGCGGGAAAAACCCGTCTTTGATCCGCAACGCATCACCAAGATCCTTTCGCCCAGCATCAGTCCCAATGGCCGGAAGAGTCGTGCGCTCAAACATTGCCATGCGACCACAGTGAGGATCAAGCTGAAGGCCAGTGCTCGCTGGAATCTGCCCACAATTGCGAATGCCGCCAAGCTGCTGAAGAAGCCTCCGCTGCCAGTTGTCTTTCAGAATGAGCACGAGATGCGATTAGCCTACTCCCTCATCTACGACGTCTTTCGATGTGGGTTTAAATATTAGTTTGATTAGTTGAAGCTTGTACATAACCTCAGCTACTCTTCTTCTAGATAAAACAGTGTTGTGCAACGCCCTGTCGGATATCTGCTTCTTTGAGCAGGAGCGCTACAAAAAGGTACAGTTGAAGTGGGTTTTAGAATTGGAACTAGAATTGTTTCCCTTACCAATTTGAGCTTCCTTCTTTGCCAGTACATTGCTGATGAGCAGCGGATTTGGCTGATGCTCTTCGAGCTCTACGATCGCCACTTCAAGAACCGCAACTCGGAAATGCACGCAGAGCAGGCACAGCTCTATCAGGATGCAGAGGTGGCGGGTAAGTTTAGTCACCATCAAATGCAATCCTTCCTACTGCATCGCTTCCTCGCCAGAAATTGCCGCTGTGCTTTGGCAGCATCGCATTCGGCTGGCTGCTTCCATTTCCCGCATGCGAATTGCCGTTGGTGCACTGCGTCTCTCCCAGCTGCTGCCCATCCATCTGCAGAACGAGAAGGTGGCCATTGCGGCTGCCAATCCCGTCATCACTGGCTGGATCAATCCATTTCTAGTGCGGTAAGTCGCAGTGGAAGCTAGTCTTGCCTTAAATCGATTCCAATTTCTATTCCCATTCACAGCAACAAGGCGGAGGCGGACAAGCTGCTCATCGAAATGGGCTTCACTGTGCATGGTCCGGATGATGAGCAACCGCTGCTGGAGCAGCACTGCAAGTGGGACAACATTTGTCCGCTGGTCATCTCCATTATACCCAAGGATCGCGGCGAGTTCACCAAGTCCAGCCTAATGACCAAGCATCGTTTTATCATGCAGGTCAGCCGGGAGACCACAGAAATCTAGTCTTTTATCTATTTCATCTATTATCTATGCTTGTCTACTTAGGATAAAAACTTTTCCTATGGTCCAGCGATCATGTCCAAGCTCATGGACTATTATGAGTTATATGGTAAAATGAGCAGTTGGAACTCCTAGAAGATCCTCGTATATCTTAACTTGCTCTGTATATTCCCCTTTATATTTCACAACCAGGTGATATACTGCAGACCCATGTGGATTCTCCCCGATCCACCGCCTACCTGGCGGCACTTTTCTACTCCGTGAATCGTGTGAATAACTTTTATGTTTATGGCGCTGGCGCCAATCTCAAGGAGTACCGTCGCTATATGGAAACGATAGGCGTAAGTTCCACTTACTAATTCCAGATATATAACTGTATCTGTTTACAACTGCTCATGCAGGTGAACAACATACGCCTTTTTGGCGATGCCTTCACTTCGTTTCCCATGGAATCGAATCGTTTTCGCAATGTTATCGGCGTTTTTGCCACGCCGCCCAACTCCTTTAGTGCCATCTCGGATCCCATCGATTTGATTTGTTCGCGTGGCGGGGATCTGAGTATGCTGGAAGTGCTCACCGAATCGGAGGTCAGCGATGATGGCAGGCAGCGCGTGGGTTGCATCCTGGAGGAACAGCTGCTCACCCTCACCATGTCCATGTCGCGTCCCCAGATCCAGTTCGTGCTCTATCAGACGCACTCGATTGTGAACACGGAGAACGAGGACATGGTGCAGCATGTCATCGAGGTGATCAATAAGCTGGCGCTGGAGAAGCATCGGCATGCGTACAAGGAGATGAAGCGTCTCGAGGCGATTGCCGAAGCAGAGGCAGCGAATATACCCGCTGCAGCCATGTCCAAGGAGTCGCCACGCAAAAAGGACAAACTCTCCGCCGAGGACAAACGCAAATCTCAGCCAGAGCTCACCGCCAAGCCGGGTGAACCGGTAGTCCCGGCTGTACAGCTGCCTCGCGTGGACAGCATCGATTTGATTGTCACCCCGGACATTGATGAGTTCGTGCTGGACACTGTGCCGGACATCTGCATCAACCAGGACAATTGTATTCAGCTCCAGTCCACGGGCAGCTATCTCTCCCTCATCCGGCGCAAGAGCATCACCCAACTCAACGAGAAGTATCTCATCCGCATGGCCGAGCGACGTGGTCTCTTTGGCAAGCAGGAGCGCGATCGCAGCAAATCCCGTGCCGTCAAACTGCATGAGATCAACGAACCCCCACCTCCCGATACCGCCTACGATAACTGCTCGGCCAGCTCAAGATCGGGTGGCCAGCATGGGGTAAGTGTGAATCTAGTTATATGTCTACTACATATGTATATGAGTGGAACTAACCAACTTAGTAGAAATATAGAAAGAGAATTGTGCTTCCAACTTGGACTGTAGTCTTAATCTAGAGAGTCAATCATGACCAAAAAGGCCTGGTGGGAAGATTTGACCATGCCCTAGAAACACTTTTACAGGGTACAATTTAAATTTAAATTTCGATTCAGCATCCAACTTTATTATTCTAGCTTGAAAAGATTAGACACTTCCCTGGAAGCATTTTTAAAAATGAATTTCGGGTTCGAATCGCGCTTTCAACTTTGAAGACGGTGTCAAAAAGGTTGTGGGAGAATTTGGTCCCTTCAATCAGTACTATAGGGTATATCTTAGCTGATATCACGCTTGAATATAGTATTAATCTAGAGGTCAAACCATTGACAAAAAGGCCTGCTTTATTACAATCTGATCACTTTTAAGAAAGTTATGGCTGTGGAATGATTAGAACCAAGGGATTTTCTATAGATTGAATTTAGATAGAACTCAAAGTTTTCCCAAGTACAAATATGGTATTGTATATTGTATAAACATTGCATATATATTGAATATATATATATATTATTTATAGCTAGCCAGCGATCACTAATAGCTTCAATATCATTGTCAAAAATCTAAGCGAAACAAAATTTAAGCAAAATTTTTTAAGTGCCACAAGCAAATTATTTAATACAAGCTTAAATGTGAAAAATGTCTGGGAAAACTTTGACTTTAGATATGAAACAAAACAATTGACCCCAAAGTATTGATAAGATCAGCTCAGGTCTGTTTTGATCCCGACCATAAGCAACAAGTCCAAGGAAAGTGTTAGTTTATAAACTTTATTGTAAATAATAACAACATTTTTGAGAGTGGGTTGAGTTAATTGGTAGGGGCAGTGGGCAGGGGGTTGGCGAGAGGGGAGCGGGCATTGTATGCACACTTGAGACTTATGATCTAATAATTAAAATGAGCCATGGTGAATAAGTGATTTGAACTGCAATCATCGTGAGCATCATCATCATCCACAGCATCCACCTGACTATATTAGAGGAGAAGGCAATGGGTGAGTGGGCGAGTGGGCGAAGGGGAGGGAGGGGGGTCGAGGGGTCGGTGTAATTAGCATGTGGCATGCAATCGCATTAATCGCAAATCGCGCTCAGGGCTTAGTCACAGCAACAACAACAGCAACAGCAACAACAACAACAGCAGCAGCAACGGCAACAACAACAATAATAACAAACAGCAAAGAGATTAGGTCATGCCATTGGCTTAGCTCATTGGCCCATGACTAAAGCCCCCGCTCCACACATAAATCCTTGACTTGTGTGGCATTCTCCAATCTCGAATCGTTATTTGCGCCAACTGCTGCCGCTGTTTGTTTTGTTCTTGCCCTGCTGAAAGCCCTTGGCATCCTTGGATTTATTTTTGTCCAGCTTGCTGTTGTTGTTCCAGCCACCAGTCATGCTGGGACTGCTGCTGCCGTTGTAACTGAAACTGGACTTGAATGAGGGATTGCCAATGCTCTTGAACATCGGATTCGTTTTGCCGGCGCCAACAGCTGGCGCCGCCTGATTATAATAGCTCTTGTTGCTGTTCAACTGGTGCTGGTTCATCTGATGGTGCTGCTGATGATAGCCATGGCTGTTGACCATGCCCTTGTCTGACATCTGTCGACAGTAGCCGGCATAGCCGGTGCTCGCCAAACCCACCGAGGCAATGCCCAGACCCATGCCCACACCAGAGCCAACTGCGCCCACGCCCACGCCAAAGGTCGGCTTGTGACTGGTGCTAAAGGTGGCCCCCTGCTCCCCGCCCAGCGGTCCACCCTGCGTGTAGAACTGTTGTTGCACCTCCACAATATAGCGATAGGCCTCCTCCATGCTCTTCGGATTGCGTCGCAATATCATCGAGTGTGTTGGCTCCGGCAAATGATCACGGAATACTTGCAACGTTATGCGCTCAATGTCTTCCAAAGCGTACAAAGTGTCATTGTGGGTCAACTTGCGATTGAGCAGGCGCTGCTTCAATTTGGCCATCTTCTGATAGTACAGCTCTATATTCGAGTCCAGCACGGCACTCCTAATCTTGTGTATCAAACTGTAGCTCGACTCACGTTCCGCAAAATTGTGGAGCAGCTGCTCGCGCAGCTTATGCCAGGTTTCCGCCTTCAGCAGAGCACCGTTGCCATTGCCGGAATTGCCGCTGGCTGCCGGCGCACTCAGTTGTCGTGTGAAGACCGCATCCCTGGCCCGATCCGTGCACTTGTTCTTAATGTGCCCTATGAGCTGAGCCTTGTAGTAATCATCGAAAGAGTTGATGGCCGGCATTAAGGCCTCGATCTTGTGGAGAAATTGCGCCAATTTGCTGGGATCGCTGCCATCAAAGTTCTCCACGAGCTTAAGGCGACTCAGCACCTGGTTGTATTTATTCACGAAATCCGGATCCATTGAGTTCTTGGCACCAAAGTACGTGCCCCCAAAAACCACAAAAGCGAAAAATCAAATCAAATCAAATCAAATTTCGAGCGCGCCTTTTTTAATATAATTTTGGTTGGAAAAACAGATTTCTTTTTTCGATTCTAAGCAAATGTATAAATTAACATTGATTAACATGAAATTTTACGGCTGCGAAGAGCGGACCTCAAATCAAAAAAAAAAACAATGCCAACCGAACCGAACGAATGCGAAATTCGAATTGACACGATACGAACGAAAAAAGCAGACAGCAAAACCAATATTAGCAACGGTTAGATCGCTCGGCTCGTGTTCGGTTGTCATCGTCGCTGTCGTTGTCGCCGTCGGGCAGAACTGAACTGTTAAACTCAAACGCCACTCATTGTGGTTGTTGTGGCTGTATTGGTGTATTGGTGTTGATGTTGGTGGTGCTTGTGGGAGTTGTTTTGTGTACACACAAGCGTTGAATCATATATGCATAACAAAATAACAATAACAACAACAACAAGTTAAAGCTATGACAGATAGAGATAGTAACAACCCAGCAAACACACACACACAAATGCGCACACTCACGGCACGCACATAGTTCAACTTTTACAACTTTTACAACAACGGCAAAAAAGAGCGCGCTTAAATTGGATTTGTATATATTTTCCCATTGGAAACATATTAATTTCCAATCGGATAACACCGTTGTTGCTGTTGCTGCTGCTGTTTCTTTAAGTTAGAACTTTTAACTTTCTGTTTTGTTGTTTTAGATCGGGAAAGTTATTGTGGGAAGGTCAATTGAAGTCTATCTATCAGTTGATCACTCAATTTACAATATATACACAATAATAATAAAATCAAATAACAGTTCTTCCACATCGAAATCAATTGTTATTTAATTTGTGATCATTCTTTTTCTTATTCTTTATTTTTTAATTTTTCTGTTATGTTAAATGCTGAAATAACTTTTATGCTGAGTTTAAAATTGAGATGTTAACTTTCTGGCAATGAATGCATATGACAATATGTGTAAATAACGCCAGTTCAAGAACATTTGCCGGTTGAAGGAATTTGTAAGGTTTATGTGAAAAAGAATGAATTAAGAATGCCTGTGTTGTAGACACCCTGTACACACACTCCTTGCTGCTCATTTTATTGCTATCCAGCGATCTCTCTCGCACTCATTTCAGCTGCTTCTTCATTACGTCTATTCACCATGCTTAGATACATTTGCATATGTGTGTGTATTATAAGGACACCGATCAAAAGGGAATTTGACCAGCAGCAACACTTAAATAGGCAATCATTTTTTTTGTCGTTGTCTTGTGCTCAATTAAACATTGCTTGCTGTCGCCCCAGCAACAATTTGCCGTTATATGTTGCTCTACTTCTTTCCTTGCTTCTTTGCCCATGTCGATCACCTGATTTTGTTTTTATTTGGCTTTTGTATTTGTTTTCGTATTTGCAATTTAATTTTATTAGTTTGTTTTCCAAGAATATATATTTTCTGCAGCATTGTTTGTGTTTCTTACAGAATCGCATTCAAAAGTTGCTTCATTTCTGTGTTTGTTGTCTCGCATGACACACAACAACAACAACAACAAAACAGGCATGACAATGTGTATATGGCATTTTATTAGACCCACGCCTCCTACTCTTCGCACCTTCTCCCCCTCGCCTTGCCCCCTTCTTTTTAAGGTCTGTTGCGCCGGCGTGCGCACTGGCAACTAATTAGCAACAATTTTCGAACGTTAGCGGCTTGTAAAACGGTTTAATAATACCCAAAACCAAAAACCAGCAACTAAGAATGCTGTAGTCGACTACGATATACCCTACACCCTAGCCTTATTGTTAAATGTCCATTTTGTATGGAATTCCTCTCATATCTTATCTTACTGCACCTGTCACAGTTACTGAAATGTAAACAAAAACGAAAGAAAATGATTATGCCATCTCTTTCTCACACATACGCTTGCTATATATTTATTTGTCAGTTGATCAATAAAATAAAATGATATATTTTATTCGATTTTCGAGAACCGTGGGCAGTTATTGATAAAATGAAGCAAATTTGATCTGCGCAGGGTAAACGAGAATTTTTCAAATTTGAACTCTCCATCTGCTATACAGACGGACATGACTATATCGAATATATATGCTCTATGGGTTCGAAGGTGCTTCCTTCTGCCTGTTACATACATTATAACCTGTTACTAATTTTCAATGTGTACAGGGTATAAAAACCCAAAGCCAAAGCTAAAGCAGCTCGCTCAACACGTCATCCATTGTTGTCAATTTGTCAATATCGACGCAGCTGGCAGCAGAAACACCCAACGAGGACGCTCGCCTAGGTGTGCCCTGAGTGGGGGAAGGGGGTGTTTTGGGGGTGCTAATTTGAGCTACGACTCTAAACTGATAAGCGGTTTTAATTGCTCTATCTACGACTTCAACAGCGGTTGTCAGTTCGCATTTGTTCAAACCGCCTATTGGCGACTAAAACCAATTTACAACTTTGCAACTGTAATTTTTACCGTAATTATGCAAACAACAGCAACAACAATAAAAGCTAGCAAATAGTAGAAATGCCGCCTTGATAAGCAAGTTCAAGGCTAAGGCCTCGGCGAGTCTGAGAGTCAGAGACCGCAGCAAGCACCCGCAACCCCACCCCGCACCAGGCACCCGCATCGCCCGTATCCCCAGTCAGCATCTCAATGGAGTTTCACTTATCATATACAAATGCTGGCTTTGAATCATTTGCAATCCAAATGTAGCGCAAATTCTTCTAACTCAATTAAAGAAATAACAAGAAAAAAATCGCAAACATTTTGTGCATATTAAACTGTGTACAAGAGCGTAGTCTTATGTGGAGTGTAATGAAGTTTGAATACCCTTTTTTTTTCTTAGAAAAAGCAAAATGTATTTATTTTTTTAATAATTATAAGTGAATGATTAATAAGAGCAATGTAGTCGAGACTGGCTGAATAGGTGACACCCTGTACTCTTCGCAGTCAGGAAGCTCTCTCTCTCTCTCTCGCTGCTCTCTCGGCAGTTGTCTATTACTTCATTACCTGCATTCGCGAAGAATACTTGTTGTATTAGCAACTGAAACCCCTTTTAAGCATTAAAATACCCTAAACCGCTCATTATAATGCTCTATGTGAGCGTATGCAAAAAAATAAAGCTAGAAAATGAATATGTATGTTCAATTGTTGGAAAAGCTAATTAAATACGTGCGCGTGCCGGTGTGCGCTCGTCTCCGCTCGTTGCCATTGTCATTTTCATTTCCATACCGATTTGGCTAAACTACAACAACAACAACTGGAAATAACAACAACAACAACAACAATGGATACACAGGCCCGGCTGCAGCACCAGCGAGCGACACATTCGAGCGCCATTCGATCGCACCTGATAAAGGTGTCGACAACGCTGAGGCATCCGATAGCGTTCAACTTTAGGCGGCGCGAATGCAAACGCTTCTACGTCTTGCCCGTTTATATGGTAAGCGATCATAAACCAAAAATCAAATCAAAATTATTATGGCTACAACAACAACAATAATACCAAATACATTTACTATTTGCCCTCAATACGGCATACGCAGCACAGCACAAAGGAAAACAGCCGCTTGTGGTGGCAATATGCCTTCAAATGCGTCGCACGCAACGCTGGCAACGCCGTCTGGAATCCCAATCTGAAATTCAAGTTACACTGCAAGCGTCAGCTGCGCATCCGTCAACTGCGACGTGGCACGCAATGGTGCAATAGGCAGCCGCTCCACCTGCACATCGCAGACATCCAGCTGGTGTGCCATGTGCGCAGATATAGCAAGTAGAGATCGGTTAACTATAATTTCACACTTTTAAGTAGGTCTTTTAATACACATATTTTATATAGTATACTTTCGGAGGTAAATTTAAATTTCAGTTTCAATTTGAGCATTGCGTTGAGCAACTTGTTTTCAATTTCAATAACAAAATTGTTTAATAACACAAATGTAATTTGGCATAAATCATAAGATTAGTTGTACCGGGAAATATACATCAATATATATATATATCGACATCAATCCACATTGATGGCAGTCAATCAAAGATCAGGCGAAAGTTACAAGTTTTTTTGCAGCAGCAGCTGCTGCTTACAGGAAATACAACAAATATATATATATAAATCTTGAATTCATAGCATGTATATTTTTTAATGGTTGTACGAATGATGTTCTCTATTGCAATTAACGACACTACAATATGAATGGAAAATGTGTGTAGTTGTGTGTGTGTGTTGTGTGTGTGTTTGTTGTGTGTGATTGCCAGTTAATTACACATATAAGTTTTAATGCATTGCAATTACATATTCCCGATAATGGAACTTAACTAATGTATGAGGGGGTTGGGGTGAAGGGGGATCGGCTATATATATATATATGTATGTATGTATGCCATATTTTAATTGTAGTAGTAATGCTGATGCAGCGAGTATATATATATATATATATATATATATATCCTAGTTGGTGCACGTCTCGCAATGTTCAGCATCCCAGGCGCGTATCTGCAACGAGTTGAGATTTTAGTAAGAGATCAGATAAAAGATACAGCTCAACATGGTGTAAGTATATATAAATATATATGATTTGCATAGTTGCAATTAAAGATTATGGAACAATGAGTGTGTTACTCAATATATAAAAATACTAATAGAATAATAATGAAACACTTTATATTTTATATATATAAAATAATATTATATAAATACACGATATATTGCTTCAATTTGAATTGAACTCCGTCGAGATCCCTAACAGGATCAGGACCATATTGTGGCACAGAAAGACAGAAAATACTGCTGCTGAAGAACAAAAAGAGTTCTCAGACAAACCAAATGCAGCAAGTAATAGCTATAAAAAGAACAGACTTGGGATATATATTCACCGATCTTTTGACAGGACATAGTAGACTAAGAAGTCAACTATCTAAACTAGGTATTGTCAGCAGCGAACTCTGTCGATTTTGTGAAAACGCGAAAGAATCCTCAAAGCACATCTGAGCAAATTTCGAAGGAAATATAAATGATCAACCTGAAGTCGAAGCCCATCCCTATGCCCATGCTCCACTTTATATGGGTTACACCATGTCATACACCATGTCAGCTAATTATTGAATGAATCCCGGCCAGCTCACCTGACACTCTCGACTGCAGTACCATTGATTCTTACAGCTGCCACATAGAATGGTCGCCTTGCGCCTCTCACAATGCTGACAGCTGCGCTCCATCAGCTGATCTTCTGGTCCATTTGCAAAGCGTTTGCTTCTATTATTAATTGAATTATTATTGTTGTTGTTGTTCCTGCTGCGATCCTCCGTACGATATATGGAATGTGTGTCATTATACTGCGAAAATAGTTAGACAATTTTGAGCATATGTTAATCCTTGGACAGGTAAGCAACCCACATGCGGATGTATATCATTGACTTGGCGCTGACTGTGCTGCTTGCCCAGCGGGCTGCTGTTGTATAACGGTTTGACTGGGACATCATTATCGAAATGGTTGTCCAGCGAGTTGGGATGACTGCGATGCGCATCCATTGGATGCGAATGATGAGGCTGATGATGATGATGTGACGACTGCTGCTGTTGCTGCTGCTGCTGTCGATTGCGGTATGTGGATGCTGCACTGAGATCCGGTGTAGAATTTATCAGCTGCTTGGACTCATTGATTAGCTGCTGAAAACTGCAAGGGAAGTTGTTGTTAATAAAATTTCAACTGATTTGATTCAGACTGAATCCTAACCGTGACTGTGGCGGCTGTAGTTTATGGCGCCTGGCCGAGTACATTGACTCCTCAGCGTCACCATGTTGATATTCATTGTGTCCATAGACAGCTGAAGTATCGATTGCCACAGGGGGTTGGGGCGGACGCATTGCCGGCACCGAGTTGCGTCTGTGGTGCGACGATGGTGCCCCATAATGCTGAGTAGGAGGCGGCGGCATGGACATGTCCACTCGAGCGGCAGGCTTCTCCGGCATGCCCAGGACGCTAAATGAAAGAAAATACTCTGTTAATCCAGGTAAATCAATATGAAATAATATTTAACTAACCCGCGCAACATTTTAATATCATCGAGACTATTTTCCACCCGATCGATGAGTTGACTCATCGCATTCAGTCCGAAGCGCGTCGAGGAGGAAGGCATCGGTGCATTATGTTCGCTGAGCAGCAGCGAATTCAGTTCATACAGCTCCGATGTGCTGCAATTTCTGTTAAGGATCGTTGGCAGAATCTCCTTCATGATGACAATGCGCTCCTTGCGCTGGATGCGGACGCGCAACTCCTCCTTGATGCAGCGCAAGTGCAGCAGTCGATTATACTCCGTCTCCTTCTGGGCAATCAAATTGTCCAGCGTCTCGATGTCCGCCTCAATGCGCATCCTCTCCTCATCGAAGGATTTGAGTTCCGGCTTAACGCTGCGCACCTTATCATTCATAATGTCATCGAGTTCTGTGTACAGCTCCTTGACACGCTGATGGAAGATTGCATCGCTATTGTTGTTGCTATTATTCAGTTCAACTGAGTTCGGTTTGTTGCGTGCATTTGTTGCAGGCACTGCTGGGGCAGCTGGAGGAGCCGGAGAAGCTGCTGGAGGAGGAGCTGCTGGCGTTTGTGTCTGCGTCTGTCTGTTGGCGGATTCGGAGCGTGGCTTGGGTGGACGTGGCTGCAGCAGCTGAGCTGTGGGTTGCAGTTGTTGTTGTGGTTGCTGTTGCAACTGCTGATGTTGTTGTAGTTGCAAGTGCTGCTGCTGCTGTTGTTGCAGGTTGTAGGGCGTGGCAAAAATGGGCGCCTCATTAACTGTCACCTGTTGAATCACAACTGGCTGTTGGCTTGAAGTTGTCTTTATGGGCAGCGTCTTTTCACTTGGATAGACTATCTCCATGGGTTCAACGACCGGCGGCGTCTCCAAGTTATATGAATTGCTGGCAGTCAAATTCTCCGGCTGCTGCCGCTGTTGACACATCAGCTTCTTCTGTGTGTATAAGTCGATGCCGCCAGCAGACGATGGAGTCAGTGTGTAGGGCGAGCCCAGTTTGAAGCCCGGCTCAATGTTGGGTCTGAAAGTGGCAACAGCTGCTGATGGTGCTGTTGCTGCTTTGGACAGTGGCGTCGTCGGCATCGTTGTCATTGGCTGCACCGGCAAGAACTCAATGATGTCATCATCCAGGAATTCAGGAGCAGCGAGCATGGGTTTAATGCGCTTCTCCACATTTGCCTCAGCTGCTGCTGCTGCTGCTACTGCTGCCACTGGAGGAGGCGGCGTAATCGAGCGACGGCGTTTGATTGTTGCCTCCGCCTCCACAGGCATGGGCAAGCTAGTTGCTGCTGCTGGTTCCACAATTAGCTGCATGGGCAACTCCTGCTGTGGCAGTTCCAGCTCCTTCTTCAACTCACCAGCGGCAACGGCTACGACCTGTTCGCTAATCGGCTCAGCTGCCAAAGCCGGTTTCATTGTCAAGAATTCATCCAGCACATTGCCATTGTTAGCTAGCGTTGCATCCGTTTCCGTTGCCAACTCCAGTTGTAGTCCAACACTTGGGGCATAGTTGAGTGCCGGCGTCTCGTTTAGTTTCTCGGGCGAATCCTCGTTCTCGGTGTCGTCCAGACAGACCACTTCTGAGCCACTGGGGCTGTCGCTGCGACTGCGACTGCGACTAGGACTTGGGGTGCGTTCGCTGCGTTTACGTTGCAGCGCCATCTGCAGCGCCAGCTGCTCCATGTTCACAATTCTTTTGGCCCGGCGGCGCCTCGCTTGCGCCTCTCGAATGGGTAACGAGAGCTTCAACTGACGCGAATAGTCACGTTTTTTGGCCAAACGTTGCAACCTGTGCATATTTCAAGTATACTTTTTATTCAATTTGAACAGATGATAAAGAAAAATCAGTTCTATTTCGATTCTCCTTTTTTTTTACTGACAACTTTGACAATTTGAAAAGTAGGCAAGTAAAAAAGTTTAATGCAGCGCTGGTTTTAGAATGAACTCAAAAGCATAGTTCAATTTTGAAATGTAAATACTATGTAAATGTAAATAATAATGGTGTAAATTTACACATTGTTTTGTAAACGGTCCGAATGAAGAAATGTCAAACCTGACCATTTTAACAATTTGAAATGCAAGGCAAATAAAAAGCTGAAGGCAGCCCTGGTTTTAAGTTCAACTTAAAAGCGTAGTTCAATGTTAAAATGTAAATAATTTAAATGTTAACCTATTGCATTGAATTCTTCACTGACAACTGTAAGCGATCTGAATGAATAGTTTTATTTCTTTGTTACTTACCACTTCAGGCTGCGCTGCTTAAAATAATAATTTGCTTCGTTGTTGCGTTGCATTTGCTTAATCTGACGCTGCGTTGCTGACCCAGAGGCTGGCGCCCGAGTCTTAGTTGAGCCGGCGGCGGCGGCAACAACTGCATCCAAGTCAGCCGATAATTTTCTGGGTGTTGTTGCAGCGCTGTTATCTGTTTTGGCCGGCGATGTTTCTGTGGACTTTGGTGGGGTTTGTTTGCTGACAGCGACATCCATTAAAGCATCGTCGTCCTCGTCGTGGCTGTATTCATCGCTGCTCAGTTCCGAGTTGGACGTATCGTAGATTTCCACATTCGACATGGCTCATAAAATCGGAACACAACACACCAACTATAAACGGGAAGACGTTGGGGAGGGGAGAAGGGGAACAAATGTCAACCAGTAGCTAATTATACACTTTACAGCAGCAAAAAAAAAATACTTACAAAGCTGCTCACGTTTCGCGTTTTTTTTCTTCTTTCTCTCGTTGCAAAAAAAGCGTCTGCCGGCAGAAATTGTTTCCCTTCTTCCTCTCAGCTAGCAAATTTCTGCCTTGTGCCTATTTGCCGCACAGTATGCAAATTGGTTGCTTATTCTTTTCTTGCAGCGCACCAATAAAATTGCAATTATATTAATATTTTTATTTAATTGTTTGCGTGCATTGCAAAAAAAAAAAAGATTTTGCGGCGACGACGGCTTTTATTCGTGTTGAAGACCGTGGAGGATGGCAATAAAAGAAGAAGAAATGTTTTTGCTGTTATTCACTGCAGTGCGACTAACAGCGAGACAGACAATAACATTTTGATGAAGCACCTAACAGCGAAACATAAAAAACGAAAATAAAAAAATTTTACTGTCTTCAGTAATCCAAAATATGATGTATGCAATTAACTAATTCTCAAGCTACTCAAAGCAGAAATCATTTTTATATAAGCAAGTGGGACAATTAGACCGCGCTTTTGAGTTTATAGTTGACAACAGAGCGATGTAGTATATGTTAATTAGCAGAAACTATCGAGTTGTTTTTGAGCAGCTACTGTCATCGATACTATTATCGTATAAATCATGAATTTAAATAGAACAACAATTTCTATATGCTGCCCAATTAGATTATTTATAGAAAGTATTGTTTCTCAATACGGGAACAGACATGAGCACAGTAAGACATGGCAATTACATTTAATAAAACTTCCCGGCACTCATTAATGTTTGATTGATGTTATATCGCAGATGGAACAGATATAAAATAAATAGATTGCCAGCAAAATACACAAATGCAAATGAACAACTGTGCCGGCTGTTGCAGCAGTTAATGTTAATATTCGCACACGTACGTATGCTTGTGTATGTACGTGTGTGTGTATATAACAAGTGACAAATGCCCTATATAAATATAGTTATATACATATAAATATGTATAAGTATAAATATGTGGGAAGCGCCTTTAATTTGCTCTATCTTGGGTTACACGCCAATCGCGACAGCTACACACATTTATTGATAACGGTAAAAGGGTGATTAATTTTGATAATCACAAATAATAACTCAGTCAATGGAAGTAGAACTAGTAGAAACTGTTTGGCACTCAACTTTCGCACTCAGTTGACCACAGAAGCTGCTAGTGCACACAAGGAAGTCTTTGCTCCCGCTCTCTCTCTCTCCCTTCCTCTCGTTCGCCCTCGTTTTAAAGATCTGCCCCTCTAATTAAACAGGTGAGTTTTTTTTTGCTACTGCATTTTTGTGAATAATGAGAATTATTGAGGTGATTAAGGTGACCTTTTTTTTGTGTAGCTTAAAACCTGTTTGATGAGTGCATAAATAAATCCAGACTTAAATTGAAGAACAATTTGATTTAATAACTATTTCATTTTGTGCACTTTCCTGTGCAAGTCGAGTTACGTAAATTTCTTAGAGGTTATAGAAAATATGTAGATAATTTTAAAAACTCATTTTTTACATTAGTAAATTTATTTAAAAATTAAAAAAAAAAATTTTTTTTTTTTTTTTAATATCTTTGTTTCAAAAGCAGTTTATATAAATATTTCTTATTTCTTCTCTTTTTAGTCTCAACATGGTGGAGTTGAAAAAGAGTATCATTGGCCATATGATTATTGCAATTACTTTCTTCACTTCTGCTATGCTTTGCACTGTTGCACAGTTGCTGCTGCTGGTTTTGATTAAACCCTTTAATACCACACTCTTTCGGAAGTTAGCGAATTATCCATGCTATAGTTTTTTTTGCCGTAAGTTCTGTTTCACATAGCAAAATACATATGAACATATCAATGTGCCGGCTGCTGCAGCTGTTAATGTTAATGTGTGCGTTTATCTAGCTGTGTGATACACATAATTACAGTGAGTAATAGTTCAATTAGTTCAAATTAACTTTGGTCATATTTGCGAATAATTAGGTATAAATATGAATTTACATATGTGCCGGCTGCTATATCTGCTAATGTTAATATTCATGTGTGTGTGTGTGTGTGTGCTGTTACAGTGAGTAGAAGTTCAGTTAGTTCAATTGAACTTTGGTCACCTTTGAAAAGGCAGAAAAATATAGAGAGTAGTGCGTAAATAGGTATAAATATTTTATATATTATTTATCTATTTATCATTTGATCTATTTTAGAGCTGGTTGCTGTCGTTGAATGGTATGGCGGTGGAAGAGTGCGTGTCTTCATGGACGCGGAGACGGAGCGTCTGTATGCTGGCAAGGAACATGGTTTTATGTTGATGAATCATTCGTATGAAATTGATTGGTTGGTCGGTTGGATGCTTCTCGACAAGTTGACTCTGCTGGGCAACTCCAAAGCCTTCACGAAGCGGGCGCTCAGCTATCTGCCCTTTGTGGGCTGGGCCTGGTGGCTCGCAGAGTTCGTGTTTCTCAATCGGGACTTTGAGAAGGATAAGGAGCTGATTGCCAAGCAGTTGAAGGTGATTTACTCGTATCCAGATCCCACATGGTGTCTGCTCAATGCGGAGGGCACCCGTTTCAATCAGGTCAAACACGAGGCATCCGTCAAGTTTGCCCAGGAGCGGGGAATGACTCCCCTCAAGCATCATTTGATACCACGCACAAAGGGATTCACGACCAGCATGCCCACACTGCGTGGCATTTGTCCAGCGATCTATGATGTTAATACGGTCTTCTCTCGGGATGCCAAGGTGCCGGCAACTGTAAATTCCGTGCTGAGTGGCCAGAAACTGGAACCATGTGTTTTAGTCCGTCGCTTTCCACTGGACGTGGTGCCCGTCGATGAGAAGGCGGCAGCTGCCTGGCTGCAGAACCTGTATGTGGAAAAGGATCGCATATTGGACAGTTTCCATGAGACGGGCAGTTTCTTCAAGACGTCGGGCATCAAGGAGGTGCCCTCCAAATTGCACCAGCCCCGCATCTGGACCCTAATTAATTTTTGTGCAGTTGCAACCATTTCCATAAGCTCCATTTTATACTATCTGATCGCGTCTGTGCTGGCGGCCAACTGGTTTGGCGTCATAGCAACGATGACAGTTTTACTCATCTGTACGTATTTTATGAAATATCTTATAAATGATATTATAATTGTACTAATTCCGCTTTGTTTTGTCTTTTCTAGTTTACATATTGCTGAGGAAAGCGAACGATATGTCGCAGATCGGCAAAGCTTCGAGTTATGGCATCGCCAAGTCGAAAACTACTTAGAATTTATTTAAATTAGAGTATCTGACGCTTAAATGCCTTACATATTTACGTATGTAGTTATATCGTTTTAACATTTTTAATATGCAATTGAAAATAAAGAACTCACATTGAAGTCAACTATTTGTATCTACTTTTACTTAATTTAAGTGGACTTTGGCACTAACAAAATAAATTGTTTGTCAATGAATCAAACTTAGATAAGATAAAGGTAATTATGATTATAAATATTGTGTATCAAGGGTAACAGCAGTTGCCATTCTTATCGGGGTGTCTTCCAATAAACAATTACCGCATTGCTTATATTATTTAGCACTAAGTCTAAAACAAAAATAAACATATAATTTTGAGCTTTTAGCATTTCAAATTTTGCCGCCATTTATATAGTATATGCAGATCAGCTGTTGAGCCAAATAGGCATAAGCCAGGGCTGCACTAACGGCTGCATATACATGTGTTTAATCGATAGGCTTGGTTTCAGTACAGCCGATAGTTATGACGATTGCTTTTGCAGCGCTTGGTCCGCGAAAACAACTATAGTAAATAAAAAAAAACAAAAACTAAAAAAACACAAACGAATCGCACAAAAAACGTTGCCAAAGGTAATTTGTGCCGCGTGCACATTTTTATATCGTTGTATATATTTATATATATATATATATATATATATATATATAGTGGTGTCAAGAAATAAGTAAAGTATATAACAAAGGGTGTATATATGTATTTGTGTATATTTATGTTACTTGGACCTTCATCAATATTAACTAGATAAATAAATTGATAAGCGTTAGCAGCTTCCGTTCATTGAACCGCATTAAGCAATGCGACAACAAAATTGCTTCTAATAATAATTACGCCAAGATAAATTACGTTGGCAAAACAATCTCACACAAACACGCACACACACGCACTCAACAAAACACACACACACACAAACGCTTTCCCAGTCTTTTTTTGTATCTGAATATGTGCTAAATATGTGTGAATAGATACTACGTGTGTGTGTGTTATATATTTTATATATATTCCATTGGGCAATTAAAAGTGAGTCGGACTCACTGGCTACGGACTTTGGCCAGTTCACGAGCAAATAAAAAATGAATTAAAATAATAATATAATAAACTACAAAATAATCTTTATGGCAACTGCATTATTGCTTGCCTGCCCTGACTAACTATATACATATACATATAAATAACTTATCTGCATGTACAGAGCAATCAGTATAGCAATTGCATTTCAGATTGCCTGCCTAAAATAACCGTAAATATACATCTATAACTTATCTGCCTGCGTATAAAAGTCTAGTCAGATAAAGCAAAGTTTTTTTTTTTATTTGGATTCAATTGGCCTTTGGAAGTTATTGGCTTTGTTTTAATGCTTTTGTTGCCGGGCTTCTGTTTCTCGAATATTGATTAGAATTTGATTATTCGCAATCGAATCAGAAGTTCCCTGTCCGCCAAACAAGCCAGTTTGCTTAGAAACCGAAATTCTTTACTAGACGCAGTAAGATTCTAACTTATAACTACGATTATATTATATACATATAACTATAGAAATAAAATATGACTAGGTACTTTGATTCTAACTTCAATATATTAAGCATGAAAATAAATGATCCCCTGTCAAGTATATATACATCACTAGATAGTATTATTATTATTATATACCTGAAAAATAAATAGCCAAAACTCGCTCATCTCTTTTCAAGAATAAATATATTAGTATTATTAGTATGTATATATATTATATCTTATATAATCATCAAAGTAAATAATCAAATTACATAATTCCCTTTTCAAGGGTATATAGATATATTACTAGATTTTATTGTTATATACATATTAAAAATTCCTTCTTCCCTTTCAAGGATATACATTTACAAAGCGAGTCAAGATGATTACGCTGGCGGAGCTAAAGAAACTGAGACTGATCCATCTATGCATTGCCATCACGTTCTTTACGAGCGGTTTGACCGTCAATTTTGCCCAACTGCTGCTGCACATCTTCCTCAAGCCATTCAACAAGGTCCTATTCCGCAAATTAATGTACTACCTATGCTACTCCTTCTACTGCCGTAAGTAATAATCGATTATATTATTCACTGTATTAACTTTGCATTTGCAGAACTTGTTTTTGTTGCCGATTGGTATGCGGGCTGCAAGATGCGTGTCTATATGGATGCGGAGGATGAGAAGAAATATGCCGGCAAGGAGCATGTGCTGCTTCTGATGAATCACAAATATGAAATTGATTGGTTGGCTGGCTGGATGATTTGCGATAAGCTGGGCGTTCTCGGCAATTGCAAGGCGTATGCGAAAAAGGCAATCAGATATGTGCCATGCATGGGCTGGGCCTGGTGGCTAGCCGAGTTTGTGTTCCTCAATCGTGACTTCGATAAGGATAAGGAGATTATTGCCAAGCAGCTAAAGGTCGTCTACTCATATCCCGATCCAACGTGGCTGCTGCTTAATGCGGAGGGCACCCGTTTCACGCCAGCGAAACACGAGGCATCCGTTAAGTTTGCCCAGGAGCGGGGCATGACACCACTCAAGCATCATTTGATACCACGCTCTAAGGGATTCACCGCCAGCATACCCACAGTGCGTGGCATCTGTCCAGTCATCTATGACATCAACCTGGCATTTAAAAGCGACGAAAAGGTTTCCAATTTGACAATCTTTTTCTTCAAATCTTAACTCTAATCTCTCTTTAGGTACCTCCCACAATGTTATCGCTGCTGAATGGCAAAGGCGTTGAGCCTTATATGCTGATGCGACGCATTCCCATCGAGCAGGTGCCGGAGGGCGATAAGGAGGCGGCGGAGTGGCTGCAACAGTTGTTCGTTGAGAAGGATCGCATAATCGATAGCTTCTATGAGACGGGCAGTTTCTTTAAGAACTCGGGCATCAAGGAGGTGCCGTACAAAATCTATGAACCACGTCTCAGCAGTCTGCTCAACTTTGCGGGCTGGGCGACATATTCGCTGTCGTGCATCTTCTATTACCTGATCACATCGCTGCTGGCGGGCAATTGGTTTGGCCTGATAACAGCCTTGTGCATCCTTGGTTTCTGTATGTCAAAACAAAAACAAATAATCAATAATCAGATGAATCATATAATTTCCTTATTTTCCTTTACAGTCTATTGGCTAATGGGTGCCGCAATAAATAGTACAAGGATCAGTAAAGCATCGAATTATGGAGCGAAAGCAAAAGCGAGCACAAATTAAATTTTTGGATGATATATAATATATTTATATAAATATATATATATATATATATATATTCGTTGTTTGTTAACGAAACTCCTTTAGTCAATGAGCCAAGCTGATAATCTCACAATTATTATACATCTATACTTATATATACAAATAACTTTTAATTTAGGATGCTGCCTGATTGTTTTTATCAGCTGTCCTTTTCTCCAAGTTTTTTGCTACAAATTGATTTTATGCTTTTGTTTCACTTTTTCGGCTATAAGATGGGATTATGTTATCGGTTTGGTCAGTTTACATTTAAATAAATTAATAGGACCGCACACTAGACACTACAAAACGTTAAAATGTATAATAAATATGCAATAAATATTTAAAAGTTAAAGCCATTTGTTTTTTTTTGTTCATGCATATATATTTAAGTTCTGTTTAAAAAATGATTACATTTTAATGTAAATCAGCTGACCAGGCATCGACTAGTCGATACTATCGATAGTTTTCCTAGAGCTGTCGCCATGCAAACCGCTCAACCAGAGACTGCATCGACTAACATAATTATCGATAGTTTTCCAGTTCTACTCCCCATTTTTTATAAAACGCCAAATGAAAATTACAAGAAACTTCGTACCTCTAATTTAATGCAATAATATGTGCAATTTGAAGGTGAGTTCCAATTAACTGTACAAAGCAAATGATGCTGCATGCAGCAGCCAAAAGCATAGTGCAAAGTGAAAAGTGAAACGTAACACAGCCTCCAGTTTTGCCAATTTTGTCATGTCATTTTTGGGAACGGGGGCTCGGGCGCCTCTCCTTCTGCGTAGGCTCAAGGACCATCTAATACAGATATCTATATATCTATATATATATATATGCATAGAGAAACACTGGTAACGGGCAACAAAAAAATCGCTTTGTATTAGAAGAAGAAAAAGAAAGCAGACGGGGAGCTGATGACGTTGAACTACCTTCAAAATTTCTCTCCATTGTTGTATATACATATATATATATAAGTTGCTATATAACTGCGACCATTAATACATTTACTTTTTACAAGTGCATGTATATGCGTGTGTTTGTCTGTGTGTGTGTATAGTGAAAAGTGATTTGTTACTCCATGCGAGTTTGTCAAGGAAGTGATTTTTAAACTGAATTCTTGCATATGCTCAAATATGCATATATGTGTGTGTGTGTATATATAGGTATGTGGCAAACACACACATACGCACAGTCACAGAGCAGCAACATACATATGTATGTATACAGCTATATATGTATATGTATGCGCGTGTGTGTGTACGTACTGTGGAACGACAGCTGACGTTGTTGGGGTATCGGTGAGATATCGGTGGGGTATCGGTGCAGTAATCGTTAATCGTAAAACTAGAAATATTAGTTTGTGGTTCCGCTTCAGCCGAAGCTTAATACCCTTTGTGTATTATGACATCAAAGTGCTGATGAAGAACTTATACTCACGCATTTTCTTATGATACGTTAAATATGTATAGTCTGAAATATAGTCGAAATCTGTAGGTTGAAATGTTATATATTTGTGGTTTGGTTTTTGCAGCATGCCGATTCAGGCGCCCTCATGGACAGACTTTCTGAACTGTCCCATCTGCTGCAATGAGTTTGATGGCAGCCAGCGTGTGCCCATTAGCCTGGGCTGTGGCCACACAATATGCCGGCCCTGTCTGACAACGCTCTACAACCGCCAATGTCCCTACGATCAGGTGAGTCAACTTTTAAATCAAACTAATTAAGAAATCTTACAAAAGATTGTATTTACAAAATGCAGACACTTATTGTGACGGATATCGATAGTTTGCCCATTAATTATGCGCTGCTGCAGCTGGTGGGCAATGGAGGTGCTGTTGGGACTGGCAAGGAATCGGAGCTGGCCGATCTGGCGCCGAGTGTTAAAAAATTGCTGGCAGAACAACTGAAATGCTACAAGCTGGGGAAGAAATGCATCGAGGAGCTGGCGTTGCATTTGCGTTCGTTTTTAAATCAGAACAGCAGCAATCTGCTGACGCGTCCCATGCAACGAAAGCTCGTGGCACTGGTCAACTGTCAGCTAATGGAGGAGGAGGGTCGGGTGCGTGCCTTGCGTGCCGCTCGATCCCTGGGCGAACGCACCGTCACCGAACTAATACTGCAGCATCAGAATCCACAGCAGCTCAGCTCGAATCTGTGGGCAGCGGTGCGCACTCGAGGCTGCCAATTCCTTGGGCCCGCCATGCAGGAGGAGGTGCTCAAGCTGGTGCTGCTCGCTCTCGAAGAGGGTTCGGCACTTTCGCGCAAAGTCCTGGTCATGTTTGTGGTGCAACGATTGGAGCCACATTTTCCTCAAGCGTCCAAGACGAGCATTGGGCATGTGGTGCAGCTGCTGTATCGGGCCAGCTGCTTTAAGGTGTCCAAGCGTGAGGCGGACTCATCGCTGATGCAACTCAAGGAGGAGTTTCGCACCTATGATGCATTGCGTCGCGAACACGACGCCCAAATCGTTCAGATTGCCACCGAGGCGGGCTTGCGCATTGCACCCGAACAATGGTCGTCGCTGCTGTACGGCGACATTGCGCACAAATCCCACATGCAAAGCATCATTGACAAACTGCAGACCCCATCGGCATTTGCCCAATCCGTACAGGAGTTGGTCATAGCACTGCAGCGGACCAGTGATCCCGCCAAGCTGGCACTGCTTCACACCCATCTGCAGTATTTGGCGAGCATTGATCCGGGCGTGGAGATTGCACCGTGGGACGATGTCGCCAAGGCGCTGGACGCTGTACGCAATGCTGTCATGGGTCTCGTCCTCTTCCTGCAGCATCATGGTATACGCAAGCCACAGGATAGCGGCTCCGCGGGTGGCGGTGGTGGTGGTGGTGCCGCAGCCGCTGCCAATAACAACACCAAGTATAAGATTAGCCTGTGCCGCGATCTCAACCATCGACGCGTCTGTCCGCGTGGCGCCAGCTGCACCTTTGCCCACTCCCAGGAGGAGGTCGAACGCTATCGCGCCCGCAACCGTGGCAAGCACATTAAGTCGCCCATGGCAATGGCCGGCATGCCAAGCATTCCTCCACAGGGCGCGAAGGGAGCGAAGCCACTGCCCGATGTGATTACACATGCCGGTCCATCGGCCATGATGCCCATATCGCCCATGCGCTTCATGCAAGCGATTCCACCAGCCACAGCACCACCTCGTGGTGGCTACCTGGAGCCCAACTGCAATCTACAGCCACATAATCTATCGCCCAGTGGTGGCGTGGTGCATCCGCTGATGCATCCACATGCCAGTCCCATAGCACGCCAGCACCAGCAGCAGCAGCAGCTCAACGGATTACTGGTGGCGCAACCACCACCACCACCTGGCCAATCGGTTCACTATGAACAACGCTACGGCTTTCAACGGAATCCGCCGCCACCACAACGCAACCCACCGAACTACAGCAACAGCAACCACAACAGCAACAACAACCACAGCAGCAACAACAACCACAGCAGCAACAGCAGCAGCAGCATCAATCACAATAAGAGCTTCATCAGCATGCTTCCAGCGGATGTTTACCATTCGTCATTCTCCAATGCCGAGCAGCAGCAGCTGCCCGGCAAACTGGCGCATCATTGGGAGCACACATACATGCCGTCGCCTGGCTCTCTAGCGCCGTCCAGCAAGAATCCCGGTCGCAGCAGCATGTCGACCATTTTAACCGCAACAGCTGATACCTCATTTTATGAAAAGAAACCGCCGAGTAATGTTAACATTGACCTCGATATGGTCAAGCCGCTGAGCGAGAACTCAACGCCGCTCTATAGACCCAGCAATCACAATCACAACCACAACAACAACCATAGTGGCAACAACAACAGTGGCAACAATAACAGTAGCAGCAACAATCATAGCAACAATAATAATAGCAATACATCACTTTTATTCTGGAATAATCCCAACAACAAAACAGAGTCCGCTAACTTTGTGCGTTCCGACTCCATATTGGACGACGATGCAACGACTTTTGATATGCCCACTGGTTCCACCAACCATAGTCGCTACGGCCCCATTTGCCCCAAACGCTCCACGAGCAACAATTGGCAAAACTCCTGGCTCATGGAGAACGATGCCATCAAGAATAATAGCGAATTTCTCGTCGATAAGCTCACCAGTTATGCGGCAGGCTTCAAGCCGGACCACAATGAGCACAATCCCAATGCCAATGCCAATAAGGTAAGTATTAGCACTGAAAGTCAAAGAGTAGCTTCTCATTGGAATCCTTCACAGAATCCTACTGCACGTGAGTTCATTTGGAACAGCGATCCGACAAATGCGTCTAGCAATTATTGGAGCAGCAGCAGCGTCAGCGAACCGGAAAGACTGAAGCATCAACAGCAACAGCATCAGCAGCAGCAACAGCATCAGCAGCAGCAACAGCAGCAGCAGCAACAGCTGCATATGATGGAAAGGAAGCCAGTGTTGCTGTCCGAGGACAGTTTTGATGGTGGCATCGATAGCGGCATGATGATCGAGCTGGAAAAGAAACTGGTCGACATTGTTGAGGTCGGCTCGAATCCGGATGACAGTGGCATTAAGCTGGATTAGAATAGTTGGAGTCTTGGGAGGAGTGGAAACATAATGCAATCATTTTACAACAGATCTCTCTCGATGAGAGGGACACGTTTCGAGGTTTGTACACCGCACACACACAGCTTAAAATTCTAGAATTTTCAATTAACTAATACATATAGCAAATAGTTAAACGATTGGAATCGTGTTTCGATCACAAGAAGTAGAAAAAAACAAGTAAAAAAGAGAAGAAAAAAAAACACAAATTTGGGTTTTGGGGAAACTAGAATTTATTATATAATTGTCTCTGTAAAGTGTTGTCAAGCTCTTTATATATAACTAATGTATGCCGCATATATACATATATATATATATATATATATATATATATATATGAATTGAGGGTTCGGGCCAACCGAACTTAGATATAGTCCGTGCTATGTTTTATTCAAAGTCAAATTGAAACTACTCGTATAGAATATACTTGATGTCTAAATATTAGCACAACAACAACAAACAAGAAACAACAATAACACTAGCTCTAGATCGTAGATATTCAATTTGCTATCTAATGAATCAATAATTAATTATATCCACAAGGTGTCGGGTAGTTGCTCCCACTAAAAAATATAAAATTAAAAAATAATAAATAAAAAAATAATAAAAAATTAAGCGATCTTCAGGAAAAGTTCACACAACGTCCGAAACTGGTATAGAGGGGGTCCCCTAGATTAGAGAGCACTCGACTTGTAAACGATAATGGGTAAAGATTTATTGCACTAGAATCGAATGCCAAAATGCTAATTAACCATCAGTAATTGTAAGGACCCAACAGAAAACAAAAACACTGCATAATGCTGATAATGTATGTAGTCTCGCCAGATCGTGATTTTGTACGGAATGTAAAATGTTAACTGCTGCTCCTCTTTGAAAGCTAAACAAACAATAATATTTGTGTTTATTATGATTATTATTATTACAATATATATTTTTTTGTTTATTTTAGATTTTTTTTAAATTATTAACTATGTATTTCAAATCGAAACGCTATTTTTATATATACACCTAAAAGTGAGGAAGTTGATGATGATGAAAATATATATAACATATATATATATATATATGTATGTTCTAGAAAGTTGTGGGGGTAAAGTGAGGCCCGCACCTGGGGGGACCCGCATACGTTTGATAATTTATATATATGTGTATGTGGATGAATGTTTATATTTCTTAAAGAAATTTTAATAACGCTATTGTGCGATGTTGTTAACTATTGTACTATATTATTAAATTTATTGAAAATAAATTAAAATCATGTCCCTTTACGTTGTACTCGTTGACTGTGAGAAGCGATGTCATACTTGCAGAATACATATATATGTATCTATATATATATATATATAGCCCTACAATATGTATATGTATTTATAAATATACATGCATTACTAATGTATATATACTATATACTACACTCTACTACGTATGTAATACATGCGTTTATATTTTAATTGATATATTAATATTATATATTAATATCAGATGATACCCCAATATTTTTTGCTTGAAGACTTTGATTCTAACGCTAACCTAACAAGGATTTATATATATAATAATTAAGTCAAAAGTCAAGAACCTATCATACCTACTATCATTAATTAGACAAAAAAAGAAAAGAAAAGAAAAATAAAAGAGATGGAAAATTTGCCACTGATCTGATCCGATCTGAGCGGATTGATATGGGATCTTCATTGAAAATGAATGTGTTGTTAAACCGTTGACTAAAAATTACAAAACAAAAGAAATAAGAAAAAAAAGAACAAAAAATACCTTATGTAAATTTAATTTTCTCAGTTGTTAATGGGAAACATGCGAAAAACAAAAAGAAAGAAAAAAATAAAACAGAGTTTGTTCTGTTTTAGTTAATGAAAGCAATACATACATATGTATATTTATTTTGTAAATGGTATATCGTATGTATATTGCAAAATGGTGAAGATGATGATGAATATGTACCTATGTATGTATTTCCTATATAATGTATGTATGTAATATGTATACTTAAGCGAATGAAATACTGAAAACTGATTATCGATAGAGAAACGATGCGAAACGATTCGATGATGAGAAAAAGAAAGAAGAAAACGATTGAGATTTGTAATATGTATTTTGTAACGTTCGTTATCCGATTTAGTAGAGTTTATCTCAAGTACCAAACGCCCACTCATTATGTCATTTAGTGTCAATCCCTTTAATCCGCAAGCGCCAAACCTTTTGGGTACTTAAGATAGCTGGACAATTGTGGTGCAGTTTTTAGTTTAAACCCAATGGGTTCATCATAGCAGCCTGTGTTGTTGATTTGAGTTTTGCAATCATTTTTGAACATATATTATTTAAATAATTTGGAAACAGAGGCTCGTTTCAGATTGCGGATTGAGTGCACGGTATCCAAGAGCAAATCAAAAAAGTCGACATTTTCATACTATTTAAATTTATACATATATTATATGTATTATATTAATTACACCTATTTTTTGTATTATTACTAAATGTTATTTTTTAAGCAATTTTCAATTTCTGTTAACCCTCCCAAAAAAAAAAAAAACAAAACACAATTTTATTTATTTTATTTTGCCAATAAATTTTATCAATTGAATTTTAAATGTTTTTCTTATAATTTGGTAAGTTAAGCTATATGATATATATATATAGATATGTGTTATATATCTTCAATGTGTGCAACATATCAAGGCCGATATATATTCGTAGCAAATTGGAACATAGAAACTTAAATGATACCACCACCCAACAAACAAAGAAACAAAAACGAAAAACCACCCGAAAGTTAACAAAATGGTTAAGTAAAACGGTAACTACTAGTTATGGACAATCGACATAATGTTCTGAGAGACAGTTTCTCACCTAAAGTTATATAGTACTTATACTTCAGATATATATATATGTATGAATACGTGTATATATCTATATATATAGACATTGGCCTACGTATTTGATAGACGCTTCTGTTCCTTGTGACTAGGGTTAGTGACGTTCATAAATTATGAATATATATATACTATAGTACTTACATATATATATATATATATATCTAAATTTGGCAATAGTTAACAGGCAATCTCTGTGTGTAATAGATACATCAGATATACATATATATACCGCAATATATACAGCAACTATACTCACAACAAGTGCTTCTAAAGTAGCTGCAATCAGGCGCTTTTTTAATTGGCCAAGTGACTTACAATAGTTTAATATTCAAATAAACATACTAAAAATAAAAATATATATATATATCTCTTCCAACTTAACGCATCAAATGTGTTAGGGCGAGGACAATACAAAATAATACCAATTAAAGAAACGGAACATTTTTCAAACTAATCCATTTTAAACAACATTGTCTTTGGCACAATCCAACTCTACAAATAGGTCCCCCCCCTCAAAAAAAAATACATAATGTCCACTCGAACGTATTTGAATATGTACAAAAAATAATAAGAAGAAGGAGAAGATATTCAGCTAATTCAGCTAAGAAGTTGATGATTTGTGTTATAAGTTGGAGATTCTTAAATTGTGATGATGTGAAATTTACAGTTAACATATGAACTACTCCCAGTTTAATGGGAAACAAACAAACAAATGTCTTTATATTTCCATAGATATGTACTTATTATTATTATAATAATCTTAACTAACTACTAATGTTTACACACACACACACACAGACTAAACACACAGTTCATACACATTACTAGCATAATAATCACTCGATCTTAATACAAATATTGTTTCGAATACTATATCTGTATCTGGCAGATATATTTGTCCTGTTTATAACTGTTTTGAGTGGCAGTCTGTAAAAATGTTAGCAAAAAACTACTCAATTATGTGTGTACTATTTTTGTGTGCTGAATTTTCTTAAAAAAAAAACAAAAACAAAACAAAACAAAAAAAAAATCATTCTAAATGTATTAGAAATTGAGCAAAAACTAACAATTTAATGTGTGTGTGAGAATTCTAAATAAAGGTTATTGAACTCATTTGGTGGCACTATATTTTTCCAATGTAAAAAGGTGGATTGGTTAAAACAAGATGAAAGTTCTTAATCTTTTTCATCTTACATCAATCTCAAGTTTAAGCAAATGTCATTAATCTTAATGCAAGCTAATGTCATCTTAGCACAATCACTCGTAAAAATTCTTGTGGTTTTAATCAAAGTTAGACGAGTAGATGCGGTTTGTAGTAGACAACAAAAGGGATAGCAGGTAAGAAAGGGACAAAAAGGTGGCATAATTAACAAATACAATTAACGACTAGTTCCATTCCAACAATTCCATAACTTTATTTGAATAAAATTAACATATTTAACAAATGATTGCATATAGAAGCAATTACACAGGTTTGGTTAGCACCGGCTTCCACATGACGGGCATCTCGATCTGTGTCATCTCGCCCAGATCTAACAACCAAACGGAACCGTTTTGGCCCTGCTCAATGACCTTGACTAGATTTGTGGCACATTCCTGGGCGGTCTGACGCTTCACCAGATTCATTAGACGCTTCACTGGAATGTCATATTTCAAGGTGCTCTTCTCAGTCAAACCATCCAACAGTGGCGTATCCGTGAAGCCGGGACAGATGGTTATAAAGCCAACGCCAGTGTTCTCATAGTAACCAGGATTCTGGAAGTTAGAAGTAGCATAAGACGCAATTGGAATTGGTTTTTTAGCATCACCTACCGATAATCCACGTGTAAATGCGGTGACACCATGCTTGGCCGCCGAGTAGATGGCCACGGTTGAAGCTGGCTCGATGCCAGCTATGGATGAGAAGTTTACGATGAGGCCACCCTTACCACCCTGGGCCTTGTCCATGTACTGCAACGCTATCAGGCAGCTCTGGATAACGCCTAGCTGTAAGTAGAAAATATAATTGTTAAATTTACTATATGAAATGTGCAGGCAAACAAACAAAACATTACTCTTTACATAAAATATTAAAATATATTTTTTTTTTTGCATGTAATATACCCACCAAATTGATTTGTATGGTCAGCTCCACAAGCTGATCGTTTATCAGGCCTATTCCATTGACGACCAGATCAAAGTGTCCCAATCGCGCACCAGCTGCTTTATATGCCGCCTCAATCTCCGACTTTTGGGTTATGTCCAATTTCTGGTAGAAGATCTCAGTATTTGGGTATTGGGTTTGCCAAGTCGTCAAGAGTTGCTCATTAAGCGTCAAGTCAAAGACAGCCAACGCCTATTAAGAAGCAGCTATTAACTTAAAAAATCAACAATTCGTCTTGGCCACATGTGGAAACATACTTTTATCTTACGTCCGAGCAGCTCGGCGCACGCCTTTTGGCCAATTCCACCAAAGCTACCGAGGTAAACCACATTTTTGCCAGCCAAATCCATTTTCAATTAGCAGTCGACAAACGATTCACTTGAATTTCGAAATTTGCTTTGACACTCAGCCTGTTCTCGCCTCGACGATTGTTTTTCAACTGATCTCTGGTCGCTGGTGCATTGCTCTCTTTAACTGAAACTGAAAATGAAACAGAAACTGCTTATCAGTTCGTGTTGCCACACACTTATCAGCTGGACTTATACCCTTGTCTCAGATAGTGACCCCAAAAAGCGTACCCATATTTGATTAACATTCTCATTAGCATCAAATTTATCAGTCTGTGTTTTTTATTCTGTTTCTGTTTGGGTATTCGAAAGTTGAGTTCCATTAAGAAGCAACTCACATATCTTCTATTTAAGTATATTTAATAATTTATTTCACATACAGAGCAACTTCTAGTCGAGCACATCTAATTGAAGTATTTTTATTTGTTTACAATTGCTTTTATTTATGTAGTTGCTCTTTTTCGAAGCTAAACAATGACGATAAGATATGTTAGCCGAACGAGTTTGACAAGTAAGCATTACTATGCGTTAATCTAATGTTAATGACTTTTGCTCCGAATACTTGCTATCTTTTATAAAGAAATTTCCCTAAAACTAAATTAAATTAATATTTGATAGTTAAAGTGCGATATGCTGAGAACTTTTATTTGTTTTTTTTTTTTTTTTGCATATTTGTTGCATATTTGTAAAATGTTGCTATTTGGCTTGAATAAGTTTTTTGCAGCTTCCTCAAAGTTTTGTTTTGAATTTGTTTATAAAATTGAGAAGCCCTACGCTGTCTGCTTGCAAGTGCGTGGTCTAATTGCGCAATATCAGTGATCGTTGGCTCGAGCCGTATCCATATCCATGTGCAACCAATATCAATATTAAGTTCACTATTACAACATCCAAAGCTGGTTGGTGGTTATTGTAAACTGAAACGCCGCTTGACGCGTTTTGGAGGTCATTGCGCAGACTGCCGCCTTGAGTTACCAGTGGACCAAGACAGTGGGTGGTATAAATAACCAACATAGAGCAACTGCAGCATCAGTTCAAGCTCACAGCTAACATCAACTACTACTTGCCCAGGATGCAGTGCTTCATTTGGTTCATGGCCAGCGCCGGATTGTGGAGCATCGCTGTTGCAGCCAGCTCAAGACCCATCATAAGCATCTCGCGCGCCACTCCACTGAGACAGGGATATGAAGAAAAGGATACGGCACGCGGATTTTACTCCTACGGCTATAGCGATGAGAATGCAGCGAGAGCAGAGTACACAACACACGATGGCTCCTCGCGTGGCTTCTACTCGTATGTGGATGCCAACGGGAAACTGCAGACGGTCAAGTATGAGGCAGGTGGTGGCCAGGGATTCAAGGCGGAGGCCAGTAATCTGCCTAAAGCACCCGTCGATGACAATAAGCCACCGCTGCCAGTGACGGATACGGCAGAGGTTGAAGAGGCGCGTCAGGCTCATCTCAGCGCCATACAGGAGGCACGGGACCAGGAGCAGCGCGAGCAGACAGCACAAGCGGAGCAGCGGCAGGAGCAACCGCAGGATGAGAAGCCCCTGAGTGATGAGGATGCAGACATCCTGGAGAGAGTGCGTGCAGAGCTGACTTCCATGCTTGAGCAGCGACAGCGTGGCCTGGAGAATCGCAATTCAGATGAGGAGAACAAGAAGGATTCAGCAGCAGAGAACAATGAAGAAATTCGGGATCGGAATCAGGATCAGCCTTCAGCTAGTGAGCAGCAGCAGCAAGCTCCCGCTCCTGAGCAGAGTTTACAGTTGACCAATGATGCCAACGATCTGAGTATGCGCACTGTTTATTCCCTGACCGATCTCAGTTCCAGTCGCTATCTCAAACTAAGTGATCTGCAGGATCGCTCGGCCAGCGGTAGCCAGGAGCTGCGTGTGCCTGTTAGCGCCTATTACGCTTACACCTCGCCCAGTGCGAGGTACAGCGTGACCACGCCCACCGAACTAAGAACTCTGCGTCCAGTGGCCCTCAGTCGCAGTCTGCTCTTAAGCAAACGAAACTAGAAGGAGAGGAGTGCCCCTAAAGATCGATTGACCCTGTTGTACATTGTGGAATTCAGTTGAACATAGTAGTCATAAGAATAAATGCATTCTGTGCACCATAGTGCCTAATCACTGTACTTTTGCGACTTTAAGGGGGAGATAAAAGGCCAGCTTTCCCATCAACCCTATCTTTCCTCGTGAAAAGTAACTCTGACTTCCGATTTCATCATTTATTGCTTAACACAAACTGAAACAAACAAATGGAAAGAGTAGAGAAAGTGATACTCAATCAAGCCAAGGGAAGGTATTCACGGTATGGTGATGAGCTTGTCTGCAGCAGGGTGTTGTACTTGATTATGAAACCACTGGCGGGCTTCAGCACATATAGTGGTTGCGACAGGATGGTGCGACTGGGCAGAATCGTCTTTGTCTTTGTCGTCTTGCTGAGTTGCTGATTGCGCAGTTTCTCCGCCTCGAAGCGCTTGAAGAAGGCAACTTTGGCAGCGGCCACTTCGGGAGTATCTTGTACCGGGTTTAGATTTGCACCGCCAGCCAGTCGCAGCTTGGCCTCAGCATGGGCAGCCAAGTGCTGGGCACGCAGAGCGGCAACCTCGGGCGTCTCCTCGTTGGGTTGCTGCTGCAGACTGCTGGCGATCACACGAAATCCATCCACATCCGCTTTGTAGTTGACCGTCTGCTGTTCTCCCCTGGCATCCACATAGGAATAGGATCCGTGAGTCACGCCATCCGCAGTGCGTGTCTCGTGCTTGGAGTAGAGTGGCGCTGTATAGCCATAGGCATACTGACCATGCTCATCCTGTGTGTGATATTGGGTAATGGTGCCGGCTGGCGGTGGGGCTCCATATTCCAGCAGCGCTGCAGTTGCCAGTGGTGCAATCAGCAGGCAGAGATATAAATTGAATTGCTGCTGCATTTGCATTGTTTTTTGTTTTTGTTTGTGGTTTTCAGCTGTGCTTTAATTTTGTTGGCGCTGCTAGTGTCGTGGACTAGTACTCGCTCTAGAGAACTCTGTTGGGACCCTTGCTGCCGGTTCTGCTTTTTATACAAAGCGCCTGACCAACAAAAAAAAAAGGAGTCCACAATTGCCAAAAAATATTTGCAATATCGTGCGTTCTCGGGAAGGTCGTCCGGTTTACTTTCATATTCCCTGTTTGTTGTCGTAGTTGTTGTTGTTGTTTTTTGTTGCTGAACTCGCTCTTCCTCTTGCTCTGTTTGTACATAAATATTTTTGGTCGATTTCAACAAGTTGCGCATAAATTCGTACACAAAAGCCGCAATTTGTTTTCATCTGTCAGAGACGGGGTCCCCAAAAAAGAGCGCATCCAAGAACTTAATCAGGCCGCCGTCCTTAGGTCAAGGAACCAAGCAACATTCGCAGCATGCATATTTTGTTGTATGTTGTTTATATGTTGCTACCTTTTGATATGCTGCCTTGTTGCCGCTATTAAATTTAATTGAAATCAAAAATCGCCATGCGATTATGATATGTTGCTGCTGTTGTTGTTGCTGTTGTTGTTGCTGCTGTTGTTGTTGTCAGCTACCAACAGGAATTGAGTTAAATACAGTCGATCATATCGGAAACATACTTTTCCCGTTTGCAATAACCACTAAACGAAGCAGTAGAGGTGAGAGTAGAGATAAAGTGGAAACGTTGAACTATTCCTTCTCAGAGAGAGGACTGAAATAGCTGAAACTTTTAAGTAAATTGTTGAAATTGGTTACTTTCTATTTTAGGCAACAAATGATTGGCTGTGGATATATCATCTATTATTGTTATTATCTTAGATTATTATCTTAGAATGGGGTCATTTTAACGCTCATATCATTTTATTGTGTATAATTGTTTATCGCAGCAATCATAACTTTAATACGATTACCAATCTGATTTATATTTCTATTCCTTATCTACTCTGGTAATAAATGACGAAAAGATTTAGCTATTGTTACAAATAATACCGAAGATTCCCTAGTCTAATACTGGATCTGTGGCGAGATAAGTTAAACCCTCATATTCTCTTATTCGTATCTTTTCTTTTCCAGGACCAAATCTAAGTTTTAAGAAGTACTCTACAGATTTTGTATATTTATTTATATTCCATATTTACTTCATAGCTGATGAGTAACTTGACCCATTAATACATCCATGTCAAATATTTATTTAGTCTCAAATCTCTTTATTAGCTCAATGAAAGTTCATAAAAATGCTGTTTCAATAATAGATTCCGGAGTTGTAGTAGCGTGGAACCGTATAGCCGTAGACGGAGTGCACGGGCAGAATGACATGGCTGCTGCGTCCAACTGGGGCAGATCTTCCGCTGAGCAGCTCATTGCGCAGCTGCTCGGCGGCGACACGCTTCAGATGATTCGATTTGGCAGCAGCGACCTCGGCTGTATCTTCAACGGGACTTTGCAGTTCCTTATCGATTTGCTGCTCGTCCGGATTGGATTGCTGTTGAGCTTGCTTGAGAAGGAGTCGTGTGGCCTCGTGAGCCGCCAAGTGAGTTTGACGAGCGGCGGCCACTTCAACGGAATCAGCTGGTTGCTGTTGAGCGGCTGCGTCAATGCTTCTGGCTGAAATCGGCAAATTGGTGGCAGTCACATGGAAACCAGCAGCATCCGCCGTATAATCGACTCTTTGGAGTTTTCCGGCCGCATCGCGATAACTGTAGCTGCCACGTGTGATTCCGTCCAGGCTGCGCACCTCCTGCTTGCTGGAATGCGGCTCGGCATAGCCGTAGGCATAGTGACCCAGTGCATCCTGCGACAAATACTGTCGTTGCGTCGGCGTCACCAGTGCCGTTCCCTGCGTCGTATACACATACGGATAGTTTGTGTACAGTGCAAGACCATTGGCCAAAGTCAGCCAAGTCAAAGCAGCCACAGCCAGCGAGAGGAATCGCATTCTGAATTTCAAAATGGAGTTGCAGTTGAAGTTCGAATTGGATTCAGTCTGTGGCTCTCGCCTCGTTGGTTGGTTCTGCATTTGGTTGGATTGATCAGCGTCCTTTTATACTCTAGCCCTTCTACAAGACGATGCCGTTACAGGTTCTAGTTTGTGTTCTGCTGCTAGACAGCAAATGTTGCCACAGTGTTGACGCTGCAGCCTTTTTCTAGCCAACTCTAGCTGTTTTTTGAAAGGGTTAGTTTAGATATTTCATCAGTAGGAAGCTCCTCAGTTGGCGTATATTGTTGTAAAAAGTCTTTTCTAATATTTATTTTATGTTTCTTTTTCTACATTATTCCTTGCTAAAACTACCATTTTATTGGCAACACTGCCCTGCATTAGTGCACCTTACCCCATTTAGTTCTTAACCGTAATGAGCAGAGGTCAGAGAAGCTGCCAGTTGCAGTCCACTTGCAACGTTGTCGTCGTTAACAGACTTCTTCTTCGCTCATTGCAGCATCAATTGATGCGTCAATTTGGCTTTATTGTTGCATGTGGCTTGTGGCAGGCTTGTGGCTTGTGGCAGGCTTGTGGCTTAATGATTGCAATTGGTTTAGTATGTGGATACAATTTATCTGCAAAGCAACACTCAAAGAACTTCTTATCACATGCTGTGCAGTAGAGCTGAATAACAGAGCGACTGGGAGGAGGATGTAAGATCAAGGCCATGACCAGGAACTGCAGAGGAGCGCTTTGAGTGAGACACGCTATGTAAACGATATTCAATTGATATACCCTGTAGCACATTTTTGGGGCTAAGAAGAAGTTGTGTAAATAAAATAATATGTTCCAAGTTATCAAACTTCCCTAACTGTGTCCAAACAGATCAGAAAGTTAGCTCCAAGCTATATTATTTTCTCCGTTAGATTAATTCTGATAGATTTTTTTAAAGATGCCCAACATTTTTATATAATATTCACTCAAAATTACAGCCAATATTTTAAATAATACGTATTTATATTTACTTTCTTTTAATCTGCAAAATGAAATATATCTCTGATCAAATCTTAGCAGGGAATTTACTAGTCGAACACTTTAAATCATTGTCTGATGTTGTTCATTCAAGTGGCAGTTTTGTGGCCGTTTTGAACTGCAGTTGCAACTGAACTTCAACTTCAACAACAACTGTTGCAACTGCAACTGATTTAAGATGCGATGTGCGTGGCGAATTGTTTGCGACTGCTCGCAACGGCATTTCAAGGTGAGTGAAGGCCAAGGGCCACATTTTTCCAGAGCTCTGTTGGCTGGCTTCAAGGCCTTGATTCAATTCCCCAAATGGATTCCAGCTAAAATGTATTTGGTTTATTTTTAGCTTATCGCTGGCCAAGCATCGGTGCAGAAATCGAGCGTCTGATTAGGATTGATAGCGCTGTGGTCAAATATAGTTGTTGGCCTGGCCAAAAGTGCTTGCCCTTGACTCTGTCTATTTACGACTACATAATCCAGGCTCCAGGCTCCAAGCTCCAAGCTCGCCAGCTGCACTGATAAGTGCATTTTAATGTCCACATCTTGCTCTCTCTCTCTGTGTATATATCTTGAATGTAGCTTTTCCTGCCCGCCCCGCACTTGTTCTTAATCAAAGACCAATACAGAGCAGTGGACATCATTTGCCAGAATGGAAACCTTAATGATCTTGTTAGCCAGTTAGTTGTTGCTGTTGTTGAAAAGTCACTTTAAATTCCAACAACGAGTTGTTTGCTTTACAAATTCCAGCACTGGACTGCAAACTGTGCCTGGACTCCAAACTATTTGTGTTTATCGTGGCTTGTCGTTGCCTGATTTGTGCATCATTAGTTGTAGAAAATTCAAGGCTAATTACTTATCGCTTACCTCACGCAAACCCCGAACACACCTTGACTATGCTGTCTGGTTTGAGTTTGTTTTTAATTTGTTTTATTTTCACACTTGCTGTACGTTTTTTAGTACTGTTACCGAGTGTGTTACGCTTGCCAACCTATTTCAACTTGACTCCAAGCTAAGGTTTTAAGCTGAAATTTTGGTAGGAATGATTTTTGCTTACTGCTGATTTAAATTGAAATCAACAAGATGTGGCTCTGTAATTTATATAGTTGTAGTAGAAATGAGTACTCAAGTATTGAGTTTATACTAGACAGGTAACTGTTAAGATGTGATTTCTATTCTTCAACAAAAGGGTATTTAATATTTTATATTCCTTAGCGAGCTGGCTTACCATATTCTTTGCCTTTGCATGACGCCATCCACAGGCCATGTTGGCCACAATACTAGCCAAATATGTGAGTGACAGGCCGCATAAATCATGGCCAGCCGAGGGGGTTTAGAGTTGAGTGCGATATATTAAGTACAAGAATGTTTTTTTAGACAGCAGCTTAAGTAATCACACTTTAGTTATTTGATTTAGTTTGCCTACCTTTCCACAACGTACATTTGAAGCAAGTTAATTTCCTCTTGATGTCAGGTTCAAAAAACCCATTTAACCCAAATAAAGAGCAACAAACGAACTATTTTTGGTTATATTAATCGGGAAGTGAATCTCCCATACAAAAGTCATTTGCATATGAAAATATATACAATTAACTGCAGAGCTCTCCCTGCCCCCTCTCGAATTATGAGCTCATTCAGTTGATTAGCATAGGTTGACCCCACCTATGACAACCATACAATTCTCCCTCCCCTCTTCCTCACCCATTGGAATTGATTGGGCCTCTCACTTGTTGTGTTTTGTTTGTTGTCAAAAAAAATTTCACGCATCGTTTTCTGTTTTGTGGCTGTTTTGACGCGCGACCCGCTCATAAAAATTGCCTGCAACACCTCCCACCCCCCCTGACCAACCATAGGCACCCTTCTCCCTCTCTCTTTGTCCATCTATTTAAAGCTTCCAGCTGTGTTTGAGCTTTTTTCTACTCAAAACAATCGGAATTTTGAGTGAAACTCAGTTGATAAGGCAACTGGCGACGCTTTTTGATAAATGGTTTCTGTGCGTCTCTTTTAGTGAGTAGATTTTGTTGTTAGTTTCGCTTTCGGCGTGTGTTTTTGGCATTTATAAATTTGTGTATTCTCAGCTATGTGTTTTTTTCTTTCGGTTTCTGTGAAATGAAGTCATCGCTTCAAAATACAAATAGTATATGCGTATAGCCCTGGTTCCCAGAGGCTCAAAACTTAGTTAGCGGACAGCTATTGGCCATGATTTATGAGCTCAATTCTTAACTGCAACAGTTTTGTGGCTTTACGGTTTACATACATTCCTGTTTTGCTTTAAATACTTACTGGTCTGGCTGTTAGCAAATTTCACTCGTAGAAAAAGCTCACTCATTCGCACTTTGTATAAATATCACTCATACGCCGCTTGTGCTTGCGGGTCCCATTTTCGACGCTGGCTGCGCATTTGACCAAACAGTTGAGTGTCGACATCGACGGCAAGCGCGCGCAGTAACGGCAAAAAATAAAAGAAATATCTCGAAATTGAAACACTACAAAAACTTTTCAAAAATACACAAATATTTTTCATACTTAATTTAACAAGCAAAAATAATGTAAGTTTAAAAGTGCCTCTAGCTTTAAATTTCGCACAGCAAGTGCTACACACTTCCACACACTCACATATATATACACATACACACACACACACACACTCACACAAGTGACAGCATCGCAATGACAACAAAAGTTGCGCCAAGGATGCCTTTCGCTGCTGCGGGAATTTCAAGTGCTGCATCATGACCCAATTGTCTACTTCAAAATACAAAATAGCATTCGTATTTGTCCTTTTTTTTTGTTATACTCAACAATGCCAGTTTAGCTCAGCGTTAAATGCGTAGCATCGTTATAGGCGCAGTTTCCAGCCCCTCTCCCCAACCACAATCCCCGCCATCAATCTACCCATTTCCGTTTGTATGTATGCGGCGCTTGCGCGTTCCTGTGCTCCTGCTCCTTGTGGAGCAGCTGCCACGAAGGTTTGGGTTAGGTAGCGTGATGTCATCTAAAGCTGCTGCTGCTGCTGCTGCTGCTTTCGGAGAGTGTGCATACACTCATTCACACTGAGAGAAAAATGCTGAGCAAATGTATAAATAAAAGTGTATGTGGAATTAAAAGGATAGTTCGTTCTTAATTTCAGTGCAAAATACAAATACTTATATCTAGTTACACTGAGAGAAAAATGCTGACTGCCTTTGCGATTAAAAATTCATCTGGAATTAAGAAACATTGTTTCGATCTCTTTCTCTGTATATCATCTCAGTCAAAACACTTTATAATTTTTCTCTGAGTGTATGTCTTTGTCTATGCCCATGCATAAAGCACAGCTGACCCCATACTCAATGTTTTGTATTGTATTGCGTGTTCGTATGAACCCCCTCAGCTAGCTCTCCTCCCCCGTCCCGCCACCCTTCTGTCGGTTATTACGCTTCCTGTTTCAAGCTTGTGCTTTACACACACTGACATTATGCATTGGGGCAGCAAACATTTAATATTTTTATCATTACAGTAAATAATGTGTATATTGTGTATCGAGGCAGTCAGTCATAATATGACCTAAATTAAACACTTGCAGTACGCGTTCTTCTCCCTTTTTCTCTCTCAACTCTTCCTCTCTTTTTCTCTCGATTTTTATGATTATTACTTTAGGCATATCTGGAATTGAATTTATATTGTTTGTTCCAACTTTGGAAGAATCTAATTTAAATTTTGGACTGGCGCGCGCTGCGCCAAAAAAGCTCAAGATGCGGATGTTGTGAAATGAACAAAAAAACGAAACAATGTATATAGTCATCTATATGTGTACTATATATGTATTGTATGTCTAGGTTCATTAATGTTCGGCACACATAAAGCGGATTATGAAGTTGTTGTTTCTTTTTTATTTAGTCATGTTTCTTGGCCAGACTGTCTGAGAATTGTTGTGTGTTGCCTGTTGCGAGTATCTTTTGCCGTATTTTGCGAGTTTGTCTTTGTAGTTCATACTTATTTATGGTTTCCAATTACCAGCGAAGCAAAAAGGGCTCCGACCAACCTTATTACACGCTGTGGCTTGTAATTAGTTTTACACTTGGCATTTATGGAGCGATACTATACAATTGCCACTAATCTTAATACATGAGGACGTTTACCTGGCATTAGTAAGACAACTTAAGTTATTATTAAAGTTTCTGCAACTAATGGGAAGAGGAAAATAGGCAAAATAAAAATTAGATTTATAATCGGGCTACTGATATGTCTACAACAGAAAAGTAATGGAATAATGAACACTATTTTATTTAAAAACAGTTCCTAAGCGCTTTAGAAAGACCACATAAGAACTTAGCTTAATCATTATCAGTACGAATTAATACGAACAAACAAACTTAGCTGAATCATTATTAATGTTAATTCATTCTAGTTTGGATTAGCTAATTTGTATTTTTATTTCACAATTGCATCTGTAAATGTGGTTTAAAGCATGCCTCACCCAAAAACCAAACCCCCAACGACGTAATTTGTGGCGCGTACTGACGATGACATAACCGATTCGATTTAGACAACCAACTAAGCCCCTGCCAGCCCCCCTCCGCTATCCGGCAACCGGCTCGTTAGATTAAAAATGACATTTGATACGCTTCACGGGTCGCTGCATGTGATGGGTGCAGAGAAGACTTTGAGACTCTGAGTGCAACCTTGACCCATCCAGTCTTATCGGCAAGCTCATCGCATTCAATTACCTGGCATCCGTATGCAGCCATAACTGACTGCCCCCTTCCCCCTTTGTCATGAGTCTTATCGCATTTTAAATTATGCGCACCCAGCTACCAGCAGCAACAACGATCAGATATACTTACTATATGTGTGCATACCTTAACTGGCGCATACCTTAACTGGCGCATAATTAATGATCGAGCCAATAAAAGCTCACGTTTTATTTACTGTTTATGTTCGATTTGTGCCTGTATAACTACAAATCTCACCAGCATGTAAACATGACGACAATTTATGCTGCTTGTAAAGACTGAAATATATTGGCGAAATTGATGTGCTTAACATGTTAACCCCATCACAGGGCCAGAGGGCAAAAAACGGTACGCTCAATTATTGATATACTGTTTAGATCGGTGCCGTTAACTGAGAAAAGTTGTGCTAGAAATTAATGTGAATTTACCTTGGAACTCTATACTTAAATGTAAACTTTAAATATTAGGCTTCCGGGTTGGAAATTCTAACCAACGTCAGCATAATAATTACAATAATATTAGTTAATATTCAAAAAAACATTTCCGATTGTCATGATTTTAATTGCTGGTGCTGATCACTGTACAGATTCCAGCCCCTGCCTTCCCCATAGTTGCCGAAATATTCATTTGAATTCAAATGTAGACGCTAATGAGCAAGATTGTTTGGGTAAGTGAGTTGGGAGAGCAGCTATATGGCGTCACTTGAAAGCTGCCAGATCGGCATAACCTTCCGCACTTAATTAGCGAGCAAGCGGCAGTTGCGAAAGCTTCAATTCCACTCGGTTCTGCTATTGTCAGCGATAGCTGTATGATATCATCGGAATAGAGAATGTATTTTAGCTGCGTAGATCCGATAAGCTATCTGTGTATCAAAGTAAAGAGTTATAAATGCGTTTTGTTTAGATTTGAGCAATTAAATATTGCCATACTCACTTCAGACCCAGCACAATGCTAGTCAGTGTCGTAAGTCACAGGTGAGCTGAGTGAGAAAAGAACCTGGCTAAAAGCCGTGACATTGCGTGTAGACCCAAAATAGAACATGAACTTTGACACACATGCTTAATTCGTGTTTTGTACCTTGAACATTTGCAGAGTGAGCAGCATGTCTGACGCAGCAGAAAATGGTAGCAGTGCAGCAGCAGCAGCAGGAGAAGCACCCGCCGCAGAGCTGGCACAGCTGGCGTTGGAGGAGACCGCACCGAAGGTGACCTTCTCGGATCAGTTCAAGGCGTTCTCCAAGTTCGGTGATATCAAGTCGGACGGCAGGTCGATAACGTTATCGCAAAGTGATAAGTGGATGAAGCAGGCTAAGGTGATCGATAAACAGATCACCACCACCGACACCGGCATACACTTTAAGAAACTGAAGGCCATGAAAGTGACGCTCCCCGACTACAATAAATTCCTCGAAGATTTGGCCAAAACGAGAAAAGTGGAGCTGTCGGAAATCAAGAAGAAAATGGCCGGTTGTGGTGCACCCGGAGTGCAGCAGGTTTCGGTGAGTGAGAGTGATATATAGTGCAACCATTATATCATTTATAATGTGAAATCTTCCCTATAGGCTGGCAAGGCTGCTGCCGCTGTGGATCGTCTGACGGATCCGAGCAAGTATACCGGTTCCCATAAGGAGCGCTTTGATGCCGATGGCAAGGGCAAGGGCATTGCTGGACGACGCAATCTGGTCGATGGATCGGGCTATGTGAGTGGCTACCAGCACAAGGACACCTACGATGGCGCCCATTAAAATAGAATTAGCTCTCGCAACGTCTCCTCACAAACATCCCTGTGTTTTGTCTCATTCGTTTCCTGATCTGTGTCTAATTTATTACCTGTTTTTCTAATGGTAGCACTAGTTATTTTCGTATTTCCTTTCATTTTCCTTGCTACATAAACTAAGTTGTGTTTAAGTGCTTAAAATAAATTTACATAATTTAAATATCTTTTGTTTTATTTTCAATTTTATTTCTAATCATTTCCACATTTAAAACGGCCCAAAAGTTCAAAAAAGAGTTTACACATCCACATACATATATCTCGACAAATACAAAAGTATATACATATATATATATATACATATATACAAAGGCATAGCACAAACTTTTAATAATACACTTTACAAAGATAATTCATAATTAAGCATATATACCAAAGATATACAAAAAATATACGAGCATTCAAGACCATTTGTATCGTTATTTCAAACTCGAATAAAGTTTAATACAATCGAATAAATAATCTTATACTTGAAATTAAGGAATTCATTATTACACTTGCAGAAGTTGAGCTACGCACTGAAAAAAATCGCCCTGCATTTTAGAAAATTCAGAATTAGTTGAGAAGACTAGAGTTGAAATATACATCCATCTTTGCGAATGCTCGTTCTCAGCAGCTGGTTTTGGGGGGCACTGACAAGCAAACCGACCTCGTCGAAAATCAGAGCAGTGTGAAGCAGATCAAATGATAGACAAGTCCGTTGCATTGGCTCGAAATCGATAGGAGCTTTGCATAAGAGGCAGTTTTGTTGGCTGGCTATCGATGGCAGCTAGCAGCCAGTCGATCGGTGCTAATCACAGATCAGATATAAGACCACATATCATATAACCACATAAATGAACACTAGTCAGCCTATAAAAGTCGCCCACATCGCCCTCAATGCAGCAGTGCATCGCAGACAGCTCGACAGATTGCTGATAACTGTGGATTTCATACGGGAAACACTACTTGCAGCATCTGAAGATCGGCAAGTAGCAGCAGCAGCAGCAGCAATGACTCTTCGTGGCAAGAATGCAGTAGTGACGGGTGGTGCTGGTGGCATAGGTCTCCAGGTGGCCAGGCAACTGCTAGTAGCAGGAGCGGCAGTAAGTTGTTGCGTTAGATGAATAAATTCTTGTCTAAAGCTTTCTCAATCACTTCACAGAGGGTTGCCATCATTGATATCCAGGATAATCTGGAGGAGTTTGTCAAGCTGCGTGCAGCGCATCCAACGCAGAGTGTGATGATCATCAAAATGGATGTGGCCAACAAGAAGGGTGTGGAGGCTACATATGAGGAGATCAAGAAGACCTTTGGCAGCATTGATATTGTCGTCAATGTGGCTGGCATATTCAATGACAAGGATGTGCAGCGCACGCTGCTAGTTAACTTGGTAGGGGAATCACAATTCAAGTAGTTGGGGCAACAGTCTAACCCATCTCTCCCTCAGGGCGGCATAATGAACTCCAGTTTGAGTGCATTGCAGTATATGAGCAAGGAGAATGGCGGCAATGGTGGCATTGTGGTTAACATGAGCTCCGTTGTTGGCTTGGATCCCATGTTTATTATACCCGTTTATGGGGCCACAAAGGCCGGCATTATAAACTTTACGCGTTGCCTGGGCGTGAGTAATCCTCAAAATCACTGATAAAGTACTCCTCATAGCTCTCTCTCTTATCCCCTCCAGAACGACAAGTTCTATCAGCGCTCTGGCATAAGGTTTGCCACTGTTTGTCCTGGTGCCACCATGACGGACATGTTTACAAATTTCACGGAGAAAATCATCTTTCCGGAGACGAGCGATGAGACCTATAAGATCTTGGATCGTTTAAGTAAACAGAGCGCCACAGACGTGGCCCGTTGCATTCTGAGTGTGCTGGAGAAGGAGAAGAATGGCGCCGTCTATGTGATTGAGGGCAAACGCATCATTCCCATTGACATGAAACCATACTGGACGGGCAAGGAGCAAGCGCTCTAAAGCTACAAAGAAATGCATATCTAACACTTATTTACAAACTCAATTGTTGAGGGTAGTCTTTAATAAAGAAGCGAGCATACTGTAAGCGGTCTCTAATCTTCTCGCCAGTTCACCAGCACCTCGTCGGTGCGATATCGTTGTGTCACAAATGAATCCTCGAATGGCATTTTGGTGCCCGTTTTAAACATCTCGGCGCCCGCATGGGCTATCATCAGACCATTATCGATGCAGTAACGTTCGTCGATGGCAAACAGTTTGCCGTTGCGCTCCTCGCACATGATGCCCATCATCTGCTGCAAGCGCTCGTTGCAGCCAACGCCGCCTACAATGAGCACCTGAAAATAAAACAGTTAGTTAAAACGAAGTACCATTAAAGGAATCTCTCACAGACTTACCTCATTGGATTCACAGTGGGCCATGGCACGTTCTGTGATCTCGACGAGCATGGCAAAGATGGTCTCCTGCAGTGAGTAACATAGATCTGCCTGGCTATACTCGGGCTCTGGCTCATCCTGTGGCTTCTTGCGTTTATTTCGCCGCTTTTCCGGCTCAGCCAGTTCCTCAATGTGTGATAAAATGCCCGAGAAGCTGACATCCATTCCTTTGACAACATATGGCAGCTTTATGTACTGTTTGCCCTCCTTAGCCAACTGCTCGATGTTGTAGCCCGGACTGGGATCATTGGACAGCTTGATGATGCGCGCAAAACGATCCAGACAGTTGCCCACAGCAATATCGATGGTTTCCCCAAAGATGCGATAGCGTTTATTGGAGTAGGCAATAACTTGAGTGTTACCGCCACTCACATACAGCACAATTGGATTCTGGGCACCGGTTATCAGTCGCCCCATCTCAATGTGACCAATGCAATGATTGACACCCAGCAGCGGCTTCTGCCACAGCAGGGACAACGTTCTGGCCACAATCGCGCCAACCAGCAGAGGCGGCGCCATGCCAGGTCCTTTTGTGTAGCAGATGACATCCAGATCGGCGGGCTGCAGTTGCGCCTCCTTCAGACTTGCCTGCACAAGCGCCAAGATCACCTCGCGATGATGTTTTGCCGTTTCCTTGGGCAGAAAACCTGTTGCATCGAAAATAGTACTTAAAATAGTCAAATCTTAGTTTACGAAGCATCATTACCTTCACCGGGTGGTGTTATATATGTGCGTCTCACATTTGCCAGCACCTTGCCATCGTTGACGATGCCAATGCCAATTTTATTGGCGCTGCCCTCAATTCCCAGAGCGCAAACCATAATTGTTTATTGTGCTTCCCAAATTCTTCTTCACCCGCCCGATACAATAACAAATGCTATCGATAACAAATAAACATATGTTACACCGTGCAACGTGAATGGCAATGGCGCCAGTGTGTGTCGGCGAATTTGTGCGATTGGCGCTTTTTCAATAAGAGAGAAAAATGTAGTGAAATCAGAAATCAGTTCAATTATTGCAAACATTTTGTATTTGTTCCTAATTAAAGCAATTAAAACATGGAAGCGGCTGAAAGCTCAACCACAGAGTCGGAAACTGAGAATAACAGTGGGCCTAGAAAGCAGACGCTCGAAACAATAAGCACAAATGGCGGCGACGTGGATGCAGCTGCAACAAGAGCGGAGAAACAAGAGCAGCAGCTGGAATGCGAGAACAAAGACCAAAGGGAAGAAATAGCAACAACAACGAATCAGAGCGAAGATAACGTAGATAAACAAGTTAACAATGAGGCTGACATGGAACAAAAGAAAGCCGAGCAGTCTCCACAAAGAATTAGTTTTGCTGAATTAAAAGCGCAGGCTGAGCGTGAGGATGAGATTGAGGAGGAGGAGAGTAAGGAATCGGAGGCGTCACAAAATGACATCCTCTTACATGTGCCGTGCCTGGCACATTTGGAGGAGCAGCGTCGTAGCTATGAACGCCAGCTGGAACAGTTGCGTATGGCTAATGCGCAAAAGGATAACATGATGACGCTGCTGCAGCGCGAGAATGCCATCTTGGAGAAGGAAAAGCATGCGTTTCGCAACGAAATGGATCTTGCCAACAAGGAAAAGGAGTCGACAGTCATCAAGTTTGCCATGAAAGAGAAACTGCTCATCGATGCCAAAAAGGAAAAGGATGCCATCGAGAAACAATTGGCGGATGCCAAAAAAGAAGTGAAAAATGTTTCCATACGTTTTCAGGGTGTGCACGAGGAAAAGTCCCGTATGACCTACATCATTGATGAGAAGGTAAGTAAGTGCAGAAGACTATAATCCCATTCTAATCCTTTTCCGCTTCCACAGTGCAACGAGGTGCGCAAATATCAGCGAGAATGCGAAAAGCTCAAAACGGAAATGGGTCATCTGGAGTCCAGGTTGAAATATCACGCCAACAAGCTCAACATTGAAGTGGAGGCCAAAGCGGTTAGTCCTGCCTAAAATACATACAAGACCCAATCTTTAAATGCTCTTCTCTAGAATCTGGAACGAAAGCTGGAAGAGGAACGCAATGCGCCAAATAAAATGGAAGAAAAGGCCAATGGTAAACACTCTGTTCAATTATATATGTATAGTACATAAAAGTATAACTCTTACAGAGAAACTTAAAGTGGAGTTTGAGGCAAACACAATACTTCTGAAACACGAGATTATGCGCAAGACTGAGGCACTGGACAAACTGACCAAAGAGCACCAGAAGCAAGGCGATGCATACAAAGAGCTGCAAAAGCAGCTGCAGGAGATTAATGCATCAGTAAGACTATATTATATATATACATAATTAATGAATAATTGACATTGTTGTTGATTGTAGCATGATCAGCTCACGCAGGAGTTTAAGGAGCTGCAGGCGCAGCACAGCTCCGTGGAGGCGGCCTACAGCGATGAGCTGTTGAATGCAGCCAAATTGCACAGTCAACTGACCGAGTTGCAACTGCTGCGCACACAGAATACAATGTACGAAGTTTTATGCCAAATAAAACCCAACGTCAACTTACAGCTAAACCTTTCATTAATCCTACTTCTACAGCAATGAGCAGAAACTTGCCGAAGAGCAGGCGCGTGTGCAACAGTTGGAGGCCAGCGCACTGGAGACTGAGGCAGACTTGGAGCAGCTGCAGCAAAAGAAACAGGAGCTGCTCAGCATCAACAAAGAGATGAGCGAACTAATTGTCAAACTGCAAAATGATATTTGTCTCGCTGAATCAAAGGTAAGTAAATATTGGAAAAATAAGAAAAAAATTACCTGCCCCGGGTGAGGCTCGAACTCACGACCTTAAGATTATGAGACTTACGCGCTGCCTACTGCGCCACCGAGGCCTTGAAAGACGCTGCGTGTCTAATGTAATCAAATCAAAATCTTTTACTAATATGCATTCTATTTTTATCTGCCAGGCACAAGGTCTTGAGGCGGAGAGTAAACTGCTCAAACAGGAGAAACTCACCTACGATGCTAAATATGCCGAGTTGGAGCTGCAGCTAAGCGCTGAGGCATCCGAGAAGAACGAAGAGCGTCAGCTGTTGGCCAAGCGTCTCTCCGAGAAGACCAAACTCTACGAGTTGACCAAAGGGAAATTGGATAATGTGCAAGGAGATTTTGAGGCGACGCAACATAAAAACGCAACACTCCTCAAAGAACTGCAGCGGGAGCTGCAAAAGTACAAAAGAGGCATTGTGGACACGAAACCCTTGGGCTACTGCAGCAACTGTCAGCAGGCGCTCAATGGTTATACAGCAGAGCAACCACAACAACAACAACTGCAGCTTCAACAACAACAATCTCTACGCACGCACAGCCGGACGAGTAGTCAGAGCAGCGTCCACAATGGTAGTCGACGTGCCAGCGAATCTTCCGAATCCGAGACGGTGGCTAGCAGCGTGACTGCTGTACCCCAGCCGGATATGCAGGCTGTGCCGTCCAAGAAGGTGCTGGTGGAGCGTATACTCCGACTGCAGCAGGCCTCAGCACGTCAAACGGAACGAATCGAGTTCCTGGAGAATCACACAGCGATGCTTGTCTCGGAGGTCCAAAAGAAATCGAAGGTGGTGCAGCACTATATGCTGCGTGATCAGACAGCGGGCGCATTGACCACCTCCAAGAGTGATCAGAACAAGAGTGAGCTGGTCAAATATGGCAATGGTGTCATGGCTGCCATCTATGGTGGCGTAAAGGGTGCCGAGAACAAGAGCATGTCCCTGGAACTCTCGCTAGAGATCAACAAGAAACTACAGACGGTCTTGGAGGATACGCTGCTCAAGAATATAACGCTCAAGGAAAATCTGGATGTGCTGGGCTTGGAGGTGGATAATCTGACTCGTAAATTGCGCTCCTACGAGTTGAGCAAGTGACTCCAGAGTGATGCCAATCCACACACAAACTATTCAATTCCATGTAAATAGAAAATTAGTTAAAGAAATTCGTTGTGCTTAATCTAAATGTGTACATTCAAAACTAAATATTTGAACTCTAACTAAAAGTAAATATTAAATTAAGAAGATAAATACAGGAAAAAAAGAATTAGTTGACTAACTTCTAGCTTATCTAATTTCCAAGTTAAGTTAAAAGAGTTTAAAAAATTTCCATATGCTTAAATGTGTACATAAAAAACTAAATATTTCAACTAACAGAAAGTAAATATGGAATTAAGTCACCATTAATTATAGTAGTATTCTAGGCAGATGATGAAGGGTTTCTCAACAACAAGAATTAGTTGATTAACTTTTAGTTTATCCAATTTCGAAGTTAAGTCAAACAATTCCAATATGCTTAAAGTGTGTACGTTCAAAACTTAATATGTAAACTCTAAGTAAGAGTAAATATTGAATTGTGTCTCCATTAACTATAGTAGATTAATCTAGGAGGACGAATACAAGAAAAGGTTTCTCTCTTTTTCTAATTTCCAAGTTAGGTTAATAAGTTAAGTAATTTCCGTGTGTACATTAAAAGTTTATTAATCAACTACAACAAAAAACAAACGCAAAAACCAAATCCTTTTATCCCTCATAGCAGTCCATCGTAGAGCTTGGCGCTTATCGGTGCTGGTTTGCCCACATCCATGGACATTTGAAGCGTAGGCTGCTCGCCGGCTTGAGCCAGGCGAGCGTTTTTATTGTGCGTCTTCTTGAAGTGCACAGCCATTTGGGGATTCATCTCGCCGGTCTCATCTCTGACATACTCCCGTAGCAGTGGTGGCAAATCCAGCTTTGTGGGTAGCACAACTGACGCCGCCTTCTTGTTATTGGTCAGAAACTTGTGTTCCTCGCTGAGGGGCACTAGTTCGTAGTCCGCCTTGTAGCTGGTGCTATAAATCTCGACGGGTTTGGGTTGCGTGATTCCGCGCCACGTTTTCTCCACAGTTACGCGCACCTTGCGCACCTCGTTTGGCTGTGAACATGATTATACACATGTTGTATATGTATTTATATCTATTTTATATCCTCACCTGCTCATCTATCGCCTGCACTTTTAAGATTCTCATGTAGCAGGGCTCCGGATAACGTTGGAACATGTTACGTATAACCATGCGACCCACTCCCCAGTCCGGCAGATTGCCTACTATCTCCCAGAGCGAGTTGCCGCGAAAGTCTGTGGTGCGTCCAATGTATTTGATTACTTTTTGACTCATCTTGACTCCAATGGCTTTTGCTTTAATTGATAAATAGTGGAAGTATTGAAAAATAATATAATCTTTTTGCGGTGTTCTGCTTCTTCTCTTTAATAAGCCATTCACTTGTTCACGCGCACAGCTGTGAGTCGCTAGGCGTTGCCACTGTTTACAGAAGCATGGCGCGAGAGCACATATTGTGGTTGGCAACGCGGTGCGTATTTAAACTTGCTCAGTTTCGAAATGAAAGAGTTTTTTAGCCGACGAATTGGAAACGTTGCGTTGTGATTTATGTGTTTTTATTTATATATTATATATAATAGTGAAAATTGAAGCAGTAACTCTCTATTGGAGCGCATTACAAAATCAATCCAAGTTAAGAAAGCAGCTGATTTATTGCTGATAAGTTTTGCTAAATTTTTAGGTTATGTAATCTTTGACTGGTTGTTTACATATTTCTATTAAATACATAAATAAGTAAGACTTAAAAATGTAGCCTAACCATTGCGATGATGCTCCTCGATGTCATCGCTAGCCGTGTGACCAACACCACTAGTGTCAATGTGCTCATCGTATGACTCTTCCAGCTCCTCATCGTGCAGGCTGTGCTCTTGCTGATTGGCACTCTCGTGGAGTCCAATTGTAGCATGTGCACCCGCCTTGGATGCATTCACCTGTGCGGCTGCCGCTGAGGAGGCTGCCTTCAGCGCTGACTCTTTGGTGGCCGCGAAATCAACGCGTGCCTGCTGTAACTGCTCCTCCACTTGCTCCAAACGATTCTTCGCTTGACCCACCATTGTTGCCTGTGATCCGAGCTGATTGGACACCTCACTGGCCGTTTGTTCTGCTTGCTCCACCACTGCCTTGGCATTGTTGACTGCCGCAGTTAGCACAGAGATGTGATTATGGGCGGATTGTGCGGTTTGCTGGGCCAACTTTGCCGACACCTTGGCTGCCTTGAGCTGCTCCAGTTCGCGGGAGAGTGCTCGGTGTGCCTCCGCTGCCTGCTGCTCCAGTTCCTGCAGCAACACTTGCTTGCCAGCCAGTGCTGCTTGCGCAGTGGCCGCTGCCTGAGAGGCAGCCTGTGCCAATGTATTTTTAGCGATAAATGCAGCTTGTTTGGCTGCCGCATGTTGATTGGCCACAGCGCTGTGCGCCTGATCCGCGGATCCTTGTGCTATGGAGCGCAGACCACTGCCAATGCTATAGCCAGACTTGCTGCTGCTACCATGATCCAGACTATTGTGGCTCTTGGAGCTGCTGCTGCTACTGCTGCTGCTGTAATGATGTTGATGCTGAGGATGTTGCTGTGAATGTGGATGTTGTTGCTGCTGATGCAGAATCTGTTGATGATGATGCAGTTGCTCCTCGTCGTGATCGTCGTGTCCTGCGGGCAATGCGGGCTCAAAGAAACCACCATGCTGGTGTTGCGGATGGGGTTGCGGCTGCGGTCTGTAGTAGTAACCACTGCGTTTGTTCAGCCTGCCCCAGGCCTGGACACAAAGCAGTGCTACACAAATGATGAATGAAATGAATCCACATTAATCCTTAAGGGTTCGCTTTACTTGCTTTACTGATCTTACCCATGAGCAAGCATATAAATTCCTTGTTGTACATCGCCCTGCTGCTGCTTAAACTGCATTAAACATCTAAGTCGACAGCCACATAGATTTTATATACTCCGACTTTGGAGTTCAGCTTCAACGCCAGCGATGCATAAATTTTTAGTAGTGCGGAAAGTCAGTTGCGCATTTTGAGTTTAACGGTCTCTCAACATGTTATGTTTATAATCATATTTCTTTCTAGGGCCGATTTGAATATCACACTCCAAAGGTGGGCAATTTCTGTGAGGAAGCGCTTTGGAAATGATGCGAGTGAGTTTTCGGGTGGCAGTCATTTTAATGCCTTATTGGCACGGCTCTTAGTTTTGGGGTGGTGCAAAGTGGTTGCTTTTGCACAAATCCATTTCAATCCGTTGCTTTTGTTGGTTTAATATGTAATTTGCATTTTAATTGCATTACGCCCAATTGTAATTGATCCTTACTTGCTTATTATCGTATTTTAGTTGGAAAAGCTTATTTTTATAATGATACATTTTTCAAAATTAATTAAACTATTTCGTTTTGGGGGAATCTTTGGAGGAGGTGGAAATGTGATTTTGCCCTGTTCGTTTGTCCGGCTGTATACAAAATGTGATCTCAGAGGCTATAAGAGCTAGAGACGTTAAATTTGGGATTTAGGTAATCGTATAGCATACCCAGATCAAGCTTATCATTTTAACTGCTTTCGTTTCACGACTATGGATTCTAATAGATTTCAGGCAGCAAAGGAAGGCATCATTTTTAAGATATATCCTTTGAAATAATATATAATATTTAACTTTTTAGTCGAAGTGTCTCTACTAATTATAATTTGTTCAAACTGGGAACTCTTTTGTTCTAGAATGATTTCTTCATTCATAAAGACTTCAAACTGTGCAAGAAAACAACACGTAATTATCTTTGATATCTCATAAATTAATTTATTTAAATAGTTTTTTTCTTTAATTTATTACAAGTATAAAAAATAAATTAATTAATATAAACACAACTACATATTTTACACAATTCGCAACTTGAATAGACTGCAATACGAAATTGATTGCCAAGGCACTCGGTAACAACTCATTCAACAACAATCGATCGAGACTCGATTGTTGTGTGTTGTGTGGACAAAAGTGTGTGGTGTGCGTGGGTCATAACAATAACAAGGTAATAAGGTAATAAGAAAAGGCCTAAGCGTACATAACGGTAACAGTAACGGTAACGAGCGTTAACAAGCGATAACAACTCGAGTGTGATCCAACAAAGTAATATCGAATGGGTTTTGAAGAGTACAAGAGAGTGACGAGAGACAGTTACGTAAATGACAGTTGGACAGATGAAAAGACTGATTCAAAAGTGAAAAATAAATTCATCAGAGGCATCGTCGTCGCCATATCTTATGTCCCCCACTTGCTCCGTGCTGGCAACGCGTGATCATTTGTAGCTTTGCGTGATTTGCTTAATCCAGGGCAGGTAGGCGGATACCTTCACATAGACACCGGGCACATTCACCTGACCGCATCCAATGCCCCAGGACACTACGCCGACGACATTCCAAACACCATTGCGTTCGCAGACCAACGGACCACCGCCATCACCCTTGCAGGCATCTTTGCCCTCCTCGCCGCCGGCACAAACAAAGCCGGGATTCAGTTTGTAACTGTAGCCAAGACGAGTGTTGCGCAACTGGGCCTCGCACTGATGATGCGACAGAATTGGCACATCGACCTCCTTTAGGATGTTCTGGTATTTGCCATGCTCGCCAAAGGCATCCTTGCCCCAGCCAGTGGTCCAGCAGCGTGCGTTGGTGAAATCAGAATACTGGTCGGGCAGACAGGCCGGGCTAATATGGGGATTCTTGGTAAAGTCGACGGGATGATCCAGTTTCAATATGGCCAAATCATTATCCAAAGTGCCGGCATAGTATTCGGGATGAATGTGCACAGAGACAACATCGCGTTCAATGTAGGGGAAGAACTCCACATCATGGTTGACATCCCATTCGCCCAGACGCACGCGCAGATCGAAACCATTTTGACTAAGGATGTGGATGAGAATAACAATAGTTGAGTCTCGAATTTCTGTGAAGATTCTCAAGTTTTAACTTACGATTTAATGCAATGGGCCGCCGAGATGATGTGCTGGGCGTCAATCAAGGTGCCACCGCAGGCATAGATCGACTCCTTGGGATCCTTCTTCAGAATGGCCACGTGCCAGGGATACTCGCCGAACTCACTATCGCCATCGACATAAACGGGATTCTTAATACGACCGGTAATACCAGCGGCATTCCTCACACCGCAACGTCCCAGCTGCTGCTGGGGTGGAGCCTGTGGACGGAGTGGACGACGGCAGCAGACCTCATTGATGCGACAGGTCTTCTCCACGGGTCGGTTTCCATAATAAGCGCGCTGCAAGGAGAAATAGAGGAGGGTAGAGGATTAGCATATGCTCAGATAGAATGCCAAATCCTATACTACTACTAAATACCGGCCCTGATTTTGGGTTACCTGCTCCGCTCTCAACTCAACCTTAAGCTCATCAAGATCAACGTTGCGTCGCCGACGATCATGGGGAAATGTGATAATATCATTGCCCGCAGCAGCACCTGGAGCTGGCGTGGGTATACTATGGATTGGCCCCAAATTCAATTGTTTGCCACGACGACGACTGGGTGCTGACCAGTCGGGTGAACTGACATTGACGCTGCGCTCATAATTTTGGGAAAAATCTGCATAATTGCCAAAGTCGCTCGCGCCAGAATGAATCGAGTTGAAGGAGTGATCGAATGAGCTCTCTGGATGGTGTTCAGTGTGGTGGTAATCATTGTGCAGATGCTCAGGGTAAAATTCAGATTGATGGTGATGATGGTGCTCTGGCGGATGTAGGCTAGGTCCACTGTGGTACTCAAAGATCGGTGTGCTCGGCACCATCTCAACGCTAAAGTGCTCAATGTGTGGCGGATCAGAACTCTCGTAATGATGGTGTAATGGTGGTGGTGCGCTGTAGTGGTGCTCTGGATGGTGATAATGATGATCATGATGATCATCATGATGCTCGCTGAAGCCGCTGAAGTGATCGTGATGATGATAATGCGTATTGTACACTTCGTTGGGCTTCCCCTTGAAGAAGTCACCCACTTTCTGTATGATATTCGCATTGGGCGTCACATGTAGATTCACCAGTGGCTTCACTACCTTCTCGCCGTAGTCGGTTTTGCTCACTTGCACTGAGACAAGAGGATTCACATTGACCAGGCCCAAATTCAAACCGTTTGGTCCCAACGAGCCAAAGTTCGGATTCTGGGCGGGATAATAATCGCCGAGGACATTTGCCGGATAGCCGCCCGGATAGCCAGCCGAGGGATAGGGCAGCCCAAAACTAACACCATACGTTGGTAGCACCTTGCGCTGTATCAGCTCGATGGCTTGGAGCGCTGGCAAACCTAGCGGCGATTGTCCGAGTAGCCCCTGACGCTGCAGGAAGAAGGACGGAATATGGACACGGAGTTAGGCTGGCTCCCAAAAAAGAGCATTGTTGGACGTGCGACCATTTGTGATGACCCCGTGCATGGTTAGGCTGATTTTAGTTGCAGTTGCAGGATTAGTGACGATCTCGCGGTGGCAACACCAACCTACGAACGCAGAACGCAGAAGGGAGTCGACGACGAGCGGGTTTTAGTGGACCTTTGAGTTTGAGTTGAGTTGAGCGTGGAGCGTTGAACGATGAGTGCGTTTGAGTTGAGTTGAGTTGAGTTGTGTGTTGTGTTGTGTTTTGGGGTGTGTGTGTGTGTGTTTTTGTTTTTTGGTATGTGTGTTGTATGTTGTGTGGGGAGTAGAGCACGATAAGAGTCTCTAATCGAGGGAGCATTACTTTTACTATGTGTCAATTGCATTAGTCGGGCAGTAACTTGAACTAGAGGATTGGCTAGACTGGATTTAAAACAATTTCGTTCACTTACCCCTTGAGCATCCAATGAGAGATCGCCGGTGTCTTCTTGCTTGTTCTCAGCATCGGTCTGGCGGCGTGTGCGTTTCTTATCGTCCTCAACCTTCTTGTCATCGACCTTGGTGTCGGCCTTGGCCGTGGCATTGGTGGCTGCATCATCGCTCAACGCTTCAATGTCCTTGCCCAGATTACGGGGATCAATGGGCAGAATCAGATCCTCTTTGCGACCAATACGATCAGCGGCTGGGCACTGAGAGATGGGCACGCACTGGCAATCGACGATTTGTTGACGCGATGTGTCATAGGCACCTTGATAAGCACCACCCTGGGCACCTTGAGCACCATATCCCGAGGAAATACCATTGTAGTGACCGGAGGCACCACCGTTCTGCAGCTCCTTCTTGTAGTAGTCGGGATTCTGGCTGTGATAGCTGCCGCTGGGCGAGCCACTGAAACCGTTCTGGCCGAAACCGCCAGATTGCGACAAGCCGGAGCTGCTGCCATAGGTGCTCAGACCAGATGAGGGCTTGTACAGATCACCATTGGGCTTCTGCAGGGGATTGTAGCCCTGGGTGAGCAGACCACCCTGGGAGGCACCATTGAAACCGGCATTGAAGGCATTCGACTGCGAGAAACTACCCGAGCTGGCCGCTTGAGCCTGCGGTGTATATGTGGCCGAGGATTGGGCCAGAGCGCTAAAGTCAGTGTTCACAGTGTGGCCACCACCAACAGGGATTGGCACGCTGGGAATATTGGCACCCTCGCCGCCATCCACATGATGGAAATGATGATGCACATGCTGCTGTAGACCGGCATCGATGGGTGCACCGACAACCACTTTAGTGGTCGACGACGTGGCTGCTGCAGAAGAAGATGATGAGGATTGTTGTGAGTAGAAGCCGTTCAGAGAAGAGCTGGAACCTTGAATCTTCTCGGGATTCTCAAAGTTGTAGGGTGGCCCACCGCTGGAAGGACCAGGATTGTAGACGGGTCCAGGAATGGGTCCGCTTGGTCCACCAGTATAGAGAGGACCGGGTGGTTTGCTGTCATAGATCAGGGCACCAGGTGGTGGCTTGGTAAAGGTAACGCCATCAGAGTCAAATGCAGATGGTGGTGGGTGCTCGTAGACGGGACCAGGTCTGTACAAACTATTCATCGGTGGCTTGTAGGAACCCTCGTAGCCCACCTTACGTGGTGGACCAAACGAGTTGATGGAGCTGGGTGGTGGTGGGCCAAAGGAGTTTGGTGGTCCGCCCATCGGTGGACGACCGTTGAAGTAGCTCGGTGGTGGCATGGGTTTAGCGGGTCCATAGGGTCCGCCACCAAAGCCGGACGGAGGTGGTGGCCCCTGTGCATAGATGGTCGAGTAGAAGGGACGCTTCTCCTCCTCGCAGCTCATCAGTCCGAGGCCGCAAAGTTTGTCACGGATCAGATTGCGTGCCTGCAGATCATTGCCCTGCTGCAGAGCCTGATCAATATTGCCATCGGCATAGACAGCATCATAATCACCGATATTGCGTCCCTCACGGCGGGAGTTAATCAGCTGATCAATAACTGTATCGATTTCGGTGGCATTACTCTGAATGCTGCCTTCCTCATGCACGGCGTAGTTGCGTCCCTGCGCCTCCTCCTGAGCAGGTTTCTGTTCATCAGTAGAGCGTCTGCTCAACATGGAAGAGTCGGCTGACTCCATGGGCGCCCATTCATTGCCCCAATTGGAATCGGCGGCAATTAGTGTTGCACTAGTCGCCACTAGCACCAGCAACCAAGTCATTCTCATTTTCTGTGGAGCAGAAGAAAGATGATTGTTTTTGGTTATTATATAATCGACTTGACACCATTTCTCACAAAACTGACTGGTCATTGTGCCAGTTTATATTGCTTGGCTGCGAACATTCGGCTTACTCCTCGCTCCCCCCTGCGTTTTCTTTGGCAATCGACAAACCGGTCTTGAAATCTTCACGCTGACTCACAAACTTGGCCGTCTCTTTGAGAGGAAAAAAAAAAGACTTTTACTTTCGTTCGAGGTCGCAGACCGTAGACGATTGCCCCCTCCTTCTTCCTCTCTCTCTCTCTCTCTTTCTCTGTCTTTCTCTCTCTCTCTCTCTCTTTCTTTTGTGAGGTAATTTTAGCTGGGTTTGGTTGTGCTGTGAGATTTGGCAAGCGGCGAGCAGTGATCGCTCAACTTGATCTCCGACTTGACAGCTGGTTGTGTGTCCGTTGAGATTGAAGTCGGTGTAACGCTGTCTGCATTTTCGTAACTCCCTCCCTATTTTTATTTTGTTTTTGTTTTTTTTTTTGCTTACGCTTATTGTTGCCAGCTGCTGCGTGTTATGTCATTTACAGTTTACATTTACGTTTTACGTTTCTTTAATGTGTTTTTCTTTTCTGGAGCGTGGGTTGCAAAGACTCCGAAGTCTGCTGTGATCTTAAAGTCTCTTTTTTCAATTTCGGGTTATATAAAGCGTAGTTTTTGCGCTTTTGAACGGAAGTCGTGTGCAACGTTGCATTGCGAAATTATCTTTGGAAAATAAAAGCAATTTGCTTGTGTATGTGATGTGTGTGTGTGTGGTGGGACTGGGAGTTGTCTTAGGATTTGCAGTGAAAGTTTTTGATATAGGGCTTGGGTCGTTGACTCAGACAACTCGATTGCAAATTAGTTGCTTTTTGCTGTACTTTAAAATTAATTAAAGTGTTGATTACTTTACAATGATTACTTCAACTAAGCTGTTGAAGCGTTGACACATTAACAGCTTTTTTTCCTCATTGCAGCATTGCAACAATCAACCTATTAAAATGCTATAAAACATTGATTTGGCAGGGCAGGAAAGATCTTGAAATTGGTATTTAATGATCTTAAATTTGAACATTTTCTTTTAGTTGTTGTTTCTGAAAATGATAATTGTAGTTCTTATCACCTGAACTGGCAGCATAAGGTATCAATCAGTTTTTCAACTTACTGGAATTGATCTTGAACTGGAAACGTATGGAGTCATTCAGTTCCTAAAAACTTTTCTGGTAATAATTTTGCACTTCATCGTAAAATTGATGATAAATATTTTATTATTAATTAATTTTAGATCTGGCACTTGGATTGGTATGCTTTACTTTAACCTTTTAGGTGTATAGAAATATTGTTACTTAAAGATTGGTTCTCTTCCTTAACATTTCCTTTAGTCTTTGCATTTGCTTTGGCATTAGAAGTTTATCTCATTTCTAAAACATTAACTTGTCACTTGTCACTTTTTTCTCTGATTTTGTTTGCACTTAGACTTACCTTTCGCTTTAATTTAAATATATTCCACAGTGTTTGTTATTGTGTTGTAATCCTTATGTAAGTGGTTGCTCTTATCCTTTCACTGCACCACTGTGTGTGTCTGTTTCGATTGTTGGCGACTCGTTCACTGATTTCGCTTTCGACAGAGCCGCACATTTTATACAAAAGCTGCGCATGCGCGACGCCGACGTCGCTGCTGCTGCTGCTGGTTGCCGCTTTTGCGAATTGTTGGCTCAAAACAAAACAGAGACGCTCCCAAGCAGCTGTGACTCTATTTTGGGCTCGTTTTCTGGCTATGATGTCAATATATTAATTTTGGGTTTTTTTTTTGATTGGGTTTGCGAGTTGCATTCTGCGTATCAGCGAAGGTTAAGATGAGGTCTTTGCGGAAACCTTAACTTAATGACATCGTCCAAATTCACAATTATTAGTTGACAGCGTTGTGTTGCGGCAATCCACCAAAACTGTGAGTGTAAACCAAATGGTGGCTCATAAAAAACCAAACAAAACTGAGCATATGTTGAAAACGTCTTACGTCCCAAATTAGCGCTTTATGTTTTCATGTGGGACGCATCGCGATGTCCAAATTTTCACCATCTACAAGCGAACACTTCCCGCTTAAGGCGCTGTTGCTTTTTGTGCAACCCAAACAACAACAATAACAACATAAACAATGTATTACGAAATTTGCAATTATTAATTGGGTCAGCAACACTAAATGACCCAAAGAGGGGCAACTGGGGCAACTGGCTGACTCAACGATGAGCTCCTCCCGCCTCGTAAAGGGCAGCGCTCGAAAACCGGATCTGTCTAAAATTGAAGACGCAACTTCGGTTTGAGCGTGCCTACCCCATGGCCAGTGCAAACATCTCACGTCAGTCAGTCGGTCAGTCATTCATAACGCATGCTCGTGAGTGTTTTTGCTTATTGTCACTTAAAAATCATTTTCTTTAACGGAATTACCCCGAGTTCATACAAATTAATAGTGTCTAGCATGTTTCCACTTTGAGAAAAAATGTGTATTATAAAGTTGTCGAAAGATATGTAAAAATGCGTTGATATATTATTGATAAACTGTAAAAATTTCATCAATATCAGATGAGAAACAAACTTTGTTAACCAAAACACAATTTTTCATATCGAACAAATTACAATCAGTAGGTTTTCTGGTTTTCCGATCGATTTTCAAAATAATATATATTATTTTTCTCAGTGTACACGCGTGCCAAATGCTGATGAGTCGTTGGTACGTTTATTGTGTGTGGTCAGTGATATTAGTGATCACTGAATCAGTATTCACAAGCTACTTACACACACACTCAGTAAGTCAGTGAGTGTGTGATTGACCTTCCTGTCGATTGGCAAGCGTTTAGACCGGGTTTAAGTGGCATTTTATGTTAACCATTCCAAGAAAGTCGATAATATGTGTAAGTGGGCCCCTGCTCCGCTTTAATTATGCTAATCAGTCTAATCAATCCACTCTTATTGTCTCTGGTTGCTGCTGTTTTTATAAGTTGTTTGCCAAACCAACTGTTTCGTGTCGTGTTTTTGTTGTTTTGTTTTTTGTTTTATCAATCAATGCTTTGACCGTCGGGGTTTTTTCTTGACTCAGCCAAAGTTTCGACTGAATGTTTGAAGGAGCTCTGTGAGTAGACACACTTCCGAATTATCTTTTTGGAAATTGGTTAAATATTTGCTGGTAAATTCCCAGTAACCGCTGCTTGAACTTGAACTTTGGTTGTGCACCTTGTGTGTTTCAATCACAAGTGAACGACAGTGTGTATGTTGGTGAGTGTAATCCGAGGTTCAGGGTTTTAATCGATCTCTTAATTGCCATTTTTAATCGAATTACCCTCAAGTTGATCTGTTATTGAGATTTAACTAAGTAACACTCTGTGAAAAGTAGAAATGTAAAATGTAAAATACGTGCTAGTCAAATTTAGACTGTCACAAAAGCTACGCAAATTTCAGATATGAACTCTATATAAAAATAGTTGCTACCATATTCCCAACTCTGTCAAGCTTAGAATGTCACAAAAAAGCTTTAACAGTTTCCGTAACGAATTATAGATAAAAATAATCCATAGGCTGTTTCCAACTTTGGTTTGGACACAAGTATTCGTAATCAAAGAGCATATAAGGCGTTATAATCGATACCATCGATTGTCATAGCTTTTTAACATCTTTAGCTGTCACAAAGATGACAAAACGATATTAGTAACCAAAAAGACGCTAATCTGCGCTGATTTGTTCATAGCCTATTCCTCATCAGTTCAAGTCCCAAGTCGTTTGTCTTCAACACGCCTTCCTCTCTCTCTAACTGTCTTTTCCTCTCTGTCTGTAAAGTCGAAGGTCTCGTTTTTATCTCAATTGCTCAATAGGCAATTCGAGGCAACTTCCACTCATACGCACAATGTCCAGCTTCCCATGTGCAAAATGTTGTTAATCTGCGACGAGAGCCGCAAGTGTGGCAATATTTATAGGGAAGTTTTCCTGTCAACTGCAGTTGCAACCACAACACCATGGCAACTGTGCCACGGATTTGCCCAAAATCGAATAATGAGGCCTGGAAAATCCCGTAGAAGGCAAATGCAACAAAAGACAAACTTCAATTACCTGAGTTGGCCTAGCCAATTCTCAGCTAACAGCCGGTTGTTCAGCGTCGTCGTCAGGCCTTGGGGAAACCCCAACTAAAGTTTTGTGGCAAGCCACCGCTCGCAGCTCTACCGGTCTCAGTTTTCGTGTTTTGCTTTGTGCTTAAAGTTTGTTTCTCTCTGTTTGCTCTGGCTTACATAATCCCAAGCCTCAAATGCAGCCGACTGCGGCACGCGATGCATTCGAGCAGAGCAAATCATTTGTTTTGTGAATCATTTGCTCAAAACTCGATATTGATTGGGGTATTATGATTTTGTTAGCAAGAGTGCCAGGTTTTGAAGACATATACTGTTCTTGCGTACGACAAGCTCAATCAATTTAGCATTTAAATCTGACTGTTTAATGTAAACTTCAGAACTTGCTTAGATCAGATACTTTTTTATACTTTTTATAATAAGTTTAATTACCCAAAATTTGATAATTGCACTTATTGAAAAGTCATATTTCTATTGATAAAATTAGCTTTTATAAAATCTACAAGTATTGTAAAACAAACATTTTTTACTAAACTTACTAATTGAATAATTTTGCATTTAAGAAGCAACTTGCTAGTTTAACACGATTTTTTTGAGTTAGTTCGATAATAACGATAGGGTATCAAATCGACGCCAATATAGTTTTTATTGCTTTGATTGAATTTTTTTGTTTTGATTCGTTTTGCTTTTTAGTTTTTGGAATTGTGTTTCGTGCACGAAGCTTGAATTTGAATGAGCATTTTTTGGTTTTTTGCGGCATTTGTTTTGCTTTTGCGAAACTGCATGTAATAAAAATGTATTTTTTTTATTATTGTTGGATTATTGTATTTATTAGTTGGTTAATCGTCAAGGTCGTTCACCCACATTGTGTGCCCGGCATGATTAAGCAGGCAGGCCCATTCCGGATCGTGGAGTTTGAGCTAGGTGACTCAGTATCTATCAGAGCTGCTGCTGTGTGTTGTCTACGATGTCTATGATATGTACAAGCTCTCTTGTGCAATACTTGAATTGTAACACCCGCATAGTTAAATAATTGCCGTCGTCGTTGCCCTTTCACTGGGAGTCTGTGTGCGGCAGGAGAGGAAACAACAAGCAACAAGTCGTCTCAAGTTGAAGTTAACACAAAGTTTTTCTGGCCTGTTGCGCCAGACAAACGCTGTTTCCGGCGCCAAGAAAAATATACTTTTTGGCCAAATACAGTGAAAGCCAGCCCTGCTGCAAGCCCACATACCTAGCTGTTAATCATTTGTGGCAGCTCAAATGTTGTTGCTCAGTTATTGTTTCTTAACAGTCGCTGAGATTACATAAATTATATAATTTACTTGGTTATTGTTTTTGTTTTTTTTGCCAGCTCTTTTTTTGTGAAATTGCTCAGTTCTGGTAAACTTTTGTCCACTTTGGCTAAGTGCTGTAGACAACTCTGATTGCGTTGGCCAAGACATTTTGTTGTGACTTGACTGAAAGTCTTCTTGTCTTCTCTTTTCTGTTAACTTAACTTGTCTTCTTTTATGCGCATTGTATGTGTTGTTGTATACAAGCCCGAAAGGGACCACCCACTGCCAATGGCCATGACCAGGGAGCAGCCTTTTGGCCAGGATTTGGCTTTGGCTTTGGCTTTGGCTGCGATGACAGCATAACGACGCATTCAAATGCCGCTCCATTGAGATAAACAAACAAACCGATTACGCAGCGGTGTGCTGACGTCGTACAACAAATGTGATGTAGTTGAACCACTCTCAACCAACCACCCCGAACCTACCCAAACCATCCGATTGTCCACCCGCAGTGATAATTACGAGTAATCATCGTAGCAGTGAGCATCTACGTCGATTCGAAGCGTAGTAGATTCCAATGAACTCTGTGTCCCGGCTTAAAGTCTCTTTTCGTGTAGCAGCCTTTCGGGCGCCTCTTTTTAAAGTCAACAACTGAGCGGCATCCAGCGGTCGAAACTGCTATATGACTATACAACTTTGGCATACTTTTGTGCGCCAGCGAGGATTGCATCATGTCTGCAACTGACAGCCATACATGGGCTGGTCTGAGGAGGGTTGCAGTGCGTGGCAATTGGACTGTGATAAGGAAAACAAAGCTGCACAAAGCTAATCGATAGCAAGCAATAATTGTGGCAGTTATTGTATAGCTATATCTTGGTACTTTGCCATGTTCTTAGTCTTTGGGAATTCATTGAATTTTCGTATATTTTACATAATCTGCGTGGGCGGGCAACAATAGCCGCAACAGGAACAGAAACTACAACAACCACAACATTCATTGAACGTATGCCACGAAACCAGTGCAACTGTGTAGCGAAATACTACAGTTGTCATTGCCACTCGAGATGTGTGGTAGATGTCTGTGAGCCAGTCACTTTGGTCTGGTTGTAGACAACAAAGTTGTGGTAGTATTTGTATATTCATTTATTCTTGATTATTTTATTTAATTTGATTTACATAACCCTTAAATTTCTGATAAATGTATGTTAACAATATTTACAATTGTCTTTATTAATTTCTGACATATCTGTTGGAGCTGATTGATACTCACTTCACTCTATAAGTATTTTAAGTTTGTTCACTGAAAATGGAGTCTTGTTGCTCATTAATTTCTTACACACCCTTTGGGGTCAATCGGTGCTTGACCCTTGTAAATCCAATCAAATACGTCTTTCCCTATTTGTAATTCGACGGTAAACTCAAAAGTCATTTGAACTTCCCACAGCATCACTTTCAGTTGTTTGCTCTTAGCTACAATGCTCTGTGGATTGGATTATTGGCTCCAGCTGAACATCGTATTACCTTAACCCTTAGCTGCAGTTGTTGCATAATCATAACAATGACCAATGTTTGCGGTCAACTTTTTGGCCAGATGCGGTTAGTTTTTAACCTTTGGCACCACCAGCTGTGCATTGACTGCGATTTGATACATTTTTATATATCGGGTTCAAGGTTTTCAATTTCATAAATGTTCTTTATGCTGCTCACTTTTCTCGCTTCGCATTGTGTGTCATTTGAAACTTGTATGTTCTAGACAATTCCAGTGGGGCAACCACCTGGCGTGGTGCATGGCTTCTTCTGTTGTTGCTTCTATTTATTCTAGCGACTTGTTGACAATTGTGTGTCGGCCAATAGATATTACTTAGAGTACACACCCACCCACACACACATCTATGTATTCATCTACATATTGGGTTAAAGTACTCTATCTGTTCGGTGGCTGACCTGACCTAAGTACAATCAAATCCGAGACATTTACTTTACCAGGTTCAACAGCTTATTGGCATTGTTGTGACGTCACAGTTACTCTCAATCAACGGTGAAATGTAGCGCAACAATTTAATTGGCAGTTTAAACAATATGCCTAATCCTCAAACTGTTAGCCAAGCGTGAAATTTGCCTCCCAATAAAAAGAAAATGTAAACAGACAAGGATTGAAATTCTGTCGTGGGTTGTTTCTCTGTTGTTGTATGTATGTTTTTCCAATTGCCAGTTATTGAGTACACAATTTACGTTTTATGGTGTGTGGAGAAATTGAGAGTGGGTGCGGCATCGAAGTTAACTACAATCTGAGGCATGGGTAGCTGCGTGGGAGTAAACATAATCAGCTGCCGGATGTAGTGGTTAGACAATAAAACTGCGCATATCTCTTTTTAGTAATGGAGTGTGGTGCACAAAGGTGGATTCATGCTCCGCTAACTCGGCTCTCTTCGTAAAGTGGGTCTGGTCAAGCTCAAAACTGCCAACAACTATTTGAAACTCTGAAATGCAAATTGTTCAAAAAGAGTCTAAGCTTTCTACAGCCATAAAATTCCACGTTGGGTTGTTAATGGGCATACAAATATTTGAATACCACACTAATTAGTTATTGAGAGAGTTGCTTTGTTTCGCAACTCTTGAACTATGTGTCCTTAAAGGATTCACTGCAGCTCTTACAAGTGACATTGAAGTAATAAGCTCAAAAATTGCAAATGCGAATTCTTTATTCCAAACAAAAAGTAAGCAGAGATAAAAGTAAGAGATAGAGATAGATTCTAGAAAATGGCAGGTATAGTGTCAAAGGCAGAAATAGAAGATGTGTTAGCTAGAAGAATACATTTTTTAGAATGTTGTTTTCTCTTTGGTTTCAACTTGTTGTTGTTGTTGTGCTCGTTTTGTGTTTAATTGCGGAGTAGTATAACGCGAGGATCAGCGGAGCTCAGAGTCCACAGCAAGGGTGGATGTTGACGGACAAGTTTAGTGGTGCGCACGGCTGGTGCCACAATTGGCGTAACCACACGTCGATGATCGTGCACCACTGTTTGACTTTGGTGCGAAATGGCAGAGGGCACATGCTCCACCAGTTCACCCAATCTGGCCAAAGTGGGCTCCTGAATAGTGAGCACACTGCGCAAACCCGAACGGGTAGCCAGAATAAGGGGCAGTGGAATGGACACGGGCACAAGTTGAGCATCGGCAGCAGCATCTGCACTGGAGCTAGCAGCAGAAGATTCAGACGCTTCCTCCAGCTGCGGTTCAGCGGATGAGCTGGCGCTGCTCTCCGAGGCAGTCTCAGCGGATGACTCCTCAGGCAATTGTAGAGGCAACGGCAATGACTGAGAGGATTTGCCTGTACTCAGCGACACAAGATTTGCCGGCCATTCCAAAGAGCCAGCTGTGCTGGCGTCCAGCAAGGCGAGTACAACAGCAAAAAGGCTCAGTTGCTAGAGGGAATTAAATAAAGATGTTGATTCTAACTCGAACTTGACCGAACTTACCAGCTTGAACATAATGTCAAATCTCAAGTGGGAACTAGGTGAAGGTTGATAATTAACTGATGCTGTAGTCGAGAGTACTTTCAGCTTTTATAAGGTGGAAGCCTGTTTCGCCCCAGTGGATCGAGAAATTTGAAACCAACGACGACGTCAAACGAGAACAGGGCACATTTATTACTAGACATCTTTTGAAATTTTAATACAGAGAATACAGAATACAGGTGCAACCTATAGTTCAATCTATAGCAAATCCTTTGGCAGTTGAATATCACATTTGTGCTGATCCTTTAGCCAATAGGCCTCCAGATAAGTGATGGGATCCCTCGGCTGCTCACGTGCCAGGCCCAGCATGCCCTCCATCAAGATGGGCACCACCTCCTGTTGCAGATAGTCCCGTTGCTGTGCCTCAGATCGATAGTAGCTGGGCTGATTGCATTTGGGTTTGTCAGCGATCTTTGCTTGCTCTGGTGGTTTCACTATGGGATCACACACCACTGGTTTTGGTGGTGGGGTTCTTTTCGGCACTGCTTTTGGCACCTTCTTCAAGTCTTTCGAACAGCATTTTATTTTCTTTGATCTATGCGAGTCTGGTTGCTTGTTCGACATTTTTGTGATGTTTTCAGAATGCTCAAATGAAATGTGGAAGCTATCCCAATATGAAAAATATGAATGCTTTACTCCCAAAAATACTCGACAAAAATCTGTCAAATGCTTGACTATGAATTCAGTCTTTCTGGCAACTTATTTCCTACTTCGAACAACTCTCTCATATATATAGCTTGCATAGGGAAAATCGCTCGAAAATTGAGTTGCTTTCCTTTTATAGTCTTCCAGCAAAATAAACAATCTTATGATATTATCTCTAAAACTACTTAAAATGGGCTTAGTGGGTATAATAAAAACTCAACACTGATTTGTTTTATTTCCAAACACAATTCTCCCATTACTCTTACAATAGACAAACACAGCGACAGACACATACACACTCACATACATATACACGGACACGGGCACATTATAAGACCATTTTTGCATTCCGCTCCACGCGCCTGCGACTTAGATTGTTTCTAAGCCGCTTAACTGCTAGATGCTGCTGGTTGCTGCTAGATGCTGCCACGCTCTTGTGTAATCGGAGCTGTCGAGCTGTGCAATAAGCAAATGAAGCGAAACATCTGCCAATTGAATGCGCATCGCTTGCCATGCTGAATTCGTAGGGGGTTGGTAACTTAAGCCGCTTAGTAGCTGTAGATACACCCAATCTTCTGCTGCTCTTTCGACTCCCACAGGTTGCGCAATGCCTTTGCCATTGCTCCATGTTTGCTCTCTATACAGATTCAAATAAATTTTTAAAACGACTTGGGACGTCGCTTGAAAAACTTGTTGAAATCTGTATAGTGACCACCAAAGAGGGCATAGCTTAATCGATTCTCCATTCTCCAAATGAGATGATCTATTCGGTAAAACAATACCATATACTTGAAGCACATCAGCATGAATAGTACATATAACTGTAGCTGATTCTTGCCCAGACCCAAAAGCAATCGGCTCTTATTCAGCTGGAGCAAAAAGAGCCAGGTGATGCCTAGGGACACCTTCGAGTTGCTGCAGGTCATCAGTTGAACTCTGATATGGTAATCTCGAAGCAGACTCACGTGCTCAGTTTCACATAGGCAGCGTTGTTCAACTGACAGCGATTGATAAACAAAGCAGCCACCGGCTTTAGGAACTCGGCGCCACTGCCAATCACAGTGCCAACAATCAGTATTGGCACCATGGCATTGTTGCCATACATCTTTACCGCCAGCTGCACACCCCGCTCGATGTGCAGAATTTGACTGATGGCTGTGACAGGCGCAGCCAGCAGTCGAAACAACACAGAACAAGCCAGGGAATGAGCACAATCGAAGGGACTGTAGAATATTAGATACCAGGCAGCCGAACACAACAGTATATCCTGGACGTTGCTCAACGGTTTCAGTGGCAATGTGCCCAGCAGCATATTGACCAATATCTCGCCGGCATAGGTCACCAATAGGTTCGTTAGCCAGAGCACAAAGGGTCGCTGTTTGGTTGACCTCTTGGCCAGCTCATGGCGCAACTGGAGCGCTACGAATGCGTAGTCCATGAGGCGAAACAGAATGTGATTGTTGCAATGCTTGAGCAACTGGTGCGAGTTCATCAGCGTTAGGATTATCATCCCTGGTAGCATGTATTATTTCAGCCGAGTCTACTTGAATTTCGAGACAAAATATTCAAATTGTTTACTTAATTTACACAACAATAAAAAATTCTTAAACACTAAACAAACTTTAACTGAGTGAGCGTGTGTGTGAGTGTGTGTGTGGGTGTGTGTGTTAGCCTCCGACTTCTGAAGTCGGGCAACAGCGAGGCGTAGCTTAGATTGCGCACCGGCTTAATAATGGGCAGCATTTGATGCACCACCGGTCGGGCGGCATAGGTGAGATGGGCGGGCGTGTGACCCTCAATTGGCAGCAGTTCCAGCTGTTGTAGCATTTCCCCGTCGCGGTTGCTGAGCGTGGCAAGCGTTGGTGGCAGCTGCAGGATTTGTTGCTGCGGTTGGCTCAAGCGCTCAAAGCTCTGATGTGAGATGGCACTGGCGCCACTTTGGCCAGCTTGACTATGCAGGACTGTCGCTGCCCAGGTGGGCTCAAGTGCCAGCAGCAGCATCATCAGCAGCTGTAGCTGAAAATCCATGATGTGCACGTCGAGTGTTGAGTGTCGAGTGTGGCTCCCTGGCGTGGACAACAAATAAAGCCAACTAGCTGGGTGCCCCAAGCGTTTTTATACTAGCTAATCGGATTTGAAAAAGACTCTTGAAATGCTGCAGTTAAGGTCGCCAGCAGCTCTTTTAATTTTTTTTTCTTTTTGTACTATTGCCGAACCCTCGTACGCATATATCGTTAATTAATTAATCAAAGTAGTCGCAAGAAAAGAGTGTTTCAATCGAATCGAATGGAATCGAAACGCAGCTCCACTTAGAGCTTCAATTACGCGCCTCCGGCTAATTGTTGCGCGGGGAGGCACAGACGAAGCTCTGGCGACGAAAGAGAGAGCGAAAGAGAGAGAGAGAAACAGCGTACAAAGCAAATAAATTACTAGCCACAAACCATATAGATAGATAAGCTCTAGCTGTGACTGCTAGACGTGCAGATACTCTACAATGAGGTATACTCTGCTGTAATAGAAATAAATTAAGACAGTTTAAGCTGCGATTGCGTGACTTGGAGATATTCTAGGGTCGAATTAAATAGCTAAAATATGTTTTTGAATGTCTTTTCAAAGTCTTAAAGAGATTGTAAAGTATCAGAGGCATTGAGTATTGTGATTGTAATGCGCTTTCAACTATTAGCTGCGCTTGTTGTCTTTGCTTATATTACAATTATTTATAATTCTGCTCACTTTAGTGGAGTCTAGAATAAGTGAGCTACATTTGCTTAATTGAAAGCTAACCTTTATCAAATTCAGCGGATTACAGGGTATTTACAAGCAAAAGATTTCAACTACATATATGGGGAGGGGGGCGACCAACCTTCAGCGGGTTGCGCATGCGCTGCCAACTCGCACCACTCACGCCACTAGCACCACTCGCACCACAGCTTGTTGCTCAGTGTTGTTGCTGCAAGCTGCTTATTGTTGTTGCTGGGGGTTAGTTGTTATTGTTATTACTACAATATTTGCGGCATTCGCTCGTATTTATTTATACATTTTCGTGTTTATTTCTTTACGTAAAGCGTCCAAGTTGGGACACTCCCACAATTGCAAGATAAAGCAGACAGACATCAGAGGCGTCGTCTCTCCAAGCACATTTGTCATTGCACCCTTTTGGTGTTCAATGACTAAGCCAGTGTTGTTCACAGCAATTGCTTTTCTGTGATTTCATGGCACAGCAATTCACACTGGCGTTCAGTTTGACTTTGCCACTCGGTTCGTTTTGTGGCTGGAAAACAAGCCGCCCGCCCACCATTTCTTCTAGACACGACTATGCGGATTTTGGTGAGCTTGTGCCCACGTCAATAAATGTTATATTGCAATATATTTATGGAATTCTAATCTTAGTTGTTTTTGGGACTATTTGCTTTGGCGCTGGCGAAGTCGGCACCGCTGCTCCTGATTGATTCGGCACCTTCGGTTGTCTCCTATCAGGGCTCCTCGCAGACCCACACACGATTTGTCATTGCGCCCATGGGTCGTGCCCTGGGCTATGTGGAGCCCACTAATCTAAATCGCACATTTCACACAATGCCCGACCAGGATAGTCATGATCTATTCCAGCCGAGACCTGTTTATGTGCCCTAGTCTGTATAGTTAATTGTCATTTAGTTAGGCTGTGTCATTGTACATATATACATACAAATAAAAATCAAAATTGAATTGTCAGCTGCTTTCTGTCAGATACAAACATATCATACAAGTATATATCGATTAGGTCTTCCTACGATGGCGAACGATGCTATTTGCGTGTGGCAACAACTGGTTCCATGCTCAAGTTGCTAATAAACTCCGAGTCTGCCATGGAGGAGTCCGCTTTGGATGTGCACGAGAGGTCGAATCAGATGTGGCGTGCTGAATATAAAAATCCTTTGCTTGCCGGTTCAAACATTGGCTGCAATCTCTACCGACAGAGGAGTGGGAAGCGGTACAAGCAGCGGACAAGCTTGGACTTTGAGAATCAACAAAGAGGCAATAGAACGAATCACATTTATTTTGAGACTGCATTTCTGGAAATATTGCCGGAAATCGGTTCGGACTCGGAGAACTGACTACCGTCTGTCGGCAATAACGCATAACTAAAATTGGAAATGTTTTTTGTTTCTTTTCGAATGTTCGCTAATCTTATTCTATTAATTATTGGTTGATCTCGCTCTAAGGGCTGCTGGCTAGCGACTGAGCTGCTCAAAAAGAATCCACTGGCTTTTTTATACTTGCTCTTGAGTGGGATAACGTCTCTCAAAGTTGCGGTCTCTCTGCCTATCGCACTCTCTCCGTCTCTATTTACGGCTATATCTGTGTCTCTCTGTCTCTCTCTTTCATGTTTTTTTTTTAAATAAATTGCATTTCATCTTGACTTTTTCAGTCTGTAAGCTTACGTTGAGACCTTCAACACCTCCAGAGTTGGGCAGTTTTTCAAATTGAGCCCCAGTGAAGGTTGTTTTTGACTGATTGTCGTAGACAATTAAAGGTATACAACGAGAATAAGCGTTTATCTTAGAAAATTTAATAGACAAAAAAGTTTTGTATGGCCAATTGATAAAGTTATCCAATCCAATAACTGACATATGTCCTGTCTGCAGCAAAAAGTCGAATAAATTCCAATTACGTTGCAAATTCTTACTTCCGCTTCTTCATATCTTCTGTCGATTTTTAATTCCGATATGCTGACAACTAATCTTCAGGCCTTTTTTGATGATGCTATTGTTTTATAGCAACATTTTCCAATATTTATTAATTTAACACCAACGGGCAAAATTATGCTTATGTGATTTTTTTGGTGCGACATACCAACATGTTGGCACGTGCCGATCTTTAGCATGATTTGGCTATGCCAATCAACACTGCAGAAAGAGATGAGCAAAAAGAAAAAACAAACGAGTTCTTTGCAAATTTGCGTTGGGTCTGTTTACTTGGGGGCCACTTTGGCAAACATTTTTACTATAAAATGGCACTTGAGGTGCTCTAACAGCAACAGTCGCTCATCAGCTTTAATCCGAGTAGCAAATCTAAAACCAAACTTCCAAAAATGTTCCGAATTGTAAGTAGCTGGAGTTGACAAGGAGAATTCCTCGAAGAACTCATTTAATTTTTAATTCCATTCATAGATTGTCATCTTCGCCCTGGCTACTATTGCTGCTGCTGCGCCTGGTTACGTGCCACAATATGTGGCTGCACCCGTTGTTGTGAAGCAGGTGGTACCCGTCGTGCACCATGCCTATGTGGCTCCAGTTGTCGTGAAGCATGTGGTTCCCGTTGTGCACCATAAGACCGTCATCACTCCGGTGGTGAAACATGTTGCAGTTGCCCCTGTTGCTCACGTCTACCATAAGCATCCATTCTACTAATTTTAACGGATTTCTGATTATTTGAATAAAAATGATAATTGTCAATCGAACCAAAATAATTGTGTATATTTTTCTTGAATCTGTAAAATTTAAGAACCATATAACTATAGCATGTGTCAAGGACACCACTCTTAACGGCTTAAGCTCTGTTTAAGGTCACTGTCTACCTAATTAAATTTATAGATTTTTCTTTTAAGTTGGTATCTAATGACCAACTTTCGGTATACTTCTTGTTAAAAAGCATATTTAATTTCATGTGTTTTAAACTGCGCTATTCTATGTTCGAATTATTAGTTTTTTACTTTTTTCCTATGCCATAGCGAAGTGTCTATCAAGGATTCGACAGAATTGTCAACCATTTTGTCAGACGGTTAGGTTTAGATACATTTTGGTGGACAGGAGATGGTTTTGTCATAGCACTATCCAGATTCTCAAGTCTGGATATCTTTCTAAAAACACTTCCATATGCTTCCCTCTTGGAAGCTGTCCTCTGCTCCCCCTCTCCATGCTGTGAACGAGCATGCGTCCTATAATCTGGAACTGCATCCCATTAGTGAGCTGAGCACTAGTTCCAGATGCGAGTTAATTTTACCGACGTCCAATAGCCGACTTCCGATGTACACTTGATATCCTAAAAATCGGGCGTTTGCGTGATTGGAAATGTAATAGCTTGTTGCCAAAATGATTCAGTGAGACTTATGTGATGATGATGTCTGATGGGTTGTAATCGTCTGCAGACTGACGCACAGTTGTAAAATTGGCTAAAATGGCCAGCTACTCTTACACCCAACCTGTTATAATTAATTCTGTGTGTGTTTGTGTGTGATACCGACGTACAACAAGAAATGTGCTAAAACAGCTTGGTTATCATTCTTGTTGATGAGATTGTTATGCTTTACAACCATAATCTGTGACGCCGAGAAATGCTTCTATTTATAATTTTTACGAATTTGTGAATCTATCCATCAATGTTTTTAAGTGTAGGTTGCTTGTACCGCTTGCAGCATTTATTAACTTTGTATTACAACTTCGATTGTGTATGAAAATCACGTCCGGCTCACCGAATGGTTTGAGGAAGCCACTGTTTGATTTTATGCTCATTCGCCACCAACGGGCACAATTATGTTATAGCGATATACAAAAGCAAAATAGTTAATTGACTTCAAAGCATCGATCAATAGTTTGTGTTAGTTTAATTATTTGGCCGCGCGTGCTTATGTTTGCTTGTGGCACACTCTTGCTATATAAAATGCCGCTTCTGGTGTTCCAACAGCAACAGTCACTCGTCAGCTTTAATCCGAGTAGCAAATCTAAAACCAAACTTCCAAAAATGTTCCGAATTGTAAGTAGCTGGAGTTGGCAAGGAGAACTCCTCGAAGAACTCATTTAATTCTTGGTTTCATTCACAGATTGTCATCTTCGCCCTGGCTACTATTGCTGCCGCTGCGCCTGGTTACGTGCCACAATATGTGTCGGCGCCCATTGTTGTGAAGCAGGTGGTTCCTGTCGTGCATCACCATACCTATGTGGCTCCAGTTGTCGTGAAGCATGTGGTTCCCGTTGTGCACCATAAGACCGTCATCACTCCGGTGGTGAAACATGTTGCAGTTGCCCCAGTTGCTCACGTCTACCATAAGTATCCATTCTACTGATTTTAATGTATTGTTGACTATTGGAATAAAAATGATAATTGTTGAACGAATTTAAATAACTGACTATATTTTTATTAAAATATTTAATTAAGGGTTGCTCGAAGACACCTCTAAAATAAAAGATTGTTTTACGGCGCCATTAAAATTTGGTGTCCTTAGCTTTCAAATTATGAGAGATATATAGTTGCATCGCTTATTCGTATATTGGTTTTAGGGGCAGAAGTAGATGTTAATTTTCTTTATAGATTCTTAAGGGAGTTATCGGTAATATACCTTCAAAATTTTGTGAATCCTGGTCAAAAACTGTCTAAGATATGGGCATTGCCGATTTTTATTTGTGGTAGATATGTGGTTCTATCGATATGCAAATTATCGATGTCATCGATCTACTATCCTCTTGTGGACGCACCATATCAAATTAAACACGTCTTATGAGGGCATAGACAAGTTTATATTCCAAATGTTCATTTGATACAGACGGACAGATAGCACAACTTTTCAACTTTTGAAATATTTTCTCAAATTTTAGTGTCTTTATCATAAGATAGTCTTGCCTGGTCAACTGTTGCTGCTTCTGGGACTGCTGGTGCTAACTGACCTACCCCGAAGGAATCCACTGACTCTTATATATTTCTGTGTGAGACTACGAGTCTCAAAGTAGAGGTGAGTCTCTCTTCTTGTCTGTATGACGATTTTATTTTTTTATGAAATAAATGTGCATTTCATCTTGACATATTTTTCACAATGTGTTAGCCAATGTTACGGCCTTCGGCGACTCCAGACTTGCCCCAAGTCTTTGGCCTGTTTTCCAAACTGAACCGTGACGAAGGCTGTCATTATGTGCCCTGTTTTGACCGATTGTTGTATCACTTAGAGTTATGCTCGATGCTTGTAAATATCTTTGGTGACATCATTTAATATTATTTGCTTTTTTCATAAAACAGTTGGAGAAAATTTTGGTATAGCTGCTGAACTAAGAATTGGAACAGCAATCAACACGAAAAAGCGCCAAAAAACGACCAAAAGTATGGCATAATACTTTGTGATATTGCAAGTAATGTTTTCGAGTTATTGAAAGTATATTTATAGGCCCTGTTATTATAGAAAATTTTTTACTTGTATATTGTTGAATGCAAAACCCTTGAAGTTTGATAGGTAATTTATACTTCCTTTTGATAATGTATTCCATTGATTATTAATGGCGACACGCTATCCACTAATCTTGAGGCCTGCAAAAAATTCACTTGATGTCTGTAACCAGAGTCTCCCCAGTTATCTATTAGCCAGTTCAAGTTCAATGTTGACCCCGCTAAAAGTAAACAGGTTTGTTTTATTATTGCAAATTTGTTTTGGTCTTGTGTTTGTTCAATTGTTTGACTGCAATTGTTTGAGTATGCTTGAAGGACACTTTGGCAAACATTTTTGCTATATAAAATGCCGCATCAGGTGCTCCAACAGCAACAGTCACTCGTCAGCTTCAATTCGAGTAGCAAATCTAAAACCAAACTTCCAAAAATGTTCCGTTTCGTAAGTATCCGGAGTTGGCAAGGAGAACTCCTAGAAGAAATCTTCTAATTTCTGATTCCATTCATAGATTGCCATCTGTGCCCTGGCTACTATTGCCGCCGCTGCGCCTGGTTTCGTTGAGCAGCATGTTGTCGCTGCACCCGTAGTTGCCAAGGTGGGTCATGTGGTGCACAGTGCTCCGGTTGCCACTTCCCATCAAAGCTTCACGCAGGTCCACAGCCATGCTGTCATCACACCTGTGATTAAGCATGTTGCTCCTGTGGTTACTCATGTGGCTCCCGTTGTGCCGGTTGTGAAGCATGTGGCTCCCGTTGTCCACCACCAGACCTATGTGGCTCCAGTTGTGCCCGTCGTCAAGCATGTGGCACCCGTTGTTCACCACCAGACCTATGTGGCACCAGCCGTATCCGTTGTGAAGACTCTGCCCCATACCGTGTCCCACCAGAGCCACACACAGGTGCACCACCAGAAGACCATCATCACCCCAGTGGTTGCTCCAGTGGTGCCAGTGGTGAAACATGTTGCCGTTGCCCCAATTTCCCACGTTTACCATCATTAGAAAGCTTGTTTATTGCTTTTAACGGATTGTTGACTATTTGAATAAATGATTATTGTTGATCGAATCTAAATAACTCATCATTTTATTATTGAATCTCTAAGGATATGGATTATTTTAACTAAAATAGCTCAAAGGAGATTTATATAATAGTTTCTCGCCAAATGAATTCCAGTTATCGATTTTTAAAGTATGTATTTAAATATTTTCTTGATTTTTTTTAGCATGCTTTAGTTTCTTAATTGACAATTTACTGATCTTTCGATACATATTCTGCTTAGTCAATTATTATAATTAACTACCTATTTAAATGAATATTCCATTTCACGTGTTTTAATCCGAGTTATTTCACCTTATTCCATTTATTAGTTTTCTGTTTATTTGCCATGCACTGCCATTGAATGTTTTTCCCAGAAATTCTATTTGTACCTCATTCAATTTATTATGTGCACATTTTTTGCCATGTTTTCTATTCATTACATCTCGAACACTGATAGCAAAAGGTGCAAAATGTAAATGATTGTATTTAATAGCCCTAGATACGCTTCTAGTTCTCATTTATGTAAATTTTCTGTCACATTTCTATTCATTCAATTTTATAAGCATTTTATAACAAATACCAGTAAAATGCTTACAAATATATATTAATATTTATTAATATTGTTGCAAGCAAACTGCTGTTGCTGCGGTGTTATAAGCTGCTTTGACATTAACGCTGCCTGCTTATGTATATAACTATAAATGCAGATATTGTTTGTTGAGTGCTTTCATTAATTTACCCATAGATTATTTGTAAAGGATTCGAATAGAAAGAAATTTCATATAACAAATAATTTGTATGTGTTTTATTCATTCGTATATGGCTCAAATATTCGCATTCAGCATTTTACTTGTGGTAGGCGGAGTAGGCAACTGGAGCGCTGACAAGAGTCTTGACCAAAGGAGCCGCGTGCACCACAGGCAACGAGTGCACAACTGGAGCAGCATGGACCACTGGGACAGAGTGCACCACTGGCGCAGCATGAACCACCGGGGCAGCAGCATAGGTGCTCACAATTGGAGCGGCATGTAGAACGGGAGCGGCATGAACAACGGGAGCGGCATGGACAACGGGAGCAGCAGCATAGGTGTGAACCACTGGAACCTTGCGCACCAGATTCACATTGCTCTGATGCGTGATGGCCGAGGATGCACTGGTGTCCACATAGGCGGTCTTCGTCAGCACAGCGGGCTGAACAATCGAGTGCGTGGCGGCCAAGAGTCCTGGAGCAGCGGAGGCAACAGCGACGCAGGCAAAGAAAGCGATCTGTAAGGATTCAGTTGTAGTTATTCAGTTTGTGATTTGTGGGTTGTTATTTGAGATTTGCTGCACTTACAAATTTGAACATTTTTGTTTGGGTTTTTGGTTGATTTGTGAGTCGATTGCAACTGCTGATGTTTGGGGCAATGATCGACTGCTTTTATACATAGCTGGACAGTTGTTAGTTGTCTTTTTTCAGGTTTGGTAATTTCAATTCTGGTTATTTGCTTGAACTTGAGCCGTTAACCGGTTTCTGGCTTCTAAGCCTTAACAAACTTCAATTGGTAAGTTCATTAACTGACCTAGGTCTGCCATTGTAAAGCTCTTTTGGCTGTGTGTGTGTGTTTGTGTGTGTGTGTAATAGGAAGCTAAGTACTTACTTATTTTGCTTTATCACTATTTTTGTTGCTGCTGTTGCGCACCCACTGCCAATCGATTCAATCAACAATCCGTAAGCCGTAATTGGCCTTAGCTGCGGATTTTGCTTACGTAGAATGTGAGTAGCTTGTGTGGGCGGTTCTGCGTTATCCTGTCATTTGCGTCCTTATCTTGGTTAGCAATGCCATCTTTGGTGGCATTTTGCATTCACTACATCTTGCTGCATTCACCTAATTAAGTTGCCATCCATCTTTCTATCTTTCTTTGCCCGTTGGCATTTTCCCTGCGTATCATATTGTCTCCTCTGAGTGGATACTGAGTGTGTGTGTGTGTGTGTGTGTTTGTGTCTGTGCAACATCCATGATTGAGTTATGTGACTTGTTGCTGATGTTGGCGCCCTTTAATCAATACGACATTCTTTAGGAAGAAGAGAAAAAAGATGCCCTTACTTTGAGATACTCAAAAGTCGGGCATTTTGCGCAATCATGTATGTGGGCCACATTTGGGTTGCAAGCACAATGAAACAAATGTGATGCAAGCATCAAAAAACATATATATTTTCTATAGCCAAAAGCAATTACACAACTAACGGATGACGGCTGTCTTGTGAAACAATTTTATAAGCCTTAATGAAAGAGCTGTAACGTATGTGCTATTAGAAATAAAAAAAAAACCCATCTGCGAGCCTTTGACGAGCCTTTTACGAAATCAATTGTAACCAGAGTTAATATTAAGCGGCAACATGTTATAGCAACAACAATGCGAGTATTAAATGTCATTAGGAATTTAATGAGAACAGTAATCGTCATAATAATGATTATAAGACAACAGAATTGGTACGATCCGATAGAGAAGTAAATTTTGTTTTTGTTTTTGGGCACAGTTATTCAATATTAAGAAATCGAGTTTCTTGTGTAAGCTTAGCAGTTTTAATCGTCTCATAAGCCTAACTGAAAGAACTGCAAAAAATATAGCATACAAAGCCATGCCCAACACAATACATGATTTGTCTAAGTGATAGAGTCATTAACACAACTTCACACACAAGGTTCCGGGTTAAGCTTTTTAAAGGTCACATCTACATATATACAAGCTAACTAATAATATTATTCGGGAACTCATAGAAACTGCTATGCAGCATGTTTAAGTCACTTTAGGTGAATAAAATGCTTCAACTTAAGCTGAAGAAATCCACTTTGAAACACCATGAATTTAGTTATCTTATCTACAACATGACCCAGTTATTTTTGTGGAACTGACCCAACTCATTAATTTCCAGAACACACCTGAATGATGTATGTGCACGCATTGCCTTTTATTCATAAAGAGGGGCGGGGAGGGGTGTTGCAGACACAGACAATACGTAATAAATTATACACATTGCAGTTGGAACTGCTGCATTCAAATTAAAGCTAAAATTGCAACATCAACAGCGGCTTCGAGTTGGACAAAGATCCAGTTGACGGGAGCATTGTTGTTGTTGTTGCTGTCTTTCAATTGTGATTCATGGCCAAAAGCAAATCAGTCCAGACCAGACGCCGCGTATGCTGTTGGTTGTTGGTTGTTGGTTATTGGTTGTAGGAGCCATTAAACCCTACCCAAGTGCAGCTGCCGCCGTTAAGTGCCTACTTAAGGGGCACTGTGTCTGAGGCAGGCCCTATGTCAAGGTTAAACCATGGCCCGGACGACAAGCCCCACGCGTACTTAACCCACTATTTATTTTTATATTTTTTTTTGTTGACAAGATCTGTATTTCTTATTTTGTATTTTTCTTTTTGTGTTTTGGCTTTTGACTGGCTGCGCGCCGTGACAGTTAAACGTACTTAAGATAAACATCTCTGAAGTAAAGTTTTCGAAAATGAAATACGCCGAATACTCTAAAAAATAAAATCGTCAATCTTCAGCGCTGCCTTTTATGGGTTGTAAATCCTAACTGCTGTTGTTTTAACTGTGGTTGAAGTTGTCTTCTGCTGCCTGCCTCGAGTTTGTGTGAAGGTTTTGATCAGGTTTCGCATACAGCTCAAGTAGCCACTAGAAGATGGGCTAAGTGGTTGGTCAGCCTTAGCAGGTGGTCATCCTGTGGCCTACATTTGTTCAGCGTACCCATTGAATGTGATAAGTATGTATGATTGTAGTTGATTCTATGTAATCTTGACATAAAGAATACTTGAAGCATGTTTTAATTTGTTGCTAATGTCTTTAACCCTTATTCACAGCGAATTTCTTTGACTGGCAACGAAACCTGTATGTTGACCATACAATTTGCCTAACTGTCACCTCTTAAGACCTTCAGTTAATCCAGCGCAACGAATTGACAAAATGGTTTTTATTGTCATCTAATAATTTGTCAACAATTTGCTCAATAATTTGGCACACACCAATCAATTTGTCAATTTTTCGCATTTGCTATATAAATGCGTCTTAGGCCTCAAAATGTTATGAGTTCTTACTGGAGTTCCCTAGCTGGCAATTCAAACTAAGACTAAATCCAATTCAACTGTCCAACACAATATGCATAGAGCGGTAAGATCCTATACAATATTACCTGTATACTTTTTAATGGAAGCTTAAATTTCTTTTCTTATTCAGTTGCTGTACTCCTTGGCGCTAGTTGGCTGGCTTGTGGCATATGCAACAACTGGAGAGTGTTTATCGTCGGTTCAGCTGGATGCACAAGCTGTGGTTAGCTCTTATAATGCAGTTTGCCCATTGGTTCAGCTAGCACACTGTAACAGCTGCCATCACAATGGCACTATGTTGGCCATATTACAAACTTGGCATGCGTCCCATTTAAGCCACATTTACGAGTCGTCAGTTAGCTTAAGTTGAAGAGTACTGTTAGCTCTGCATTGTTGTTGATTTTTGTTGGTTTTTTATTGTAATAATAAATGTTGAAGTTATTTAAAATTATATTGTTAACTTTATTATTATTAATTATTATTTTCTCATCATTAGTAGTAAATATTACTTTTGAGTTAGCTCCAGTTATCTCAATTGAAAAGGCATTTAAGAAGTTTTCTGCTTTTCCTAAATCTCTATTCAGCTCTTTGCTCCTTTCATAACTTAGACATTTTTTATAAAAGCAAATATTTAATCCTTATTCCAAATACTTCGCTTCCACTCAATTTATAAAATCAAAAATGTATAGTTCAATAATACTTTTATATTTTATTTGTATGTGTTAAACAAAATAAGTTAATTTCAATTCTAATGATGCAGAGAGTAGGCCAAAGGAGCAGCATGGACAGCATGAACAACTGGAGCAGCGTGGACAGCATGGACAACTGGAGCAGCATGGACAGCATGGACAACTGGAGCATGGTGGAGGACAGGAGCAGCATGGACAGCAACGGCAGGTGCGGCATGAATGGTTGTCTTCAGAACGGGAGCGACGACATGCTGGATGACTGGTTTACTGTGCACCTGGGTGATGCTCTGGTGGGAGACAGCCGAGGGTGCACTGTGCACAACGGTGCCCACTTTGGCCAGAACGGGCTCATGAATCACAGAATGGGTCTCAATCAGACCAGCGCTGGCGGAGGCAAACAGCAGAGCAACAATAGCGACCTGTTGTATAGATAAAGGATAATTAATATCATGAGAGAATTATGCTCAAAGTTAACTTACGAATTTGAACATGTTGAGATTGATTTTGTTGTTTTGCGTAGAAGCTGACGTTGTTAACTGATGCTGTTGGATTCTGCGCGAAATGCTTTTATAGCAGCTGGCTGGTCTGAGGGTTCAATGTAGGCGATATCAGGTCGTCCACCTTGAATCAGACTTTGATAAGACGGCAGCAGCAGCCGCGCCTGCGTTTTATGTTTTTGATTGAGTTTGCGTCGAGAGCTGCAGTAGTCGGAAATAATGGCAGACATCACGATTGAATTCAAACAAGTTGACTTCGGGCCTGAACTTCGGTTTGCTTTGGTTTGGGGTTATGCTGAGTCGTCGTGAAGGTTATTATTTTGTTTTTTCTGGTTGTTGGTCATTTTTGTGTGTCTTTGATAACTTCCCCATTTTCTGTTTCTGGCTGTCCACGTTGCTCGTTCTATATAAACCCAACTGCAGACTTACAAAACATCATCAGTCTTCGACTCGAGTCCAACTTGCAAACACAAAATCAAAATGTTCAAATTCGTAAGTTAAAATTGAGCTAAGGAAATATCTCTGGGCATCTATTTAATATCCTTCTACTACATTTACTACAGGTCGCTGTTATTGCTCTGCTCATTGCCTCCGCCAGCGCTGGTCTGATTGAGACCCATTCTGTGGTCCATGAACCTGTTCTGGCTAAGGTGGGCACCGTTGTCCACAGTGTACCCTCGGCTGTCTCCCACCAGAGCATCACCCAGGTGCACAGTAAACCAGTCATCCAGCATGTCGTCGCTCCCGTTCTGAAGACAACCATTCATGCCGCACCTGCCGTTGCTGTCCATGCTGCTCCTGTCCTCCACCATGCTCCAGTTGTCCATGCTGTCCATGCTGCACCAGTTGTTCATGCTGTCCACGCTGCTCCTTTGGCCTACTCTCTGCACCATTAAGTTGAGATTTGGATATTGGCAATTGATTGTGATAAGAAATTTATAATTTTTTTGTTTAAATAAACTTTTTTCGTTTCATTAAGAATTGTGTGTTTTGAAAGGCCATAACATTAAAGTTGTTCTCTTATACAAAGGTCTTATACGCATTCACTTGAAAAATTAAAGCATACTTTCAGGCATGCAGTAAAAAGTCGTTAATTTCGCTCGCTATAGGAATTATTCTGTAATGGGTATTTTATTGCATACAATTATTTGAATAATCTACAATTTTTTTTTGAGTATTTTTTTGTGGTTGTTGCTGTTCTTTCAATAAACAGGGCACGTGAAATTTCAGCAGGGTGAATACAATGTCAAGAGGGATTAAGCGGTTGGCGGCATTTGAGTGTGAGTGTGTGTGTATTTGTGTTGATGCTGCAAATTGTTGGTCAACTATTACCACACGCTCTTGACAATCACAGGCGAGGGATGCAGCTGACTGACGGACACGTGAGAAACAGCGCCAGGCACAACATGCACAACACCTGGGGCAATGATAGGTCCTGCAACTGCTGGACCCCAGAGGGCAGGTCCGACAACGCTGGGTCCCCACAGGCTAGGAGAGGGCGCCGGAGCAGGTACGGGAGCTGGTGCCGGAGCGGGTGCAGCAGCCACCAGGCAGAACAGAGCAACGAATACGCACTGGATGTGGACGGATTGGATGCAATTAGATACGGCTTGTGATTTATTTAGAACGAGTAACTTATTAACTTACCAGCTTGAACATTTTGTTGTGTTGATAGTTGGCAACGATTTGACATAAAAATGCATTCAACACTTGCCTATTTATACAAAATCAGTCGCAATGATTGCAGTGCATCAGCCGAGTGCATATTTGTTGCGCCTGTGCCTGTGTGTGTCAACGCCTCTGCGCTCTACAACCCCATTTGGCCTGGCAACAAACACAAAACAACACACCACAACTCACACATACTATATACAAGAGGCACACGCGATACTTGATGCATTCGTTGACTTAGAAAACCCTTCCGGGGCCAGGTTCTCGTTCTCAACTTACATGCACTCAAAAAAAATATCAGGATACAAAGAACTTGCTCAGTGAAATACTATTTCAACTTAGCATGAAATCTTTTATATACTATATATACAACATAATTACTAAATCTGATTATTCGGAGGCTCTAACTATGACTTCCAGGCTTCATAAGAATCTAATGGAATTATTTATTTTATACTGGCATGCTGAATATTTGTTGGCTCAGAATGAAAGCACTTTTTCTCAGTGTACGTTCCAGTTCTGAACGGCCAGTTGTGCTTGACTACTCGCATTGATACGTTAAGACGTCAACAGCGTTAACAGGTTATGGACATGCCTATAACCTATAATGCTCGAGTTCGATCCCACTCGTGCAACGCGGCGTATGCTTGACATTGTGTTGCATGCGTTCCGCACCTCAGTTCAACGCTGTGCAGCTGACCATAGGAAAGCAAATCAACAGATAAACGATACAACACCAAAGTGCTCCACTCTTAATTATATGGCTAAAGAAAGACTTTGTGTGTAGATGTGTGTGTGAGTGTGTGTGTGTTTGTTGTCTGCTCTTTGCACTTTTGGCTTGCATAAATTAAACTAAAGCTGTTGGCAATGCTTGATTAATGTGGACAGTTTTGTTAGCCAATTGTTTTGAGATTGTCTTGTGTAATATTCAAACAGTTGCACATCATCCAATTCGCTTTCCTACAGAAGCTTCAAAAGCGTCATAGTCACAGTTGGAAATAATGAAGCAATCCAAAAGGGAGCAATTATAAAAGTAGTGCTGTATTTCATATCAAATTTTATATTATAATTTTATTAATAACGCATTTAACACAAATGATTACTCTCCCGGTTGACATTCTTAGTAGCGTTAAAATAGTTACTTTTGACTTAATGCAATATATCAACTTATGTATAGATAACTACTTATTATATACACGTGTTGACCTGGAGGCAACAAAAAACATATTTCAATAATAAAAAGAGGTCACCGAACAATAAAGAACATATATAATATAAATATTAACATATATTAATAATAAAATTAAACTTTCTTTTATATTTTTGGGCCTTAGTTTCATCTCCACAGCTCTTCAAGTATCTGAGATGGCAGCTTTCAGATTTGATTGGATGAGGCTCTTCAATAATATATGTAAGTACTCCACTCGACTGCAACTTAATTCCATTTAAATAGGGTATTTAAGTTCAAATCCGATGCCTTTGTTTTGATTCTTTCCCTTGACTGCGCGTTTGTTCCTTTCACAAACTTTTTTGTGGTCAGTAAACAATTCTGGTTTGAGTTCTACATTTGATTCGATTTTAATTGGCTAAGCATGGAAATAATAAGCGGATTAATGCTTAGAGCTAAGCGCTTAAGCAGCAGTTATTCCCACACTAGAGAAAATACTTAGAGCTTCATTAAGTCATATTAACTAATTGGAGAGTAATTTGACTAAACAGTAATGGTTTACTTGGACTTATGGGGCGGACAGGTTGCCATTAGATGAATATAAAAATACTTCATTACTTGTAGTTGCTCGCATTTGGCTCTGAATAATGGCCATGCGATTTGCATACAATTTGTGCTGCTTATGCAAACAGTTGTGTAAATTTCAAAAGAGATTTGAACTTGATTTTGTGCATAAAGGAGAGAGCATCAACACAACAAATTGGTCAGTGTTTCGTAAGGTAAATGAAAAGTCTTAATCTCTGACTTTTCCAAGAACGACATCTACACATAACTATCTATATTTATGCATACATGTGTGGGAGTGTGTATCTTTCCATCTTTAGCACCATTTGTGGCACTCTGCACTCGTTTTGCTAATGTATCTCATTTGCATAACACAGAAAATGCATTTGTTGCCACACACACTCACTCATATTTGCACACACACACATACTCAGAGTCGCACATACATGTAGCTGACACGTTGCCTGCACGTGTGTCTGCAACGCTTTCATAAGTATGGGAAGCAATCCAATAAACGAACCAACTCCAACACCAACCACCTATTCAGTTTATGCTGTCTGCCACTGGTGTCGTATGATACCAAGTTGATTACATGCTAATTATGTCACCTGCCTGGTCGCTTAGGCTTTGGCAAAGTTACAGCTTCCCACAGTTGACAGAGATGAGCGCATGTCGTGTTTGTGGAGGTGCTTCAAAATGTCTTTTGTACATTTAGAGCATGTCATACTAAAAGAGCGAGTTAATATTCTGTAGTTTTATTTTGGAGTACCAAAATACTTTATTAATCTATTCTCATATTCTTATATTCTCTATAAACTTATGCTTTACATTTGTATTATTTTGAAAAATAATAGAAGAAGCGCTCATCTCTAATTTGCACGCAGCGCATCCATTGCAGTTGCTGGAATTAGCGCCAGCCTAGGGAAATGAGTTATAGGCTGAAATGAAATCGGTTCAATTGTTGCTTTTTGCCAAGGCAACAAGAAAGAATGCTCCATTCGCGACAACTGGACTAGGAGATACCCTGCATTCAAGTAGTTGCCGATTACAAGGCGAACACGTCTTTCAAATCAACGCTTTAAAAACTGTGTTTCTGTTTATCAAAGTTATGCCGAGATATATGTCCTTCGAAATAAGAAGGATATATCTTAATTACTGTGACCTGTATGCTATCGGATTTTAATAATATTTGCGAAACGGCTGTAGTTTTCGATAATAGACTTGATCTTGATATATGAGCACTTTTCTAGCTCTTACAGTCTCTGAGATTAGGTTCTGTTACATACTTATGAACGACTTCATGATACCCTCTATTGTCTTTCTCAATGGGTCCAGGGTATAAGCTGAAGATAGGAAAAAGTGTGACAATATATAGGTAATCATTTAATTGTACTGCTGACTGCTGTTTTGACGTCATTGCCGTCAGATTGCCGTCCACGCTCGGCGTATCGATTACTTGGCGGATACGTAATTAAATGCGCCATTCATTTTATGCTATCAATTCAAATTGAGAGAGAAAAAGAAAGTAACACAAATATAAAAATATAATATTTATTTAATTCTTATATACATTTTTTCATAAAGATTTTAAAATAGCTGGACATCAATTTGTACACACATACATACACAGCAAGTCAGCAGGCAATCGTAAGATGAGGGGGGTGAGTGGATTAGGTGGTGAAGAATACATTCAGGTTGAGTCAGTGGTTTGCCTTAGTGCAGATGAAAATCATGATGATGATAGTGGAAGGGGTCATATGGATGATAGGCTTTGATAATGGGTGCCGCATGATAGCTAATTGGTGGATGCACCACAGTCTTCACGACAGTGGGCAGCACCACTGGCTTAATTATGTGATGCGGCACGGTGTGCACCACCGTTGAACTCTGATGCGAAACGGCAGCAGGTAAATGCACTATTTTGGCTACATGCAGCGGCTCCACGTGGTGGTGGTGTGGATATAGTGGATACTCAGGATAGTGGTGGTGGTGGCCATGCAGGTAGCCAGGACGTGCAGCGGCCAAAGCGCACAGCGAGAGCGTTACCAACTAGAAGGGAAAGTGGTTGAAAGGGGTTCTTTTTTTGCGATTACCCTGTCTGTTTACCAGCTTCAGCATTCTTGCGGCAGTAAGTAATCCTTGTGAGTGGTTGAGTGTGTGTGTGGTGCGCGATGACTTGCAGCGTGCAACTGATGCCATCATAATACCATGCAGTGGCTTTTATACCTTTGTCGTCGTGCATCAGTTGCCACTGGTTGCTGCCCCCAGCCGCAGCAGCTGCCGCTCCACAACAACAGCTGCAGATGCTCTCATTGTTTGTCGCGATTTTCCACTCCACCACCATTACCGTACCACCACTACCATCGTCATCACCACCAACGTCGCGACACCGCCGGCAAAGTGCCACCTTGCCATATCCGCGCTGCCGGCGTTAACAACGCTGCCACGCTGCATCCGCAGTCGCTGTTGCAGTTCCAGTTGCCGTTGTAGCTGCAGCAGACGCTGTAATTGTTTCGCGTTTGATTATTGCTTGACTTACACTAGCCTACAAATCAAAGATTTTATGCCTTGACTGATTTCTAACAATGCAAGATTGATAAGAATAACATTGCATATATTTTGTATATATGAACCACTTTTTCAAATCGGTAAGATTTCTCAAGCTGAAAGATTACCGGCAATTATTTCCCATTATAATTATACTATCTTTATTTTATAAATCATCAATCTTCTAGTTTACTTCTCTTTAATATCATATATTTTATATTGGTTTTTTGGTTTAAAATGCAGTATCTTAGTTTTTCAAACTCAATAATCTACCATAAATGATGCCCAACTCAGCAATGAGAATTCTCAACTTAACTGTACTTAAATACACAAACAAATTTTATATTCTACTCCATATTATTATATATTTGTAATCTTTGTGTTATTTAGTGTTATATTTGGCCACTTATGTTCTTAACAAGTGAACTTTCTGATCCATTGGTCACCGCGGTTTAACCTATGCAAACATGGTCTTGTCCTTAGCTGACGGTTTATTTTGTCTATTTAATCAAAGTGAACTATGACCAACACCTCAACTATGTCTCAATCAAGCCCATCTTAAGGTAATTTTTTTATTTGGCATCTTTACAGTGATTGTCTTTATTTGTGTTGCTATCGTTGCTGTGCAACTGTTGCCATTGGTAATTGCCAGTAGTTTTAGTCATGTCTTTGCCTCTGCCTCTGTATCTGAATCTCTTCTTTATACTCGGCAATTTGTGCCTTTAGTTCATCGTATACAGTTACTAATGGCAGCAACTGTTTGCTGCTGCTGTTGTTGGTTGCTTGCAACACATGAGTGCCAGCATAATTTATGCCAGTGTTACATTTGCCTGCAACGACCTTGACCAGCCAGCCAAAAATTGTTGTTGGTTTTGCAGTTTTGTGAATAGTTTTTTTTTCTTTTTTTTCGATGGCTTTTGGCAGTTGCAACGGAAATTCACACTCGCCAATTTAATTGTGCTGCCGTGGAAATTAGTTGCAACTCTTGTTATCTTAATGACTGCAGGCTGAGAATTGTCTACGATATGTGAAAAATGTTGCAAATGCCACTGCTGGCCACTTCTTGTAATCTGTAAGCCCCTAAACGAGCTATCGTTAAGTTTTTGTTTAGTATTATAGTAAGTGCATTTATCGATGATATTTATGGCAAGAAACTGGAGCTACACTGACTGCTAAAAGTTCATGAACAGCAGTGCGACGACATTCAAGGTGTTCAGCTGGAACTGGAAGCTCATTAGAATGTCGCCGCAACTGACATGCGACAAGTGCAGCCGACTCGACTCGAAATGTCAATTGGAGCGACTCCAAACGAGCGAGCTACTTCAGATAAATCAGCCAGCAATTGAATATAAAAATATTTGCACAACAATTCGTTTTAGGTATTCGCCTGTTTGCCTGTTTGGCAATCTCTAATCCCTGGTCAATTGGCCTGACCAGAAAGTAACACACCCGAAATCTGTAATAAATGCATTGGCTGTTTTCTTATCTCTACCAGGAAGCAATGCATCTAAAGCTCTCTCTCTCTCTCTAAACGAATAATGGAGTGGCTTTGTTGCATACAAGTTGGCTAAAAAAAATATGTTGCAAGAGGCATTCAATGTAGTTCATTGGGTTAGTTGTGCAGTTTATATTGGCGCCTGCCTTAAGCACTCTGCCAACTGACCAAAGACCAAAGACCAATTTCAATGTTATTGCAATGAACACTTTGCTCGCATCCGTTGACCAGCTACAAAAATGTCATTGCCTCATTTGATGGACACATTTGACCTTAACAACAAGAACAGAAGCAGCAGCAACAACAGCAACAAGAATTACAAAAAAGTCTTTGCCAATTTGCCACCTGCTGTTGGCTTCCACTGAGATTAAGTATACGCAGCGGTGTCCAGCTATGCGCTGGGTGCTAATGCAATTACATATCGAAACAGAACTCAAAAAATGCAATCATTTCTTAAAGCTGTAAAAACGGACACCCCACACACAAAACTGAACCAAAATGCACAGCTGCTAAGAAAAAACCTCAAATCACATTTTTTGTTTGTTGTTTGCGCAATTTCCAAACTCTTTTGCAAAAGTTTTGGCCAAATCGCACCAGGCGCCGGCTGACTGAGTGCCCAAATAACTCACTAACCGACTGTTTGGCTGCTCGACTGTCCGACTGACTGACACCTGAGTGAACTATGTCAGCCGACGACCAGGACAGCTCCCATTTGTTTTTTTGTGGGGCGGCTGTTTTCATGTTCGAACAAGTACTGGGGGCCAAGCCCCGAACAATGCTGAAATTTAATAGATTTGCATGAGAGCGCTAAAATCGGTTTAGACTTAACTACAATGCATATGTTTATGACAGATAAAAACAGTAAGATATGTAGTTATAGATAGTTACGTAGATGCTGGACTATACAGGGAGTGTTTCTTAATCACACCAACTCGTTAGCTCTCTTATTACAAATAAATGCCCTTAAAACTTAATAGGCAGGGTGTCTTTGATCTCTCATATTATTCTCTCATTTTGAAATACAACAATCAATTCCATTCATAATAATTTGTATATAAAAACCCAATCAAATACAATTTAACACTTATTTATTTATATCAATTTTATGAACAGGATAGTTTCCGTATGATTGGATTAATTTGCTATATTTAGCTGATTTCCGTATTCTTGCGTTGTCTAGCAAACTTCTGATTTGCGGCAATTCTCACAAACGCCAGCGACCTTCGAAGCAATTAAGTGTGGCAGAAAAAAAGATAAACAAGGCAAAGTAGAAAAACGGTGACCATTTCGAGTTGATTTTGAAATTATCAAAGGTGGCGCAGACAGACGCCGGAGTGTACTGAGAGCAGGGTTTTTAACTCTTGTAATTGCTCCATTTGATATTAATTAAAAGCAAAATTAAGTTGGTGAACAGCCGGGGCTACCTATTCAACTGGTTACTTAAACGATCCGAGAGATTAAACGATCCACAGCCAACTTTGCATTGTTTGTGTGTTGTGTTTAGTCATTATTATGCAAGCGAGCTAACGAGAACTGTCACAAGACTGTGCCAAACCCGATCCCGAACCCGGTTCCCCAGTTTCAGACTTAGACTCAGAGTCAGAGTCAGTGTGTATATGTGGGTTGGCCATAAGCCGTACATTACCCTCCAGTTTGCGAACAGAGCCCGCCCGGATATCGGCGCATAGGAATTTCGTTGAGAAACCTGAACAACAATTGTCGTGAGTTTGCCTGGCGCTCACCAAAACAGAGTACGAAAAATCTATTAAAAAGCACTTTGAAATGGCCAAAAGAATTTTGTTATGAACCACGTTTCGGGCAGGGGCAGAGAGCGCAATGTTAACTATGATTATGTATCTGAATTATATGTCGCCAGTTTTGCAAATATTCATTAATCATGCTCAGCAACAACAAAAAAAAAATGTATATATAGATTGTAGCTGACAAATGGTCATAACGGTGACAGCAGCTCACAGATTGTAGAATTGTGTTGTGTGCGGCAACAATTGTTGCCAGCCAACAGTTGCTGTTGTGACTTATTACAAAAGCGGAACTTGTTGCCTGTCTGGAGACAGACAATCACAGAGCGACTGTGAGATAGAGACAGATAATATATATATAGAGAGAGGGAGAGGCAGACAATTGCATGTTCTATGTGGGCAGACATTGTCTTTCTTTTGCAGAGATTAGCATAACAGGAAATTACAATATGCTTACAGTAATGTCAATCAGTTCTTTTGCATTCATTCGCTTGCGGCGGTTATTATGAAATGTAACAAAACGTGGAACGTGTGGACCGTTTCGAGGAAGATTGTTTTGATCAAATTACGTCTACGGTTGTTAATTAATTCCATTTATTTGCGGAAATCATATATCACTACGGTTTCTTTGGAGATGTGCTTATCAATTAGTTATAGATACCTTATCTTTCCTGGTCGTACATACCTATATACTGTTACTCAATAGTACAGTTTTATATTTTGCTAAAGATCAGATTATTACATTTATCTTACATCTTTTAAATATACATTGTATCTTTCATATATTCACCAGGGTATCTCGAGAACAACTTTTTCTTTTTGGATTTTCCGTTACTTAGACTTTGAGGTTCTACGTGATCAGCTAACCCAGCCAACAAGATGCCTTTCCTGAAAGTTAATTAGTTATCTTTACTTTGATAAACATCGAATCGCAAGAAACAAGCAAAGCAATTTTGACAGTGACCATCGTCACGCATTGAACTTGAGCCACTTCTGGTGTGGTTGTTGTTGCTGTTGTTGCCGGTGCTGTTGGCAGTGACAATTGCGTAGTGGTTGCCAGTGGTTGCCGTTGGCTGCTGGCTGGTGGTGCGTGTGTGCGAAACACGAATTACATTTTCACGGTCAACTTTTGCGTTGCGGAAAAAATGACAGCAAGACCAGACGCCACTTATTTGTGGACGTTGTGCTGTTGCTGCTGTTGTTGTTGGGTGTGTTGCAAGTGGCAGACACTGGTCAACTGTCCAACTGACTAGCCAACTGGCGGCCAAGTGGCCAAGTGCCCAACTGGCCAACTGTCTGTGTCCGATGGGGGCAATCGGCTGGCTGTTGACTGGTTTTATTTTTTAATGGGCGGAAAAACTGTAAACGAAAGTGTTGTTATTTTTGTTGTCGGTGGCTGCTGGTTGTCGTTGTTGTCGCTGCTGTTGAATCAGCTGCTGCTGCTGCTGCACCACTCGGACAATCGGGTGGGTCGCCGTCGGCTTTAGTTTTTCAGGCTTCTCTTAACGATGGCTGTGCAAAAATGTTATTATTATTGTATTTTGTGCACTTTTGCCTCAGTTTTTGGATTTTGAATTTGAATCGTGTGTGTGGTTGTGTATCTCTATTTGTCCGGCCGTCTGTCCGTCTGGGCAGCTTTTTGTGTGTATAAAAGCTGGCGCAGATTAACAGCTAGCAACAGTCAACAGCGACGCGTCAACACAGACCCAGGTTCATTTCTAATAGCTCCAGTTCCCAAGTAACTACCAGGATTAGCAAAATGTTCAAGTTGGTAAGTCAATCCAATGAAATTACTCTCTTCCAGTTACTCCAATTGCAATTTCAATTCCAGGTGGTGTTGTCTGCTCTGCTCGCTGTGGCCGCTGCTCGACCGGGATACTTGGAGGCAGGTCCTCTGCTGCACAGCTATGCTGCTCCTGCGATCATCCATGAGCCTGCTCTGGCCCATGTAGGTTCCATTGTGAAGAGCATTCCTACGGCTGTGTCGCATCAGAGCATCAGCCAGGTGCACAGCTCGGCGCACATTGTGCAACCCATTGTGGCACCTGTGATCAAGAGTTATGCTGCGCCCATCATCAAGACCTATGCTGCTCCAGCTCTGCACACCAGCATTGTGGCGCCTTCATGGGCTTCCCATGGCTGGTCTTCCTGGTAGACGCTTCGAAATCTTTGCCTTGTGACCACTGGATGGCGTGGAGCCAAAGGAACTTCCCGTTATCTTTTTTCTACATATTGTTCTCTATTTTCTAATTTTTTTACTGATGTATATAAAAGTCTATAATTTCATAACCCAACCTTTTGTAATATTTATTGCAAGTGTTGAATTTTAACTGGTAGCTTTTTACAACTACTTGAAATTAGTTAACAATTGCAAATGTTAAACAAAGGGGTAAAAATGTCGAGTAATGTTTGGTCATTATAACATTGCAGTGGTCTTTGCTCAACTACTTTTTAAACAAAAAGTCGGCGAATACTTATATCTATGCTAAGCGGAGAAACGATCAAAGTCTTAACTTACAACAGTCTTTAGATCAGCCCTATAACTATAAATATTATACCAACCTGGAGGCAACGATCAATGTACCAAAGTGCATTTTTGTAACATTTGTGTAATAAAGAGCAGAGTAAAAACATATGAACAAGGAACTCAGATAGTTAAGCATATTGAGAAGATTTAGGCGATTTTGGGGAAGCGGCTTAAATCAAGCAAAAATACGATGTACACCACGTTTTGTAGTGTTCCAACACTTATACAACAAGAATAAATGCTTTAGTTGAGTTCCATATAGTGTTTAATGTTAAGCAGTTCAAAAATCGTGACCCATCCCTGATGATATTGCGAAACGAAACCTTTAACTCCCAAAGTATTCAAAGATTCGAGTTCCAAGCCAGAATATGTATATTCTTATTCCTCAGGTAAAGGACAGATCTACACAAAGGTTCGGTGATGAACAAAGTAATAATAGTCAGCGTACTCTTTTAAGACGAATCTTATAACTCGCGACGTTGCGCACGTAACTGAAAACCAAATTGAAACTGAAATTTTAATTTAAATTGTAACTGAAATTGAGATTGTAGCTTAAACTGAAACTGAAATTTTCGAAATCTTGCGACCAAACCTTGCGGCTGACCCTGAAAGAACACCAAACCGAAAGACGCACTCAAAGTGCAAGTAATGCAGTTAAGAGGAGGGCAACAGCAGCACCAGCTAATAAAGGGCCACGTCTGGGGCAGCTAATGGCCAAAAAGTTGCGGCTGGTCAATAAACTGGTTGTGGTTTCTTGGTTTGTCAACATTTCAATTGCTGTAGTTTTAAGTTGGAGCTGAAGTTGAGTCCGCCCCACCGACGCTAATGGCTTATTGAATACGGGCAGCGTTTGTGAGAATTGAATCTGATACGGTTTTTATTTTCATTTCGTGTATTGTGCGTATGTAGTGTAGTGAAGGTCGTTTTTTTTGTATTGTGGTTAACTACTATATAAACATCGGCTGCAGCTGGCATACCACAAACAGTTCTCGCTAGAAACTCAAGCGCACCACATCATCATCAGTCAATACAGACCACACTTTAAAAACAAAATAATCAAATATGTTCAAGTTGGTGGTATTGTCTGCTCTGCTCGCCGTAGCTGCTGCTCGTCCCGGTCATCTGTATGAATCGCCTGTGGTTTATACCGCTCCAGCCACCACCACCATTGTGCAGGAGCCGGTGCTCGCCAAGGTTGGCGCTGTCGTGAAGAGTGTGCCCACTTCTGTCTCCCATCAGAGCCAGTCGGTGGTGCACAGCTCCGCTCATATCGTTGAGGATGTTGTCGCTCCCGTCGTCAAGTCAACGCCAGTTGTCAGCTATGCAGCTGCCGCTCCAGTGGTGCACAGCACCTATGCCGCCGCTGCTCCAGTGGTGCACAGCACCTATGCCGCCGCTGCTCCAGTGGTGCACAGCACCTATGCTGCTGCTCCAGTGGTGCACAGCACCTATGCCGCCGCTGCACCACTTGTGCACAGCGCCTATGTTGCTGCTCCAGTCGCCCACATTGCTGCTTCGTCGCCGCTGACCTACACCGCCACAGGAGTGTGGTAAAAGGACCACTACACCACCCGCCAGATGACAGTGGGACGTTCATTTTGTTGGACGGTTTTTGCTCTGTTTTTGTGATACGAATTTGAATAAATGAAAATGTTTTGCTTTGAATATCGATTAACTGTTGTTATTTCCTTCTTGCAACGTGCTCTCGCTTATATATTTAAATGTACTTGGCTATAAGGTCTTTACACTGTCAGTCACTTAGTAACTTCTTGCCTGGCCCCTCGCTTACAGTGCCCGACCAATAACTATTCTGTAAACAAGAAAATGATAGTTTTTGGAATATCCTGCTATGTGATACCTGTACTAAAGATTTCTCAAGTTGTTTAAGCTTGAAGTATCCATAAAGTCTTAAGTCTGTTTGATATACTCAACAATGTCGTTTCTATAGTCGTTCAAAGCTATCAATATACTGAATTCTCTCTTATATTTCAAACATTTAGATATATTAAATTTTAAGTTGCTACTGAAAAACCTTCGTTAAAAATTCACGTCACAAATCACTCATCAAGTTCATGCAATCTCTGACTATATTATCTATGCATATTCATAATGAATACTAATACAGAAGATTTATTAACTGCTATATGTTTCCAAATACTAAATTACCATAAGACTTCAGCTCTTTGAGATTTTCGGATCTACAATACTCAGAAAAAAATTGACATGAATTTTAAAAATTCGTCATACTTTTGGCGTCAAACATTTCTCATTTCAGAAAGTAAATACCTAAAATAGAAGGTTGTGGCTTTCTGAAAACCAGGATGGTTTCCAGCTGTGTGTATTATGCTCAATTTTGTGGCGAACCTTTAGATTACCGGGTATACAGAATAAATAGTGATAGTTGCCCGCTGGTCGCAGTGCAGGTTCAAGGTCCAGAGGCTGTTGAACCTGCATCGCCAGCATTAAATAAACAAAACAGAAAGCGCATCGAATGTTTGTAACATCTGATAAGCCTTTATTAAATCCACTGAGTGACAACAGCCTTATGAGATACACGAATAGATTTATTTTAATTTCCGGAATTAACGCTTACAATGTAGACGACTCCCTGTTGGTGAGCTGCAAAAGGTTTACCACGCCAAAGGAGAGCGCCTCAACGGGAATGGCAATGATCTGGTAGGTTGTCTCAAACAGCATTTTGGCTGAATCGGGCATATAATTTCGCATTGAGTCGTAAACGTTACGTTTTAACACTGTATGCTCTGAGTTAGCATCCTGGTTGACTCCTCCAATGCTAGCTGCACCACTCGGTGGGTACAGCAGCACAATCATCAGCAACTGGACAAAGAAGGGAGTTCCTTACTGGCTTAGTCCGGGAGTATTCCTACTTTCATGCTCACCACATACGAAATGACAGTCTTCATATTATATCACTTTTCCTGCTTGAAATACAAACTCAACTATGGCTCAGAAAACAGCTTTTCACTGCCTTTTATATAACTCAATTCACATATGAAGGTGCATGGGATGCCATCTGCTTTTCCTATTATTCTATATATATATATATGTATGTATATTATGTGCTGTTTACACAGTTTGTAATTAAATGGCAATGTACTCAAAGCAATGCTTCGATTTTTGGTTAGCTAACCTCGTCCGGTTGACGGGCGACTAATGAGCGACGCTTTGAAAATGAAAATAAGAGTGGGTTGGGTTTTTTTCTTTTTGGTACAGCAAAATAAACTACTTAAATGCGTACCAGAAATTGGCCGCGAATAATAATCTGGTTTACGGTCGGCACACTGAGAAAAAGAGAGAGACAAGAATCCGTCCAGGCCAGGCACGTACGCGTGCTGATTGTATTCACTGTGCGTGTGTGTGTTACTGTGCGTGTGTGTGTTACTGTGTGTGTTTGAGAGTGCGCCTTAAAAGTGAAGTTCAAGTATAAAAGACAGCGACAGTTTAGCAGCGGGCACAGTCTATCCTACGACACAAGTCAAAGAACCACACACAGCTCCCTCAAAATGTTCAAATTGGTAAGTAGCCAAAAAATAAGAACGAAAATGGTTTCAGTGGTGCTAAAATCAATTGTAACTTTCAACACAGTTCGTTCTCGCTGCTCTGCTCGCCGTGGCTGCTGCCCGTCCTGGTCATTTGGCTGCCGCACCACTGGTCTACAGTGCACCCACAGCTTATGTACATGAGCCCGCCCTAGCCAAGGTTGGCGCTGTTGTGAAGAGTGTGCCCACTGCGGTCTCCCACCAGAGCCTTACCCAGGTGCACAGCACCCCAGTCGTTGAAGATGTGGTAGCACCTGTGGTGAAGACCACTCTGCATGCCGCTGCTCCTGTGACCACCTATGCCGCTGCTGCTCCCGTGACCACCTATGCTGCTGCTGCTCCCGTGACCACCTATGCGGCAGCTGCTCCAGTTGCCACATACTCAGCGGTTGCACCTGTGGCCACCTATTCGGCGCTGCCCGCTGCCTACACCACCTATGCAGCTGGCGGCCATCTGCCCTACTCTGCTTACTCTGCATACTCTGCACCACTACTGCACCACGCACCACTGACGTATGCAGCCCGCGCCTGGTAAAAGACTGCAAGAGAACGAAAGATTTTGATATTCACCGGTTGTTGACTTGTGTTGTGTTCCCACAAAAATAAAACAGACTCGAAATTTAAAATTCACCAAGCCAACTTATTTATTTAAAAGGACAACATTTTCGACAATCTTCACTTGAGATAGATGCTTGGGGAGTAGCTCAAGCCACCAGTCCAGCCAGGCTCATACCACTCGCTGCCGTAGTTGAGCGGACTGCTGGCATAGCTATAGGTGGTTGGGTGGTGGTATGACTTCAGCAGCGGTGTATGGTGGTGTTCGTAGATGGGACGCAAATATGGACGTTTCTCGTGCACCACAGTCGAACTCTGGTGGGAGATGGCCGTGGGCAAACCCAAATGCTCATAACCCAGCACAGTGGGTGCATATTCAATCGTCTCATATGCAGGCAAATAACTCGGACGTGAGTGGCTCGAAGCGACAAGAGCCAGAAACAAAACAAACAACTGCAAGGAAGAAATTTCGGTTAGTTGTGGTTATCCAATTGGTATCCATAGTTGCCGGCTGTCTCACAACTTTGAACATCTTTGATAAACTCTGGCAAACACTCTGCAAGGGCGGTAGTTGAGGAACTGTGACCCAAAGTGAAGAAGCGCCACAATTTTATAGCACGAGTTGAGGTAGTTTCTTTACGTTAGAATTGGCACAGACAATCGAGCCATTCAAGATTTTCCCAAGCTCGACGGCTCATTAGTAAACCATTTGGGCGTAACTGAGGCGGCTAAGTGGCTTCAGCCAAGGCAACCCAACTTGGCATAAAACCTTAAGCAAATCGCTCAGTTTGTTTGTTTTTATATTTCGCTAGCTCCTGTTTTGTAGATAGTTATCCACCCACACTCTGGGCTGTGTTCATAAATCAGAAATCACCCAACCCGGTTTGTGCTTGTGCTACTGATTCCACCCACTATTTACTATTACTTGCAGCCCAAACAAGGAATGTGCAATGCCCCACTTACCAGTTAACTAGTTAACCAGACAATGAAGTCAGCAAAATTCGCATTAGCATATAATGCCCACACATATGCGTAGTCGTATTTCCCTCTTCTAATATTCCACGCCACGCTGCCTTTTCCTGAATGCTATTTCTTGTCTGGCTCGCAAATTGTTCGCAGCTTGGTGCTATACTTCTCCATAGAGATGCACAACTTGATACGACTCACGAATCACGATTACAAATTGTATAAATGTTTATTGGTTAACAAAAAACAAGTGCTGCTGTAGAACCGTGATTATATATTAGCTGCTCAGATAAGAATTATTAATCAATAACATATACAATATATAACATATATTTATAAAAGATGTGCTATTGAAAACATTAACTGCGAAACAACTACTGATTTAAATATACTCTTTTTCATAAATAGTATTTATATATGTTTTCCTCAATTCATCGTGTCACGTGGAAAACACGACACGACACGCAGTCAGTACGAGTTCTTAACACATATGTCGCCAGCTTTACACGTTTTTTTCTTCTTTTTTTGTAGGCAGCTGAATTCCCAGCCCATTTCGTTTGACCTTTGGGCCTCTAATTCAATTAGATACACGCAAAAGCTGAAATCAAGACACCAAGAGCCATAACAACTCGCTGACAGCCACTCAACATAATAATTAGTGGAGTAGTTGTGGCCACTTGTACTATTGTATTCGTGTCTGTATCTGTATCTGTTTCTATTTCAGTTTCTGTCTCTGTAGACAAAGTCGACCACTTGGCCAACAAGCCAAACAATGCTAAGAAAACATCTTTGATTGCCATAAGCGGGGCTGAGCATAAAATCTCTTGGCTTTTCAACTGTGGGTGCATTCATTGGGGTGTAATTCAATTGGACATACTATTAAGAGACGTTTTCAACTTGACCCACTTGAATTTTTGGTACTTTATACTAAGACGATTTAGTTGGCATTCAAAATGTGTTTCTTTCTTTTTTTTTTTTTTTGCAATAAAATAAAATGCAGCAATATTTTAGACATCTTTTAGGTGCCAGATGAAATAAAGCTAGCCACAGAGCTTTTTTAAGCTAAGTTCAAGCTTCGGCTTGAATCTTAACCCTTGCCAGACCGCTTGGACAAAAAGTTAGATTTACTTTTCTGTTCAATTGCCGCTTTCTGCCAAATGAGTTAATTAAGCTGCAGTTGCCCAAAATAGGTGAAATCTATTATTAGGTCTGTGCTTTGGGTTTATTTGGACTGCATATCATCAGTAGTTGTTAACACTTATATGGTTATAGCTGGGGGAAAAGACTTGCAGTAATGTGTCAACAATTCTGCGGAAAGTCCAATTTTCAATCGTCATAGATCGGTGAATTCGCTTTGTACCATGACTCGTTGTCATTTGTGGCAAAAAGTTTTTATTGCTAATATATTAATAGTTGCTGATTTCTATTATGTGATTCCAATTAATGACTTATTAGTGCATTGCGCTCATTCAAGGTTAGCGGTAAGATCAAAGATAGTTTAATTCATTTATAAGTAAAATCATAAAAAATCGATACTTGAGCTATAATTTTTACGGTAACTTTCTTAATATGTACTATTTTTAATTTACAACAAATAATTTATACAAGAAGTTTAGCTTATGGGAGAGCCTTTGTCTCAGTATAATAGATCAAACCAGGTTGATATGCATAACGGATAATAGCAAATAAACATGATTATTTTTAAGACTTAGACGGCTTTTTAAATTAACATTTATCGATATTAACTTGAAATTAAAGTAGGTACAATATTCTCAGCAATCTAATCTACTTCTCAACTCGACTGCAAGTCGACTGATTAGTTGTGGGCAATGCACATTGATATGATGATGGATTGGTAGGCTGATTTACCACTTAAATAGTTTAATTAATAGGAATTGACAAGCAGCTGCCCGCTGGGACTGACCAGCAGACCGGGGAGCCAGGTGGCAGGTGCAGTCATACTGAACGCAACATGTGGCTTAATTAGCGTCGGCAGTTGGCCAAAAGTTTTGGGCCACAATCTATTGGAATTGTTGTTATTAGCTCTTTTTCACTGTTGTTCGCAAACATATTAGTTGGAAAATTGGTATATATTCAGCGGATATGTTTGTCTGCTTGTTGGACGGAGTCTTTGCCCATATCAGCTCGCATTAAAAATCACTCATACGCCTCGTAACAAGGCTTAGCTTTTTATTGAATAACAACTTACGATGTAAATGGAAATAAGTTTTCAAATATTTCTGGGTGTTTATCGGGCTTTATTAATTTTAATGGCTGAGTTCACTCAAACAGCGACGTTATTTGACTTTTTGCTCGACGCTTACCAAAACACCAGTTGGCCGACAATGTTTTTGTCTTAGCAACTTCCTCGATTACAGAAGTTTTCGAGTCGCTTTTGTTCAAACCGGATCCGGCGATTTCAGTGTTGGCCTGGCTCTGAATCAGCGTACAACACGAATTTAATGTGTAGTTTAGCCACAGCTATCATTAAGTCTAATTGACTTTTTATAGCCGTTTGTGTTCTTATTTCATATTTTCTTTTGTTTGCACGGCTGTTATTACAAATCATATACTTTACGAAAATGGTGGTAAAGAGTTTGGACTGGCGTATCTCCCCGACTAGTGGTATATAATATTGAACAAAAAGATTTTCCAATTTAAATGCAGTATTAATAAATGGGTCAAACCATTATTTTTTGAGAGAGGGAAGTTTTGACATACAGAAAAGCACTTTTTGAGGGTTTACTTCTTTTTTTTATGCCCTGGATTTTGAAAATCTGTTGAGTTTTGACAAAATTATGCGATTTTTTATTTCTTTCAGTGTATTTGGACAAGTAATTGACGGGGTCAAAGCAAGGGAAATCAAGTGAACCTCATCATATTCGAGTGCGGTATGTGTCTGCTTCGGGCACCTTCCACAGGTGTTCGACATCATAGTAATATTCTAATGATTATGTAGAGCAAAACAAAGACAGTTTCACGTTCAGGGTGAGTAATCCGGAGTCAATGATTTGCTCGATAATCGCCACGAATTCTCAGACAGACGCAATTAGAAGACAACAACGAAAAGTGAAAGTCAATCGTTCAAAAAGGGTGTTGGTGCTCAGGGGGAGATGGAGATGGAGAGTGATGGAGTTAACATGGGGCCCCCACTTGTTGAGTGAATTCAATTAATATGAAAATAATCGGGTAGCTAAACTCCGATCAACAAGAGCTTAGGACGTGTGGGACTTATAGAGCACATAAATCACATGACGGCGATGTGTGCATGAAAAATGCGCTCAAATCATTTGCATACAATTTGGTGGCAAGACAACAACAAACACAACCAAATCACCCGGGGTGTTTCCAATTTTAATTTACGCGCTTAACTAAGGGGCGTAACTTCTCTTGTTGTTGTTGTGGCTGCTGCACAAATTTGTTGAGTGCGTGTGTGTTGTTGAGATACATATTCAAGCTGCTGCGTAAACTACTTAATTATGATGCCAACTCCGCTATTTGCATTGAAACGGCAAACGCAACTCATTGAAGCTGTCAAATAGACTCAAGACTCAAATTTAATATGCATGACCACCAACAACAAAAACAACTGTCAGAACAGTAATAACTACGTGTCTTGTTGTCTGCGCAATGTCCTCAACCAAGTTGGCCAGCAAGTCACTTAAATGGCAACAAAACGTCCCAATTGCTATTGCAGATTGCAAATTGACGTACTTACACTCGTGGTCAAAGCCGAAGGTGACTCCAAGTCCGACACAGCTGCCGGACGGGCAGGAGGTCGCTTTTAATGTCATTAATAAAACGGCAAACGTTTATTTAATGCCCTCACTTTAGGCATCACAATATTGTGAGTGAAAAAGATATTACTGGATACATGATTATTACTTTTCTTAAATCTATTTGCAGTGATCAATTATATTCTCTTTACAAATGTGTAGGGCTGATGCAGCCAGAAGCTTATCGTCAGTGTTTCGATACTTCCATGTCTCAGCCAGGCGTTGTAAATGGCAGGTCGAATAAATGATAGCGTTTACTCATCTGATTTATTTGCTGTAATCAAGCAGGCTCATTACCAGACAGTTGCTGTGATTTTGGTGCCTACATAAAGCTAACCTACTCCATCTGACTGATATCAGAGCTTTTAATCTGGTAGAGTTCATTGAGTGATTTTGATCATAGTGAATATGTGAGTCTATATAGTTATGTATGAATTTAATTACGGATCAGCTAGTCAAGGTATAAAACAGAATTTCGGTTGACTTTCATTTATCAGTCATCGTCTTCATTTTAAGCATAAATAAGCATGTAATAAGATTTTACGAATGCTTTATGATCTTACTATGGAAACTATCGGAAATTAAATTGACCAAAATGAGTTGCATTGTCTGTTAGAGTATTTAAGCTTCTTCAATTTAAAGTTAACTTAACTAATGCTTTTTTTCCCCATTTTATGATGGCTAAAATGAGTGCTCTTCGCTTGGGTTGCTTGGTTTGCGTTCGAGTTTTGCGTTTGCCTTTGCTGTCGATTTGAAGGTATTCAGCAATTTCGTCTTGCCATTGTTACACATTTCAGTCGTAGTTATTATTATGGGTTGTTGTTGTCGTTGTTGTTATTGTCGCATGTAATGTGCACGACATTAGCTCAGCTGCCACAATGTAGCAGCGACGACCTTGACCGCGTCCACCATGTGGCATACTTAATTGGCGGACTCGATTGGCCGCGTCACCGTTGTGCACCGTACAATTATGCAAAACTCAACACTAATTAAATAAACTAAGTAAATAACTTTTTTCTTGCAGTAAATTACTTTACAATTGCACGCCAATTAAACAGTGCTTCTGCAGCCCTGCCAAAAGATTTGCAAATTTCTGTGCGAATTCCCAGCAATTTCGTATTGCACTTACTGCGAAAGCACAAACACACACATTAATCATAGTCTAGATATTAGAGGCGAAACACTCATAAATTGACGGCTTTTAATATTGAAGTCCATTTGATTTGTGTTGCAGTGTTGCAGTTGCAGTTAGATTTTGTAGCTTGTGGCATGCCGCCAATCATATTGACGTTGCCCAATACAATGCCAGCCGCAAAGCCATTAAAATGCAATTACAGACCACAGAGCGCACAGACCACAAAGAGGCCCAGCACCACAGCACCACCACGGCACACACTCAAAGTGGGTGGGTGGGTGCGACACATGCACGCAATGTGGTATCCTGTTTTATGTCAATCTCAGTCGATCAGTTCGATTTTTGTTGCGTGTTCCGCTTTAGCCATTTGCAATTCGATCAACTTGTTGTTGCTGTTATTGTCGCTGGTGGTGCGACACAGGCACAAATTGCTGTCTTGAGGTGTCCGGTGAAGGGTTGAGCTGCCGTCAATATGCAGATTTGGTCAATAACCAAAAAAAGAATTGTCCACCGCCTTGATGTTGTCTTATTTCTTTCTTACTTCAGATTGATTTATGCGCCATAAACTTTAAGTGCGCTTTGTGCGCAGAATCAAAACTCTCAGCAGCTGCCACTCAAGGCCCCTCTTAACAGCAGTAGCAGCAGCAGCAGCAGCAGCAGCAGCAACTATAACAAGAGGCCTACGCCCGATTATATAATCGCATTTATCGCGTATCGCAAACAAACAAATGGAATAATATTTATACTCTTTGCATTTGCATTGATTATGTTGCGCAGTCAGCTACTGATTCTGCCAGGTTTGTGACCAGATTGTGATGAGGCGTACCCCGTGAGAAGAGAGTAATGGTAGCAGCAGATCGGTGGTTGACGGGAAGGGGGGAGTGCAGTTTGGAGGAGGAGAGGGCAAGAAATTAAGAATGGCTATTAAGAAATCTGGCAGGCCATTTGAACGAGTGCTCCAATATGATTCAAGCATGGACTGCAATTTATTTATCACCTACCCTGGAAACATCAGTTTATTAAGAAAGGGTAGGTTGAAATTGAGTCAATGAATGTAAATGCTAAAAGTGGATTGGTTAGAGTCTAGAAAAGTATCGAATGTCTTAGTATCAATAGAACTATCCACGTCTGTCTGATTACATACATTTTATTATGCAACCACACTGAACTCTGAGTCTAATAAATTGGGGTAGAACCTTCAAAAATATTGAATACCTGAAACACTTTTGATATACAAGTATTACGTTTTACTATTACTAATTTTCTAGAATAAGATGCACTTTTTCTTGATCTTAAGATGTTATTCTTCTTGTTTAATAAGTTTAGGGATATATGGGAAAACTGCCTGTTTCGACTATAACTTAGGATATCTCTTTATTTATCATTCTCCGAGGATGCATTACGTATTTAGTTTTTCTAATTTATTTGCATTTGCGATGCGAATTGATTTTTGCTGGTTTGTTGCAAGTTACGCATACGCTGCTTACGCCAGCGTGGCAAGCGATAAGAAATCAGTTTACGAAAAATTAATGTACAAACTTGCAACAACAAAGTGGCAAGCAATGAATACAGTGACTGCCAGCTGCTGACTGTCCAATTGGCCACTCGCAATTTGTTGTCAGTTATTAACCAGTGCGATTTTTCAGGCACTATTTGTGCGTATTTAGACGGGATTCGTAGTAAATAAATTGGTCGCGTTTTTTTTTTATGTATTTTGCATGTCAATGGGGAGCTGTGAATGGATTTTCTACACCTACGGATATCGGTGTCGAGTGTGCGCTGTCAATCAGCTGTGAATACTGATTGATAACCATGTGCGTGTGTTTGGTTAACCCACCAATTTAGAAAGGAAGCTGTGGAAGCTGTGGAAGCTGCGAATACGCTCCATTGCACAATAGAGTATTTTACTGCCAGTTTGTTCTCCACACGAATTAATTGGTAGTGTTAGGTAAACCGCAGATTACAATAAACGCAATTAACCGCTAAGAGAAAAACCACAGCTTTGCAACAATGGTGGAAAACAACTTGCTTTTCACACAGGTGGGGTGTGGATTGGATTGCGTTGCCATTAGATTTCCGGCTGCAGTCGGAACAATTTTACAAATGCAAGTCACTTATGCTAAAGCCAGCGCCCAACTACTTAATTCAATTTGCTCATTTTGTGGATCAGCTCATGCAGCGCATGCAGCACAGAGTTTTCAGGTTTGCCTCGTGAAAAATCGCGGCAACAAGGCGGCGCGTGACTGATTTCTGTGGCACTGCATTAAAGATCGAATCGGCGATCGTATCTCTCTCAAAGTATATTCTCAACTACAAACTGCTGCCGACTGCCGACTAACGCCGAAGCTGAAGACAACTTCGGACAGGGCGTTCACGCTTTTGATTCGCTCAACTATTCGCACCACACGAGTGGTTGTTGCTGTTGTTGTTGTTGCTTGTCTTGGCATTGTCTATGTGCGGTTTTCAGAATATTTCTCGAGTTTTGATTTTCGGTATAAATATGCCAAGCGTCGCTGCTGTATAAACATAACACATTCAACTCTTCAGCCAAGAAGTAGCCACCAACACCACCACCAACAATCAAAATGTTCAAGCTGGTAAGGATATACACAGCAAAGACTCAGGCAACGAACTTCTCCAGCTAACCACTAAACTGTTATCCTTTTAGATCGCTATTCTGTCCGCCATGTGCGTCGTTGCCAACGCTGGTGTGATCGGTCCCTATAGCCATGGTTTGTCCAGTTATGGCCATGGTTATGGTCTGGGCTATGGAGCTGCTCTGGCACCCGCCTATGCTCCGGCTGTCATCTCGCATGCGCCGATCATCAAGAGCTATGCCGCGCCCATTGTCCATGCACCCATCGTGAAGACCATCCACCCGGTGGCCACATCCTATGCCAACACCTACAAGGTGGCGACCAAGGCTTATCCCGTCGTACATGCCGCACCCATCTATCATGCACCCGCTGTTGTGCATGCCGCACCAGCTCTGCACACCACCTCCACCTACCATGGCCATGGAGGCTATGGCGGCTATGGCAGCTATGGCGGCTATGGCGGCTACGGTCTGGGTTATTCCGGCTATGGACACGGTTATCTGCACTAAATGCGTTCGCCCACTCTCGAATCTCTTTTGACGACCCAAAGGACCACAACAACAACTACAACTATCTACAAATCGAATCGGATAATCCCGATACAGATGTCTTAGTACAATGTTCGACACTTTGCTGCTGTTCTAGTGCAGAACCTAATTCGTGTACATAAAAAACAAAAAACAAAACACATTTCATTTTCTATCATAAAAGCCTAAAAGTGAGAGACAGAGACGGAGATCATAATAGGGACACAGCCTGAGTGTGAAAGAGCAAGAGAGAACGATGGAGAGATCAAGTTAATGCTGTATGTAATTATTTTGTTTGTTATTATGCAATGCTCGTGGTTTCGATTTAAGTTAATAAAAAACGATTCAAAACTATAAACAATAGATCTGTTTTTATCTCAATACACTGGGAAAAGAGGGGGTTACTTACGCATGTCTATAACCAAGTAGAACTGTAAAAAGAAACCAAGCTTAATTAAATATAATTAAGAATTTTAAACAATTTAACAACAATTTAAGCTGCAAAAGAGCAGTAAACAAAGCTGCGAAATCGTAGTTTTTTTTAAGTCTTTAAGGGAAGGCAAACTTTTTGAGAAAAATTTAAAAGTTCAAAAAGTATTTAAAATGCAGTTAAGTAACAGTGTTATTTTTGATTCCTAAAGCAGACAGTTTAGAGCGCAAATTTGAGCAATAACTTCTTCTAAATAATGATGTTGACATCATTTTTACTAGTTGCACAAGTGTTTTAGTGGCAAGTTATTTTTTCTCACAGTGTTAGCGGCAAAGTGTTGAAATTTCCTTGAAAAAATGCATTACAAGTGCCAACGCCTTGCAATTATGCGAGACAAGTGTGGCGGGTTGGTGGGGCAAATGGCCAAGTGGTTGCAATGAAAGTGCGTCGAGTGGAGCAATAGAAATAATTATTTATTGAAGCCCGTCCGACATTAAGTCCGCCGGTGTCTGTTTGTCAGCCTGTTTTTAAGTCAAATGTATTTCTATTTTTTTTTCTTCATTCATTTCGCAATTGGGAGGAAAATGGGAGCAGATCAAAAGTCGTGCAAAACGCAAAATATGTCACTTAATTTGTATTGGCCAAGTTAGTGAGTGAGTCGCAGCTGGAAGTTGCACTTATTAAATTTTAGTAGAGTACACCAAAAACAAGTTGCTGTGAATGAAAACGAATGCGACACGACAAGACAAGACAAGCCAAGACACAATTCTCTGGGGGATTTGCTTAGTAGCGACTAAGTATAAATGATACTGTTATTGTTATTGTTAATGTTAATAGTATAATGGTATTGTGTGGTGGCACACAATGCCTGCATTGTTGGTGGTGCTGCGACCTTACCAGAATGTACAGTAATTGTTAGCCAGATACAAGATACAACAAACTGCAAGATACAATGCGCATTATCGGCATAAATTATGACCAATAATCATAAACTATAATTTGATTATTATTAAGTTTATGTTTATGTTCGTATTTGATAGGCAACGTTGACACCCGTCCGATAGTCTGATTCTTTGTATTTGTTGGCCACTCAAGCATCATAGCCAGTAAAGGCCACTACCACAATTTGGCAACGACCTTGGGTTCAGTTCAGTTCATTTGTAGTTGCAGTTGCTAGACGCAGAAAGCGGTGTGGCTGAGGGGAGTGCGGGAGAGCTAGTCAGATGTGGGCTGCTTCCTACTTTGCAATTTGCGCATTGAATATTCAACCAAGCGCAACATTGTCTCTGCCACAGTGCACTTTGCCGCTTGACGAAGTGTGGAGGGGCATGTAGAGGGTGGCAGACTGTGCTCTCATGGCACAGTTACCTCCCGTTGTTTTCCCACACTGCGAGGCCACGAGTTCGAAACACCTGCCCATGGAGTGAGTGCAAACTCAGTGCAAACCTCATTAGTTTATTGAGTGCACTCTGCGCTTTGAGTTAAGTTCATCAGCTTAAAAGTATTCTTTAAAAATCTAATTACTTATGTTTATCTTTGCAGGCAGCGTGCGTTGCATTTACATTTGCATGCCACAGACCACAGAGCTGGGCAAGAACCTTCAAAACCAGAACAAACAAGGCACACCAAGAATTTGCAGCTGATTGCAATCAGAGCCGGAAGGGAGCAGCACACATGCAATTAAAATGGCATTGAAATTTGTGTGTGTGTGTACAGAAATAGTGATGTCCATGAAATAACAAGCTGCCGGCTTAATTAGAAGGCATGGATGGGTCAGTCAACCCAATCTGTCCTCCTAGCTGATCCTGGCCGTTGGATATGAACGCGTCAAATTCGCTTCGCTTCGCTCGAGTGACCTTGAAGCGGGCACTGACTTCATTTCGCTGTTTATACCCTATATAGCCAATGCACAAAAGGTATGCTTAATATCTAGTCAGAATTCAATTTAAGTGTGACAAATGTGGGCGTTTTTTATCAGTTTGTTTGGTGCCCTATTTAATCAGATGCCTTGCACTTTAGCACATTTTTTTTTCTTCCTTTGTTTGGCTCAGGGTATATTTGCAATTGATGTCAACTTTGTTGACTTTTTGTTGATGGAAATGCATTAAGTGAACCACTCCCAAGTGCTGCAATTCACTTAGTAAAGGATTTGTTAATATTAAGCTTAACCACGCGATGTTGTTGTTGATGTTGCAACTGCGGGTTCAATGCCAGCAACACGCGCCGTATGATTAACATTTCTGCCTGACGGCGTAATGAACGAGAGTGGGAGAGAGGTAGACTGAGAGAGAGAGAGAGAGTAAGAGAGTGGGGAGGTGTTGAGCAACAGCCAAACTTCAAAAGGTAACAATGCGTGATTGGATTTTCCATTGACTGAGCAAGGCGCGTGCTTCAAGTGTGGCAAACAGAATCCTCCATGCGACGGATGAATGAGGGGGGAGCCTGGGAGAGTGAGAAAGTGGGAGGCACTTTTGCAGAACACGTGCGCCCAATTTAAAGCGCATTACGCGAGGGGCAACAAGTCTGTTTGGCATCTCGACTAAAGCTGCCTTTGCCAGCAGCACTTTGCTGCTCCTTGTTGTTGTCGTTGCTGTTGCCGCCTTGACTCAAGTGCCATGTGCCGCACTCGACAAAGTGAACCATTCTCACATTGTCTTCTCACAACAACGGTAAACATATCGATTTCTGATTGGTATATTTCGTTATGCTAATTTCCCCAAACTTGTCTGTGTGGTTGTTATTGTCGTGGCATCTTTCACTTGTCTTTTTTATTGATATTTATTTTGCACACTTTTCTTTTGGGATATGGAAACATGAACAAATTTAAACACAATTTTAGATTTTCGTTATGCTGTATTTATTGTTGCATTACGAGAAATACATTAAATTTCGCTTGGGTTTGAAGTTTTAGTTGTTAAGTTAATCAACAAATTTGTTTGTATTTGTTGTTGCTCAGTTTGCTCCAATTAAAAATTACATTTGTTGATCTTGGCTCATAACCAAATATATTCAGGACTATTATTTATTTAATATTTATGTGCAGAACACTTTTATGCGGCACATTCAACCTGCCAGCTCGATAACCATTGTGCATTATACTTTCGGGAAGGTTAATAAATGATTCATATGCAGTAATTTATTGTGGCATACTTCTGGGTAAAATTAGAAAATTTGCTTTAGCTTTAGCTAAAAAGAAGTTCAAAATAAACAAACTCTTCGTGTTCCAAAAACGCACAAATATTTTTTCTTTATCTGTATTCGTTGAACACTTTTGAGTGCCACGCTTTATTCATTTGTGGCAGTAAAAAGTATTGTCTGTTTTATGGCGCTGAGTTTCAAAGGTCTTTTGGGTGGGCAAACTGTGACATTTTTGGCATTTATGAGAAGTGGGAACAATCAATCACAGTAGTCTTTTATAAGGCATAAAACGTGAAACGTGCTTGCAATTCCTCATGACTGACAACGTCAGCCGTCAGGCTGGAACTGCAGCTGCCGAGACCCACTCTCACTCTCAATAGCAACTTCTAAGCCAACTTTATAGAGGGTCTTCAGGTAGCAGCCCTGATGGGATTGCGAAACGTGTCGCGTGCAGTTTGCTGCACGATTTGCTTGTCGATGGGACGTGGTTTGTTTGCCTTTGGGATGCGTGAAATGCTCCCGTAATGTGGAGTTTTAACACATTTCACATAATGCGTAATCGAATGCGAATGTATAAAAACCTGCAATGTTAACCAAATCAGTTTATTTCACGTGAAAGTCTTCGACAGCGCAAACGTATAATACTAAACTGATTTTGATCGTCTCTTAAAATGTTCAAAATTGTAAGTAATAGAGGCAGTAAGAAGTAAAATTAAAGGAGTCTTTTAGGAAACTGATTAATGGATTCGGTTGTTTAGTATTTAAAAAGTTTGATTACTACTGCATCCTTTTATTTCTCTTTCTCTGTCCTTGCAGCTTGTCCTGCTCTTAATCTCTGTGTGCTGTTGCTCTTGCTCTCACGCCAGTGGATTCTTTCATGGTTCATCTGCACCTGTTGCAGTTGAAACTGTTTACAGCGCACCACCTACGCTCAGCTATGCAGCTGCACCACCTGCATTCGTTAAGTATGCTGCACCACATCACATCAGCACCTACGCTGCTGCACGCGTTGCTCCCGTCATTAAGTATTCGCTGGGTGCACCAGTAACCACAACAACCACCACATATTCGGGTTTTGCTGCACCACCTCCAGTTGCTCATTATGCAGCACCATCACCAGTTGCACACTATGCTGCACCACCACCAGTTGCACACTATGCTGCATCCCCGCCAGTTGCACACTATGCTGCACCACCACCAGTTGCTCATTATGCTGTGCCGCCACCAGCTGCATTGTTCCCAAAATATGTGGCACCACACGCTTACAGCTACCAGCCTTCGTTTAATCGAGTGGCTTTCCATGCTGCACCACCGTCCGTTACCTATGAGGCACCAGTGGCGGTGCCGGAAGCCCTGCCCTGTGATACGGCCTGGTGAGCTACACACTACATATGACCATATATCATTCGTGGCCATTCATCTACTTATAGCTATAATCATCATGTTAATTTCAATGCTAATAGACAAGCGAATTGCGTAAATTAGCAATTAATTAAGAATGATTTAAAATTTGTCTGATTAAATATGTTTGATAACAAACATCTTCCGCGGAATTTATGCGCCATCGTAAAGAACGCAGGCGAGTTAATTATGCATCCGACGATTGTGCTTAAGATATACCACCAAGTGTGAGCAACCACAGCAATCACAAACGGCAACTCACAGATACAGTAAACGAATAAAAATATTTATAAAAAAGATATACACACAACTCAAAGCTAGCTGTTAATTCCATATGTGTATTCGATGGATTGATTGACGAAATGACCAACCTCAATGCGAAATCCATTGAAGCTGTCAGCGTTTAATCGAATCCACATTCATCAAATGGGTCAGCAGTCTGCATGAGCCAAAGCCAACGTTTTTATTAGCACAAATTATAACTGAATACATTTCATAGGAGGTCAGCTCGGCGAATCTTATTCGATTCGGAATTTTTTGCTGTTTTGTGTATTGTTTTGGGTTTGGCGCTTGACTTTTGGCTCTCAGCTCTCGGCTTTTGGCTCTTAGCTCTCGGCGTGCTGCCAACAATTTGTTGTTCAGACTCGAGTCGGGGTTGCCGTCTCAATTAAGTACCCAAATAGCATTAGCATAAGACTTATTATCCAGTCAGTGAGCTGTCCACAAAGTCGCTGCCTCTGCCACTGCAGCGTCGAATTACGTTATGGCTAACCGTCTCTGCCTCTGTCCTCTGCCTCTGTATTCGTACCGCAGCCGGTGTCACATGACTATCGATTTGTATTTAATAAACCCAAACTGCTCAAATGCTTAAATGTTCAAATGTTCAAATACTCAACATGCTTGCAAGGTGTCGACATTGTTGTAGTCGTTGTTTTTGCCACTTTGTTATTTATTTTTGTTTTGGCAGTTATAGCCAAATCAGGGGCGTGCATTGGGAGGGGACTGCCTTAGATCAGTCACACTTAATTCGCAATATAATCAATTAAAACAGGGGAGAATATGCAAATCATCTATAAACTGATCTTAGATAAATCGTACATTTTGTACAATAAATTTTTGTATTCAGCTATTAGTTTGATAATAAAAATTAATTAATTAGATTAATGAATAAACCAAAGCTGTTTAGCGTACGAGGTAAACATACCTGATTCTGTATGGCCTAGTATTTGAATATTTATATATATATTATTTATGTTATTTAAAAAATTCAAATGATTATGCAAACGTTTATAAATAAATAAATATAAATGAAATGCCCATCAGATCGGAACAATTAGTATTTTACATTAGCAGCTGCTTCCGAAAACTGTGACCCCCTTGGTCACGACCCTGACTGACTGACAAACTGACTGACCGTCTGTCTGGCTGTCTTGCTGTCTGCTTGAATAGCTCACTGCGGCCAGTTACATAGTTCGGATGCCAATCGGACTGGCCAAGATTGATTTATATGCAAGGCAAACCAAATATTATCAAAAGAGACGCTACTCAACACAACACATCTAAAGCTAAAGAAGCAATAACAGCAAATGGCAAAACAGCTCATGAAAAGAGCCAACAACTTAGCACAGATAAATAAACACAGTCACAAGATAACAACACAACTGAGCTGCAGTCGTCGCGACGACGACAACTGCTTCGAATTGAAGCAACATACAAAAAGTAAAAACAAAAAAGCAACAACTGTAAAACAGAAGCAGAATTAATAAGTTAAAGCATTTGGCTCAGCGTGCTAAGAGCCAATATTCCGTCAGAGAGTCAACAACGCAGCTGAAAGCCAAAAAAAAAAAAAACATTCCATGCCGCCAGCAGCGGCGACAAAGTCAGCTAACGCATTTTGATTTTTACCCTGTAAACCTGTAAAGATTTTGAAGGTGTCTTCAAATTATGCTAATTGCATATTTGATTAAAAATTAAATTTATTACCTGCTAACAGCAATCTATGCAACCATAACATTCATTTATATGGTTCATTATGATTTAAGTATCTTGACAGTCAAGCTTTCTATCACTAATGGAGCTGTCTTTTCTTATCGAATTTATAAGACACAGATATTCTGATGAACTCAATCAGGTTATACTCACCACCAGGCACCCCTCGGATTTTCAGGTTTAGCGCTTAGCACAAAAGCTGAATCTTCTCAAGCAGGGTATGTGCTAGTCGAAACACACGAGATGTTTGACAGCAGCTCACACTGTTGAGGTTGGACTGGTCGACTCGTCTCGACTGTTTGATTGTTTGACTGGTCGAGAGCTGCTGCTCACCTGCACCTCTCTGCGACAGGGCAGAATTGAGCAGAAGCTCAGCTGTTGAGTTAGTATATCTGCCGTATAAAAAGCATCTTCAGCTGGCGCACAAATTTTAATCAGCTCGAAAAGCTGCGTCCGTCCACAACAGAGAGAAAACAATCGCGGAATCGAATCACGAACGAATCGTATACGAAACACTCGTGTTGAAAGTGCAAGTGAAGCCAACCAAAAGAATAAAAATGCATTCAAATGTGAGTGTAGCTCTCTCTCTCTCTCGCTCTCTCTTTTTCTGTGTTTGTGTTTGTTGAGTGGGCTCTAATGTCTAACGGTTTCTTTCAGAAATCTGTGGTTTATCTGCTGCTCATCGGACTGGCGCTGCAGCTAATGCTGACGCTGACTGTGGTGCTGGCGGACGTGTCGCATCTGGATTACTCAAACTCACCGAGCTCCCAGTTGGGCGCCTATCACTATCCAACACCACGTATCCAACTGCAAGAACAACAGCGGCCACGCTCGCATCAGCAGATTGCACGACAATTTGTGGATCCGTCGCTGGAGCATGTGGCCTTTACCCAGGTGCTGACCCGTAGTGGTTATGTCTTTGGCAATGGTATCAATGGTAATGGCAACAAGGCAGCTGGCTCCGCACCACTACAAGCAACAGTTTCAGCGAAGGGCCGTTCGATAGGTTCGACATCGACTTTATCGGATAGCAACTCACTGAATCTGAAGCTGCCGGTGCCCTTCGGAGCGATGCCCCTGAATGTGGCACATCTGCCGTTGCAGGCAGGTGCCTCATACGCCACACTGCCGCACACTACCGGACTTACCTCCTATGGAACGGCGCAAATTCAGCGGCGCTAGTGACACCACATACACTCATGTATTTGTTAAGCTTCAATCTTAGTTTATATTTAAATATTTAGTTAAAACCACAGAGCCAACTGACTGTTTAAATATCACTCTGTGAATCATTGATAGTGAATACCTCGAAATATGCTCAAAAAAAAAATAAAGTAAAAGCTACTTGCCATTCAAGCGAACCTCTCGTGAATTTCTGTAGCTACAAAAAGATACATTTTAAATTGGATTTATGTGGCGGCCTATTACCAATCATATATCCCAATCATGTTTTATCCATTGCCACTACAAATCTCTTGTATATGTTGCATTTGCATATAAGTCGATTAGAAGGTCACCAACCGACAAAAGACGTCTTCATACATCGATCGCACCTTTCACTCCCCAGCTGCTGTTGATGTTGCTGTTGCTGCTGCTGCTGCTACTTATCAAAGATCAATGTTTTTTATACTCAGGGAGAGAGGTAGTTGGGAGTGCGGAGGGTTCGGCAAATCTTCAATAATACAACAAAAAAACAATTAGCGTCTTCTCATTTGCATATAAGCAAGATTCAAGAGTTATTTTAAAGCTCGAGGAGTTGATCGTAAGGCCTTAAACTTGGCATTGATTTACTAGACGTATATCTACCACTATTTGATACACCTCCCACCCCGTGGAGCTGCCCCATCGCTCAACCGGACACTAAGCTATTTCAACGGATGTGAGATTAATCAGCGAACGGCACTCTAATTTCTATTCATCTTAGAGCAAACTGCTTTTTAATATAACTGGAATAACAGCTGCTAAATCTGATAAACAAACAAATAGATTCCAAGTTAATAAGTATTTAAAATTGGCGCTTACGTAGGGGTATGTTTGTATTGAGTAACGGTTTCTCTTTTTTCAAGCAGGCGTCGAGGAAGTGAGCGGCATATCTCAAGAATTCCGCATAACCATTAATGGCTTAAACCAAAACTGGTAGAAGAACTCCAAATCGGTTGCACTCAGGAATTGATTACAAATCTAAGAAGCGCGAGGTTGCTGCATTAATCCAATCTCTGAGTAGGGTTTGGATATCGAAATTATAATACCCTTGTCAAAGTGCGACCTTATAGAGTGATTAGTAGGTCTTTTATCGTTTGAAATAAAGTGTGCTTAAAGCAAAATTATGAAATTCAGCTTATGCACAATAATCATATCTCTGTTTATATACATATTTATATAAAAATCCAATAAAGCTGTTGTATTTATTTTCTAAAGTAAAGAAACTGACTCTAAACAAATTTACATCAGAAAAGCTATGAGGAGAGCCGAAGACATGGAAAGATCAACTTCTATCACAAATATTTGAGTTGAAAATAAACATTTTCATACCCGATGCTTGAGTATTCTGTGTGTACAGGGTATAAAAATGCGGATACAGTTACATGCGTGGGGAGCAGGTAGTTAGCACCGAGCACAGATCACTTGAGCGGATCATCTGGCGAGGCCTTGAATTCATCATCCACTCAAAATGAAAAAGGAAAAAAAGAAGACTGCAAAAAGCAGAGGGGACAACGTCGGCGAAATAAGAAGTTGCTGATGCTAATGATGATGATGATAATGATACTGTGATGCTAATGATGACGAAGTAGTATTCGTCGGCAGCACGTGACCCACCGAATGCCGGCGATGGACGACCAGCGAGAACCACAATCATAAGCAGAAATCGTAAGCAAAAATTGCTCATTAAACCCGATAGCCGGTTTAAGCTGTTCGCTGGCTGTTGAGTTCAGGCCAATTAGAGGCGCTGAATGATGACTTAAACAGATGCGCCGAACTCAGGCACAGAAACCACAGGCACATCCTGTTGGCTCGACGAAGTTGCCTCAAGGTCGTTGCAGGGATGCGAGTGCTAATTTATGATGCGGTGCGCTCCAATTGAAATATTTAATGGCTGGCCATTAAAAGCACTAATGCGACATTTGCGAAACAACACGCATTTTATAGCCCACCTTTGGATTGAAATGGGGCTAAAAGCACCGCCAATTGGCAACCGCTTTAAATTGTGGCCAAACGCTTGTGACCCACTCGAAGCTAGTGTCTGCATACAAATTGTAGCATTTTGCGAAATTGCACGAAGCGATTGAGTCTGATTTGGACTTCCTACTACTGCAGGTGGTGGTGGCATTAATTTGGGCCACTACCAAAGGCTAAACACGTAATGCTTTAGTAAAGAAGAAGCGACCAAAAATATATGCATAAGGAAAACTCGAGCAGAATAGGTGGCTCAGCGGTGCATTGAGTGGCTATATAAGGCGCAGTAATGGCCTATAACAGACATTAACAGTTCACACTTGTCAACCACAACAGCAAACATGTTCAAATTCGTAAGTTGGTTAAGAAATTCCTGGCAAACTTCCATTCCTTGACTTCCTGCATTTACTTTTAGCTCATCATTGCCGCTCTCGTTGCTTGCGCCTTGGCTAAGCCTGGCGTCGTTGCACCACTTGCCGCACCACTCGCTGCACCACTGGCCTATGCGAATGCACCACTGTATGCAGCTGGCGGCAGCAGCCAGGTGGATGTGCGCAACAACTATGATGGCACTCAGTCCTCCTACACCACTGCACCCTTCGAGCTGACTCCACCCTACTCCAGCCGCTATGTTTCCGGCATTCCGGCTGCCTACGCTGCCGCTCCCTACGCTGCTGCACCACTGGCTGCCCCACTGGGCGCTCCTCTGGCTGCCCCACTGAACGCTCCTCTGGCTGCCCCACTGGGTGCTCATCTCGCTTCACCTTACGCTGCTGCTCTGGCTTCGCCCTATGCTGCACCCTACACTTTCGGCGCTCCTCTTGCTGCACCCTATGCCGCTGCACCCTTTGCTGCCCCTTATGCCGCTGCACCCTTTGCTGCCCCCTTTGCTGCCCCCTTTGCTGCACCCTACAGCTTTGCCGCCCCAGCTCCAGTTGTGGCCTAGACACATGTCTTTAAAGATCTGAATTGTTTTTCTTAGCGAATTTTATATAAATAAAATCATGATTACAAACTAATAACCATTGAGATGTGTTTATGTCTTCTTAAAAATGGAAAAGTATGGAAATATCTACGAAAGACTTCTTATTAATTACTAGTTGGTTTTAATATTTTAAGCAAATTTTGAATAGGAGATTTGTAAATTTCAGCATTAAATATTGTGGAAGTTGAGACAACCTCTTGGTGTCTTACAGACGAGAAGGGAAATTAAAACTGAAACCTTAACTAAAGCAACTTAACGTTGCGAACTTTGAAGTATATTTTTATTCTTGCTCTTAAATAGACTGATCTTACCTCTACCTGAACTCTACTCTAACCTTACCTACCTCATCCTTGAATACCCACTTTTTGTTTGGCCTATATGCGAAGACTTAAAATGTGCATTCCTTAAATTTGATCGTCTATCATGCCAGGCAATATTTTATTGATCGCCCATATTTTATTATGGATGTCATAAGCGATTTCTATTTTGGGACCGCAGACACAACAGTCCAGTATTTATTATATAATATCGAGCGGTGCAAGAAGTAATTGGTCCCCCATTCAAGCCAGCACCAAAACAAGCGACTTGTAAACAAATGTAAGTTTGTGACGACGGCAACAAAGTCACGATTTAAGGCAGTTACTACATCGGCTAACCAAAAACGAGACGCCGACGGGGTGTGGTGCATTTGCGGAGTGTGGTTCACTTGCTGCACAACAAACGAAAGTGAAGAGGTGCACGTTTAAATTGGCCAGTGGCCAAATATGATTGAGGCTATAGGGCTAGACAATTGACACTATAAATTAATGGCCCAGACCCATGGTCAATCATTGTTAGCCATCTCTTCGACTTGAGCGGTCGTTGGCAACTGAGCGCAAGGACAGCACACCCCACATTATCTACCACAAGACTCCTAACAAGATGTGGCAGCTGAAATTGGTAAGCTACTGTGTAGCAAAGTCTGTAAGATCCTCTAACTCAATTCCTTTCTTTTCTTCCCAGACTTTCGTTTTGGCTTTGGCTTTGGTTTGCATTGAGGCTAAGCCTTCGCACCATTTTGATCATTTCGACCATCATTTCAATCACTTAGAGCCACTGCATCACCCACTGCCGGATCATGTGGATTATGCAGCTCCGCTGCAGTTACACGAATCCTATCTGCCTCCTCCAGCATCAGCACCACTTTGGCCAGCACCTGCTCCTTTACCTCCGGCAGCTGCTTGGCCTGCACCAGCACCACTCGCTCCAGCAACAACATGGCCTGCACCCGCTCCACTCGCTCCAGCACCTCTGTGGCCTGCACCCGCTCCTCTAGCGCCTGCACCTATTTGGGCAGAGCCTGCACCACTCGCTCCTGCACCGCTGCTGCCACCGGCGGTTCACACTCATCTGCTGCCAACAGCTGAGCTTCAGGTGACACAGGTAACACATGTGCTGCCGCCACCGACAGTGACACAAGTGCTGCCGCCACCCACTGTGACACATGTGCTGCCGCCACCCACTGTGACACATGTGCTGCCGCCGCCCACGGTGACACAGGTGCTGCCGCCAGTGATCGAAGCTGTGCCATTTGCGCCCAGATATCGCGTAATACCCGGCCCAAAGAGAACCACCCATCACGTCTCCATTGGCTACGCTTTCCCCAAGCTTTTGTCTGCACCACACGCTCATCTGCGCGCTCTGCCTCTGAAGCTGGCACATCATCATCATCATCACAAACTTTTTTAAGCAACTGAAAAGAATTGGAGGAGTCTATTTGAATATCATCATAATCAAACCAAAGAAGTTTTGAGTCGTGTAGAAAATTATACAATATCGTTAAATTATGCAATTAAATATAAAATACGAAAACCAAAAACGAGATCAAAATTTTCTTAATGCAATAAGTAATGGCTGGAAGCACTGAGTTCAGAGAAGAACCATGTTTAAATATCAAGGAGTTTTCGTAAAGAAAGGAGCTCCCCATAATAGGCAACATTCTATCTAGATGAATGTGCATTTGAATCTATATATTATTGTTAATTCTGTCGCTATTGGTATTGAGTATATTGGCATATTAAGATTTACATGTTGGATTGTGTTGAATGCAAGCTGATAAATCAGGAATTCCGAACACGGAAAGTGGCAGTGAACTAAGGGAAATAAAGTGAGAGGGAGAAAGAGAGGGAGAAGAAGTGAAGACTGTTGAACACGCGACAATTGCAATGAAGAAATTGAATAACAATTAAAAGCAAGAGGGAAAGAGAAAAGAGATCGAGAGAGAGAGAGAGAGAGAGAGAGAAAGAGACAGAGAAGAGTAACCACTTGGATGGTCACGTCGGTTAAATGCGACTCATTAGTAGGTGAATATCGATGCCACCAAATAAAAACATACATACATAAAACGAAAACGAAAACTTGCCCAACCGCCCAACGGGAAATATCGGCCAGTGGGGCTAAGCGGTAGGGTCTAGTGGTGCGGACAGAGGGCGGGTGGTCTTGGCTTGGCCTTTTGGCGTGCAATTATGAAAGTGGGTGTCGATTATACGGTAATACGTAACAAGCGGCCAATTGATTATTAAGTACAGTGAACGCCCTTCGCACGGCACAGCCCCATATGTAGAAAGTCTTGCAAGAGTGGTGTTTATTTCGGCACTTTGGTATGCCCCACCACAACCACCCAATACAGTCTGCGAGAATTATAAAAACGGCGAGCATTTGACAATTTGACATCAAAGCATTGTTAGCACTCAAACAAACCACCAAACACCAAAAACTAAAATCCAAGCAAAATGTTCGCCAAAATTATGGTAAGTTGTGTTTTTATCCGTGGCCAAAAGGATGTGGTTTCAATGCGTTCCTTTGATTGCAGCTCGTTGCTCTGTGCGTGGCTGGCGCCCAGGCTGGTTTGCTGCCCTTCGCTGCTGCACCTGTGCCACTGGCCACCGCTGGAGTTGTGGCACCCTATGCCTCCAGCTTTAATGCCCATCGGATTAACCATGCTGTGGCCTTCCCGGTAGCTCCACCAGTCGCACCAGTTGCTCTGGCAGCTCCAGTACCTGCTCCGGTTGCCCTCGCTGCACCACCAAGGGTTGCATTTGCTGCTCCTGCTTGGGCTCCAGCTCCAGCCTTTGCTGCACCTGCCCCAGTTGCCCTTGCTGCGCCACCAAAGGTAGCCTTTGCTGCTCCAGCTTGGGCCGGAGCCCATGCTCACGCTTTTGCTGCTCCTGCTCTGGCACCTGCGCCTCTGGCTGCTGCTCCTGCCTTGGCTCCTGCTCCTCTCGCTGCACCCTTGGGCTTTGCTGCCCCCGCTCCTCTAGGCTTTGCTGCACCAGCTAGATTTGGTCTGCCAGCTGCTGCGCCTTTTGCTGCTCCAGTGCCTGCTCCCTTGGCTGTGGGACCTAAGTTCGCGCCTTCGCCTTACTTCTTCTAGAGACATGGAATCCTTAGACTTAAACAAAACAAAAAAACCGACTTAGCCCAATCCAAATCACACTAGCAAAGCAAAAATGCCTGGCGAATAAATTGTACAAATATTCACTTTATTTCGATGGCTAAACTTAATTCGGATTCAAGTTCATCTCACTCATTTAGAGTCGCACACTCTTCACATGTCCGATCCGCTGGAAGAGGGGCACATGCTCGAAGGGTGTGTGGGAGATAGGCACCGAATCGTAGGTAACATGTGCGATCTTTGTCAGTGGCGCCACAATGGTGTAGCCAGGATGTTGCTGCTCTGCCTCGCCACGATGATGGATGACTGATGGCTGATGATAGACAACTGCAGTGGGCTGATGATACACCAGAGTGGCAGCCTCTGTCTGCTGCAGCACTATGAGCACAAGACACACTACATGAAATATGTGGTCACGCATTCTGGGAGTTTTCTGCTGATGTGTCTCAGTTTCTGACCGCACCTCGACTAAGCAGAGGCATAAGCGACAACTTCTTGGGGCCTGCTCATGTACAGTTAGAAGCTGGGTGGCATCTTGAACCGGTTTATGAACAGGCTGCATTTTTTCCCAGACCGGGAACCAGTTGCAACACACAGTTCACACTCAGACTGCACAGTTACACACACACACACACACACACACACTACACACTACAGTAAACAATCTCCACCACTCTACTCCACTCACACGAATTCCCAAAAACTCGTTTTCAAGTTCAAGTTTAAACACGTCGCTATCTCACTGCTGTTGTTGCTGCTATAGTCTGCTCTGCTGTGGTTTATCAAAGTGTCAGTGACTCTTTTGAAGATCTTATGAATGTAATTTCAGATTTTTATGATACCCTCTACACATTAAAAATTGACTTTAAAGTGTCCAATATGTCGCGTTAAATTGTTGAGAGTAAATATGAATATCCCATCATATATGTAGTTTTGGATTGGGATCAACGATCGCAAAGTGCGATGAAAGCTATTGAAAAGAGTTTCTTCTTTTTCAAAGTCATTTGTAGATCAAAAGTTTATAAAGTGCACGATTTTTCATAAACTATTTAGTGACAGATAGAACAACGATTTGCGATTTAAACTGAACAGCAGTTTAATTTTTGATGAGACTTTTTAAATCGATCGAATCTGATGAACAAATTTGCAAATATGAAATATAATACCTGAACAAAGTATTTATTTACAGTTAAAAGGGTATCACGATGTCGCATATGATTGTCATCTGATTTATATTTAACGTTGATCATTAGCTAGTCGTTTGGATTTTTTTCTGGGTTTTTGGTAGGTTTTGTTATTTGCTTTGGTTTATTATCTCAAAACGTCGATGGATTGGCCAATCTCTTAACGAACAGCACTTCAGGCATCGAGGATTGATTCTTTGGCTGGCCTAACTTAATCTGCTTAATCTGCTCTTTATACATAAATTATTGCGTCACGAGAGTCTCTGTGGCAGCTCATTGACCTTATTCAAATGTATGTAATTTTCGTGTTTTGTTGTTGTTGTTGCGGTCAATCGATTCTGGCAAAGGCCATCAGCTGCTGCTGCGCACAAGAGCGGCAACATTTGGCGGCGCCACAGCCAAACGACACGCAACAGTGTTGTTAACTTAGCCAACATATAAAATAGCCACGCCCAAAACTGGACTCACTTGCAGCAGCAGCAACAGCCGCAGCCCCAGACTGTGGCGTGTGATTTTGCTGCATGCTTTAGTTCAACACCTTAGCCAATTTACGAAAATATGCGAGTGAGTGCCAAAAAAAAAAAGAAATAGAGTTGCGTATTGCATTCAGTCAGAACTGGGTGAAATGTCTTTGACCAAATAATACACGTAATGTGGATCAAACCGAGACAGCCAAGTATTGTCCAAATGAAGTTACCCATTAGATCATCGATATCCAATTTAGGAGTCAACAGACATTTAGCCGCAACTGCCACCGCACTCGCTTTTATATAAAAGACGCAAGCTTGTGGCAAATGTAGCGGCACAAACGCACTAGCCACACTGCTGTGGAAGACTGACGTGGACACCAATCGACAAGGGGACAAGTCAAAATGTATAAAGCAGTAAGTAACTCACAAACTTGCAACTACACATTACTCAGCTTATGCACAACTCTGATCTTGCAGATTTTCTTGATCGCGACACTCTGCTTGGCTGGCTGCCTGGCAGCCCCAGCGCCTGAACCTGTTCCCGCTCCTGAACCAGCTCCTGAACCAGCTCCTGCTCCAGCGCCTTCGCCTAGTATTGGTCTGGGACATGATTATCTGGGCTATGGTGGATACTATGGCGGCTATCATGGTGGCTATCACGGACTTGGATTAGGATTGGGCATTGGCTACCATGCGCCCATCATCAAGACGATTGCAGCGCCCATCATTACCAAGACCATCATTGGCAAAAGCTATCTGGGCGGCTATGGTTTAGGTCTGGGACATGGTTATCTGGGCGGCTATGGTCACGGTCTCTATGGGCATGGTCTAGGCCTGGGACTGGGTCTGGGCTATGGCTATGGACATGGCTGGTAAGCAAATCCGTAGCGCTTAAAAGCATGAGAGAAAGAGAGTTGTAATCGAGTCAGTTTCTAAAACTTAGCATTAATCAATCGAATCAATCCATCAATAAATTCGTAACTCACTTGAGATCTAATACATTTTTGAAACATTTAAATTGAAGCAACGAATCTGAAAAGGTCTTTTCAACTTTAAATTCGAAATGTCAATTTATCAATACATTTTTAATTCGTTCAGGTATTAAAAAGATGTTGGCAATTGCGCAGTATTTGCTTCCAGCAATAACAAATATATATTTTATACTTTTGAAATTTGAATTTGAAATTCACATTTACTCAGTTGTCGACAAAGTGATTATGAAAAAGTTCACACCCCAACTCAATTAAATTGAAATTATCAATAAATAAATAATGCAAATGCACACACTGTTTGCTTCGATCAATAAGAAATATAATTTTAAAATTCGAATTCACTTTCTCGCAGAACTGGACAAATTGGATGAGAAAGTTCTTAACAGACAAAAAGAAATACAGTTTAAGCAAATACAAATATACTGATCCTTACCAGCCATGGCCGAGGCTCAAGGCAGGAGCAGCATAGGATTTGTAGCCGAGACCCAGTGGGGCACCATGAGACAGACCAAGTGGTGCGTGCGACAAGGCGAGTGGTCCGTGCGACAAGGCGAGTGGTGCGTGCGACAAAGCTGGAGCCGAATAGCTAATCCTGGGCCCGAGTCCATAGTGAGAGAGAGCAGGCGCAGCATAGCTGTGACCCAAGCCATACGAGGCATACGAAGGTGCGGCAATAGAGTGGCCATAAGAGATGGCCGGAGCAGCAGCCAGACCCAGAGCCGGAGCTCCATGCAAGCCACCCAAGTAGCCCGGAGCAGCTGCAGCACTGGCCAAGCAGATGACGGCGAAAACGAACTAAGAAGTTGGGAGTTGGCAGCGTTATTCATCATATTTCGTGCAACATCCGAGAGGCAACTTACATATTTGAACATGTTGCAAGGAGTTATGGAGTTTTTGCTGATTTACTCGAGGCGAGAACACAACGTTTAATAATGCCAACTAACTGGGTTCAAATGCTTTTATAGCCAAATCAAGTCAGGCCCAAAAAACCAAATCGCAGCCGGCACGAGAACGGGCCCAAGTTGCACTTTTACTTTTGTTGCGAGGCTGCGAAACTTCGTGTGCATGCAAAGTGCACTTGGGCACAGATGGTGGCATGGGGCAGGGGGCAGTCAGCCAGTGGTGTGCTGCAGACCCGCCCAAAAACTTCAACACGGCCAATGCGGATGCTTTGGGCTGCCCGGTGCAATGAATATAATATATATATATATGTGACTGTTTATATTATTTTGTATATAGACTAAGTCATATCATGGAATCTGTGAGAAAAAAAAGACGGAATTGCAGTTGAACGAGTTTTCCCAAAAACATTTAAGAACTGGTCGACGGTGGTGCATGCGGCATAGTGCATGCTGCGTGGTGCACGGTGCGTAGTGCGTTTTTTATAGCTTACTAAGCGAATGGTAAGCGCAATGAGTAAATTGGCCATTTAGCATGATTTCCAAAGATAAAGTCTTAATTACACCGTTCGGCTAAATGCTTTGTTTCAGCACTTATACGTAGAGAAACTGCATTCAAGAAAAGAATTTTAAATTCAAGAGAATAATGAATCAATTCAACTTTCATAGGAGTTTTGAATTACCTTTAAAATACGAATAGTTCGACTCCAAACCCAAAAATTCTTTCACTAAAGTACTTTCGCTCAAGCTGCAGCGAATCCTTCAATCCTTTCATTGTCTACTCAAAATTCTCGTCTAGTTCGAAGCTTTTCGCTCAGTGTAATTGTCATAAATCGCTGTTGTTAAGCTGATTGCTTGAGCCGGACTTCTATTAACTTATCTAGGGCAGTCAGTTGTCGATAACTGATCGTTGTCTCGGGCCTAGCGGCTGCAACTGCTACTCAGTCAGCGGTGTGGCAAGGTCAACGCCTAAGAGGGGCACAGTCGAGTCACCCCCTTTGGCTACGCCACTGTATTAAACTTTAAATGCAATCATAAATTCATAGCTATCAAAGCTAGGCGAGCACAATGCACAATGTTGTTTGTAATAATTCTAATACATGAAGCTGACAGTTAATTGGTGGGCAGCCCCCTTCCTCTCTAACCCCCTCTGCCACCTCCTCTCCGCACGCATAACTCAGACGTTACACTTTACGTAAGCTTTTAAAGTGGCTGCCTGCCTGCTGGCTAGCTGTTCACCCTCAACCCGCCACTAGGCCACTTGGAACGCCCTGCGGAGCAACTCGAAAATGGCTGCGTAAATCTTAGTTACCCCCTCATCCCCTTCGTCCCCCTGCCTGTCCACACCCTCGAGCAAATGGAAAGGCATTCAGGTGACAATGGAGAGGCTGAGACTCGAAACTTGGTACTGTGATTATGCGTAACTTACGCCCATGCGAAACAAAATTGCACACAGCAAGTGGGCGATTTGTTTTGGCTACCTTAATAGACCAAGTTCTCTATTTTTTATTTATTTTTTGCTTTTAGCCGGTTTCCTAACATACAGTGTGCGAACAAAATTAGAGTCAATTAAATATTTGTCACTTATGCAACGCGACGAATTAATATTCAAGTGTGCTTGAATTTGGTTGTTCGGCAGTTGCTCAATAGTTGGCCATTAACTGACCAACGGCACTGTAGTCATTTACGAAAAAAAAGTGAGCCAGCCCAAAAGCTGATTAAAACGTGCGATCGCACATTAAACTAGCTGTCTGGGAAATATTGTTAACAACCTTAAGCATTGTGGCAATTACAAAGGCGTTCCACTGGGCGTGGTCGGTTCGCCCTGTGTTTAATTTAGTTGAGCAGGCATTTTAATTCCAATTTGTAGGCGTTAAGAATCATGCAAAACATCGACATTTGATTTAATTTGCAGGCAAAGTCGACATTAACATTTAATGCAATGCATTTTGTTCAGCAAAATTGGCTGTACCACGCGGCGTATGATTAATGCGCACTTGCTGCAAACAAGGAGTGGCAACGCCCGCAAAAATATGTAGATTGCTGAGATAAGAAAAAAAAACTCTGTTTTCAAGTGGCGCCTTTTAATTAAATGCACCAAGCTAGAAGCTGGAAGAGGCACGAACTAAGAAGCACACAGAGAGCTCAGCAAATTGTAGCAGGCAAGCTGTTGCTGCCACACGCAACAACTGCGCCACATTTCAATTAAAAACCAGCTAGCAACGATATCGCTGGAGTGCCGCAGCTTGAATATCCTATTTAAATAATTCAAATTTCAAAAATAATGTTGATAAACATAAAATATTATTACTTAACTAGCAACAGCATAAAATTAACGAGTTTCGAGTTTTGAGAGTTTTGAATGTCAAAGGTAGATTAAGAAATCCCGAAACTGCAAATTATTTATAGTTCCAATTCCAATTTGGAATTCTCCCATTTGAATTTTACCTTGACTGGAATCATGCATCTATAATTCCCACAGATTCTTTCATACCTTCTAATATTTCTTCATTTTATATGTCAACTATTATTTTTATACACATTCTTAGATGTATTTTGCTGCTTCATATCCTTGTGTAGGGTATATTTATTATTATGCCTGAAGCGAACAAATAGAAATCAGTGTAAAAGGGACAGCAGTGAAGCAAAAGGATTATGCACCGCTTCAATGTCATCCTCGAATGCCAATGAACTGTGCTGCTTCCAGGGTCCAATGTAGGATGTTGTTTGTTCGCCTTTGTGGCACGTGTTGAATGCAATGCCCGATTGTTTTATTGAGACTTGATTATGATTGAAAATAGCTGCATGACTCGATTATAAACACGACTAATAGCAACGGCCTACGACAAACTAAACTGTTTACCCGCAATGAATAATTGAAATATTGGCAATGCTCACGCACAAAAACCAGGGACAGGTATTTTCGTTGGTTTACTACCACACTCAAAAAACGATGTGAAACAAGGCAAGACCATCAAATCCTAACCAAAACCATAAATTATTTGATATACTTTACGATTATGCAAAAAGCTTAGTCACTTCCTGGAACTTAAAACAGTAGCTGCCTTCTGTGTTTTATATTATCATAATTGAATGATTCACAAAACTCAGAGCAGTCACAAACTTGGCCACTTGGCTTACGTGCCCGCCATTCAAACTCTTTAGTTGCAAGTACGTTTATAAAATATATATATATATATATATATATATATATCTTTTTATATACATACATTTGCGGCTGCTAACTGCGCATTTTAATTGTGTTGCAAATAAAAATAGAAATCGTGTATAGGCTACGGGAGGTGCGCAGCTAACTGACCCGCTGTGCCCTTAAGTCAAAGGTTAAAATGCAATAGCAGCTGGAAAAAACATGTTGACCCGTTTCCTTTCTCAGTTAGTTTCCTTATTTACTGCAAAAATAGAAAAGATGTCAATTTCCGACTGATCCAGGCTCTGGTGGCTCAAATAATAATAAGAAAATAATAGTAATACGTTTTACGCAAAATGCATTTATTTATATAACAATAATATTCCTTCAGCGTTGCTCTTCAAACCTCACATAATACTAGAAAATCAAAATAAAAATCAAAATGGGTGAAACAAAAACCAAGACAGGAGCAAGTTAGGCATGAATTGCGTGAAGTTAATCAAGAGCAGGATTAGAACACATATAGGTATTGTGGGGTTGTCGTTGTTGTGGTGCCAGCGGTCACTCAGTGGTTTGTTCAACGGTAGTAGGCGGCATAGGGGTATGCAGAGTAGGCAGCAGCATAGGGATAAGCCGAGTAGGGATAGGCAGCAGCAGTGTAAGCAGCGGTGTAGGGAGACGAGTAGGCAGCCAGTGGTGCAGCGGTGTAAGCGCTGTAGGCCAGTGGTGCAGCAACAACAGCAGGCTTGGCGGCCACACAGGCGACAATGGCGAACAGGCACAGAGCGAACTAAGGGATGAATAATATAGTTATCCATATAGCAATATACAAACTATAATCAAAAATTTTCAACTTACGAATTTGAACATTTTGAAGTGTTTTTTGTTTTGGTTGTTGTTTGCTTGAGCTGCTTATCGGTTTGTTCTGAAGAACTTGACTGATGCCAGCAGTTAAAAATGCACGAACTTATATACGAAAACTCAATGAAACCCTAAAACTCAAGCAAAGAAATATAATAATAATTATTATGCACCACCAGACCCCGCTGTCCAGATGGATGCTCTTGCCTGCCAATCAATTGACGCCAAGGAGAATCTCGGCGACAAAATTTGCACTTTACTTTTAGTTTCATTACACGGCTGAAGGGAGGACGGAGAGCAGCGAGGGCAGGCCTACTAGGCAATGAGTATTTTTAAACGCGTGACGACAACAGAAAAACAAACAAAAAATAAAGCAGTGATCAACAAATCGAGCCGTGGTTCGATGGCTGCACGTGCTCCGCATACCACATACGTCAATATGAGACATACTTACTATATGTATAGATTACTTTGGTTTGTGACCCACTCCCACACATCACTGCCGGACACTAAAGCGAATTTATAAAGCTAAGCGACTGCCTCACATGCTGTTTCATTCGATCAGTGGAAAGCACCTAGAACACAATCAATACAAAAATGTACAAAAAATTGCTGAGTTTCAAGCGCAGATCAACGGATAAGACGCAAATGATCAATGTGGCGGATGCGACAACCTGTCAGATCATTACGAAAGATGACCATAAAGCAGTCGTTCAAAGTGATCCAAACTGCTCTCCTAGTTGCTGTTGTCACTGTTGCTGTTGTCAATCCTGTCCGGAAGATCGCTTAACCAGTTGCCCACTCTGCACTGCCTGCCTCATCCTGCCCAGCTGTGTAGGCGCCATTTGCGCCTTGCACTGCAGCTTCTCACAGCAAGCAGCTGCTGGACAACCTGCAAGCAATTACAACTGCTGCCAGGCAGGCAGCAAGTGGATGGCACAATCAGAATCTCTAGCAATACAAAAATTGCAAATCGTTGCGAAAACGCGTTGTTGTCGTTGTTAAGTTTAATATTGTTACTTTATTGCAATGTGACCAAATATAACTGCTAATTACTTTGGATTATAATCAGCGATCTCCATATTATTATTCAAAATATTGGGCTTGATAGCACAATAAATGGACAGTGTGGTAATTTAATTATGTAGACGTTTGTACACCAAGTTTATAGCTATAAATTATACGATCAGTAAAGAGATATTTAAACTCGGAATATTCGCCGGTTTAGTGTCAAATCTCGTTGAATAAATTACCTGTCGCTTATGTTAGTTGTCTATCATAGAATTGGTTATTTTTCTTATACTTCTAAAGACTCAGCCAATATTCAGATAATTTAATTACAAGGCAGCAACTGAAATATTTCATTTAATTAGAACGAAAACGAAAGAGGAGACTAGATAAATAATAGATCCGCTTTCCACAAGCACCAGTAGTCTTTTTGATACATTTAGACAAATAACGATAGATAAGTCAAGCAATAAATATAGGAAATAAATGGATCAGATCCAATTGAATAAGATCCAATCTTCTTCACACTTTAAGCAAATATGTATACCGCTATTCGTCCTAAGCCTTTAAGCAATGAAATCTTAAATCTTGCTTCTGAAAATTCCTACTTTAAGCAATGATATATTTCCTTAAAAGCCAAAATCAAGTTATTTCCTTTGAGCAATTTTTTTATTTAAAAAAAACGAGTCCAGCCGTGTGAATGAGATGAGTCATTTAAACGTATGTGGCGTAGGCAGCGGTATAGGGATAGGCAACGTTCGCTGTGTAAGCAGCAGCAACGGGGGAGGCGTAGGCGGCAGCCACTGGAGCAGTGTATGCGGCAGCAACGGGTGCAGTATATGCGGCAGCAACGGGTGCAGTGTATGCGGCAGCAACGGGTGCAGTGTATGCGGCAGTTGCAACTGGAGCAGTGTAGGCGGCAGCAACAATTGGAGCGGCAGCGATGCCATTGAAGTTGCGTGCCACATACTGGGAGCTGGTTGCAGTCACCACACCCGCTGGAGCAGCATTGACCAGGACAGCAGGCTTCGCCTCAACGAGGCTGCAGGCGAGCACAAAGCAAATGGCAGCAGACTACAATAAAAGAAGCAATAAGTTAACCATCCCACCAAAAATCCATTCGATTTGTTGAACGCACCAGTTTGAACATGTTGAAATGATTCCGTAGAGCTATCAAAGTAGACTATGCCTTCAAGTTGGGCGCCTGCATTTTTATAGTTCGCGAAAACAAAGCGACACTTTAGATATTTTGATTTGAGTGATTCTATAGACGCCAAAAAAATGAAAATTAGAAGCGCAGAGGAATGCAAAAATCAAAAATAAAAAAAGACGAAAATTCAAATTAGCTACGTGCCCAGATGAAGCGGCTGGAACTGGAGCTGAGGTCTTTGCTTGGTCATGTTGAGCACGTAGCCCAAATGTGAGCCTATAAAAATTGTCGCGGTGCGTTTTGAAGGCAGCCCACCAAAAACAAAAAACAGAAGAAGCTATATACAATATATACAAAATACAATATACAACAAACAGTAGCTGTTCCGATTAAATTTATGCGTTCAGTTAACTGACCTGCCCTTGTGAACGGAGTGACCAGCAACCCAAGTCGTTGGCATTTAAATGAAATGATTTATCACACAATTGCATGCGCAGGATGCACTTTGCACTTCAACTTGAGGATGGGGTTGTGGGCGAGTGGGCGGTGTGGCAAGAGACTGGAGGCACGTTGGCGCATTTAATCGGATTTGATTTCAAGGTCGTCCCATGACTGTGCAATTAACTTATGCAATGCTGATTTTTTAGGCCAGCCGACAAACAATTGCAATCGGAGAATGTGTCGCGACTTTTGTTATGGTTATGGCATGTGGCATGTGTGGCAACAGCATGGACCTATAATCTATGTTACATGACATCGATTGCATCGTCATGTTGCACGCCTAAGCGGCTCAATGGATCAAATGTTGTCAGCATCTCATACAACAGCTCCAGCCCGTGCCAGCTATCATCTCTGTTCTCTAACTCACGCCGCAAAGAAGAAACATCTTTGCCTGTTATCGGAGAAAAGGGGAGCAGACATGGAGAAGAGCGGAGGAGCAGTGAAACATAAACGGAACAGAGAACAGAGCGCAGACCGACATTTCTTATCGGCAGCCAATGTAACTGAAATAAGTCGGAATGCGCTAAGCGATAGTGTTACAACTGGAAGGTGCCCTGTAGCCAGGCCTGCAGAATCAAAACACACATTCGTAATAAGTCCCATTTGTTATACTTTTTTATTTCGATGAGACAATTCAACTTACTTAAGTTTATTATGCGATAAGATATATGTAACCACATATATATCCTACTTGAGAATAAACAGTTCTTGATTGCTGCTGAATATACTGCAGACCCTCTCTCGATTTATCATGCCGCATTCAAGCAATTTAAAAAGGGTGTCGAATATAAAAAGAAGAAAGCAATCATTAAATATATATACATATTTATATATAATATAACCCTTTACATGATTATTAAGTGCGAAATATTGCTTACAGTCTGCAAAAAGTCTTCGTTTCGGTCGGTTCACAATGCATATGCGTCATGTTTGGTTGCCGTTCGTCCTGTTCGTCCTGGCGCACAGCCGTCGTGTGCTGGCGGGAGACGTCTATTTAAGCTGCGATGAATTCGAGCAGCACATATACATGGATGCCAGTGAAGCATTCTGCACCGTCACCGGATTCATAGTCACGCACAGTCAGAATGTTGTTGTGAAGAACTTTCTGCCCGGGAATATGGTCAAGTTCATGAAATTCTACGATTCGACATTGCTCTATGTGCCCTTCCATCTATTCGAGACGTTCACGCATCTAAAGACCCTCGATGTATCGTATTCGAGCATATTGGAACTGACAAGGAATACCTTTAGTGCTGCGAGCAACTTGACCTATCTGAATCTGAGCTATAACAATCTGACCTCGGTGCAGACCTCGGTCTTCAATGGAGCCAATGCTCTGATGCGTTTGGATCTGTCATACAATAGGATATCGCAATTGAGTGAGAATGCCTTTTGTGGCCTACACATTCTCAATAAACTGCAGCTGACCGGCAATAGATTAAGTGAGCTGCACAAGGACATCTTCAAGGATAACGAGTATCTAGAATCGGTCACGCTGGAGAGCAATTTACTGACTTATGTCCAGCCGGAAGTCTTCAACCGAATGCGTCGCATCAAGGAGGTGAATCTGTCAAACAATAAACTGATACGCATACATCCGGATACATTTACGGAGGCAGCCAGTTTGGAGAGCCTGCTGCTGGCATTCAATTCTCTGGATGTCTTCCAGCTGACCAACAAGAATATTGTCCATCAACTCCACTTGGACCACAATCATCTGACCAATCTGACAATCAATGCGACACGTTTTGTGCGGGCCAATTACAACAATATCAGCGAGATTTACATGCACCAGGCCCTGCAGCTGGAAACACTGGAGCTGAGGGGCAATCGCTTGACGAGCATAGCGAATATTACCAATTTGACATCGCTGCTTCATCTGGATATCTCCTACAACCCAATTAAGCCCCTGAGTGTGAGCACCTTCGATCAGCTGAAACGACTGCGTAATCTTTACATACGTTCGAACGGTATTCGAGCGCTGCAGTTTGGCATGTTCTCCAAGCAGAAGTATTTGGAGATACTGGATTTGTCCTTCAACAACCTGACCAGCCTTAATCTTGATTTATTTGTGCCCTACTTGACCAGTCTAAAGCAGTTCTTTGTGGATGGCAATGCACTCAGCGAGCTGCAAGGCAATCGCAGTTTCTCTCAAGCATTTCCTTTGCTCCAGAAACTGGGCATCTCACTGAATCGCTTCAACTGCTCGTATTTGCATCATTTGCTTATTCCACCCTATCTGACGGAGACAGTCGCCCTAAACATCGAGCCTGACAACAGCACTGAGGAGGCACCGCACATACGTGATGTTTCCTGCATCAGTCAACATTTCATAACCGAGTCAGGAGCAATGGTTCCAGCAGCAGCAGCTGCTCTCGATGGGCCAATGCTGGCGCTGCACAAGCAACTGGATTTGCTGCGCACTCATTCAGAGAATCTAGAGCTGCATTTGCAGTTCATGAAGTTCTTCTCCTATTGCGTAGGGTGTTTATTTCTCATATCAGCTGTTGCCTTGCTAATTTTGCGTTTTCGCAAGGTGCGTCGATCTGGCCACTACAATCGCAGCAGCATCGTCTTTCAATCGACTGCTACAATGGATAGAAATCTCAATTTGTGAGTTAGCCTAAGTCTAAGCCTAATATATATATGTATATATATGTATGTAGCATAAATCGAAAACTCAAAATAAAGGAAGTCTGCAACCAGGAAATCTTTCGATTTATGTACGCCTGCCGTCGACTGTGTCCAAACTGATAAAAAAAAAACATAAACTTCCTGTTGCCCACTTGTATGATAAGCAGCAGGCAAATATATAAGAAGATAAAATGCAACAATTCGATTCCGAGTTTCAGTTTTATTTATATTTGTTTTGCTTTCCAATCAGAGCCTTATATTTTCCGTGTGGGTTTTATTTTTGTTTATCTACTTCCTGAGCAGCAGAGGAGCAGCGGCTGCAGTGTAGGCGGCAGCATAGGGTGAAGCCACATACGGGGAAGCCACATAGGGTGATGCCACATAAGGAGATGCCACATATGGGGATGCCACGTAAGGGGATGCCACATACGGGGATGCCACATAGGGTGAAGAGTAGGCGAGAAGTCCTGGCTTGGCAGCAACGCAGGCCACCAAAGCGAGCACGACGAGAGCGATAAACTTGAACATCTTGGATTGGTTTTGGTTGTTTGTTAAGCTGTGAAACTGAACTGATGATTTCAGCTAGTCACCGTTGACATTTTATACCCACTGTCGAATAGCTGGAGCGAGCCTTGGGTTAGACTGCGTGCCAGGCGCAGCTAATGAGTTAAACTTTAAACACCTCGAAAGACACAAATTGGTAGCTCAACGCATTACCTACAAAAATATAACTGCTTCCAATTGGGCTGCGTACGTGTGCTGCCTACCAATTTGGCAACAGAATTCGGCTCACAACCTTGCAAGGTCTTAACCAAATTGGTAAGTCCAACTGGAGGGGGTTTAATAATAGTATAAAAGCAACGGTAAGTCGATGGCTTAAACATCAGTTACATTTGTTCCAGTGACAAGTAAACCACACAAAAAAAACAATTCAACATGTTCAAGTTCATTGCTGCTGTTGTGCTCGCTCTGGTTGCCTGCGTTGCAGCCAAGCCAGGAATAGTTGCACCACTCGCCTACTCTGCACCACTGGTGGCTGCTGCGCCCTCTGCTGCGGTCTACAGCACATCATATCATGGCAACTTTGCCGCACCCTATGTGGCATCCCCTTATGTGGCCTCCCCTTATGTGGCTTCACCCTATGTGGCCTCTCCCTATGCAGCTGCCTACACCGCACCACTGCTGCTGAGGAAGTAGGAAACTGCACAGAAAACCACCGAAACTACATCAAGAATTATGAAAAAAAAAATATAATAAAATAGAAGAGAAAACAGTTCGAAGCTCAAAAAAAAAATGTTGCATTTAATTTAGATTTGCATTTTACAAAAATGATCTAGATTCAGATATGGCCTCATATATAAATAAATAGGAGTTCAAAATATAAACAAGAAAAAATGTTCGATATCAAATAAGATTTACTTGCGGCCTAAGAGTCTGCTACACTTTTCAGCTCGTTAACCCTTAGGTTTTCAGACTTTTTGTTTGAAAATGCCTACTATTCAGGCCAATACCCAGATTAAAGTTAAAGCCCAGATTGAAGGAAAAATTGCCAAAGCCGAGACTGTGAACAATCGGAAATTTAGGCTTCTTTTTCTTGAAAATGTTGTACGTCGTTGAGTGTGGACGAGGAGTGGGACGAGGAGTCGGACGAGGAGTCGGACGAGGAGTAGGACGAGGAGTAGAACGAGGAGTTGATTTGCGATATGAATTGGAATTGGAATAGGAATGAGGATGATGATATGAATTGGAATGGTCTGGCTGCAAATAGTAGAGCAGACCAATTACATTACTAAAGACCTCCATACGGGCACACGCCTTGCCCCACTGATCGTTTAACGGTAGTTCATTTGGCCCCTCAGGAGGTGGTCGAAACTCCAATTGATAGCTCGTTACAGGAATGCGCAGCGTGGGTATGAATGTGTAAGTAACCACCATCTGAGGGAATCTCAGTGACAGCAGCGCCACACAGATCCACACCTGGTTAGGAAAGAGATGAAGCTATAGTATTGTGCACAACTCGAACACCACTCGAACACCTACTTACTGGCCACATTTTAAGTGGAGAGCTTTGAGACAACTGCAGCTTGAAAGAGCTAATGCTGGCACTTTTATACCGTCCGCAACTAATACCAATATTACAACTAAATAGAATCTTCAAATGGAGAGTGCTCGACTTGGAGATACTCCATAAAGCGAACCAGCATAAAGAATACATATATTTACACATTGACGATACCGATAATTATCAATTTTATATTATAGAAAACAGAAACAAAAAACTAAACTTGTTCATGCTAATCAAGAATACAATATACCTTATGGAGTTGAAACAAACCGACAAAACCGAAGAACAGTCAAACAAAATGAAATGACAGAATTCTTGCATTCCAATCAAGCTAAGATTTTATTTAAGGCATTTGATTAAGTGGCCAGTTTAGAGCCACAACTGGCCGTGACCATGACCATAGCCATGACCATAGCCATGACCATAACCATGACCATAATGACCATGGCTGCTTATGATTGGTCGGACGACGCTGTGAGATGTCAAAACGGGACGCACCACATGCACCGCCGGCTGCAAGTTATGGTGGAATAGATGGTTGTTGTGATAGGAGCCGCTGCTCAGGATGGGCGATGAATGCAATAGTCCAGGGGCCGCATAAGCGAAGGCGACGCCAATTGACAGGAGAATAAACTGGAATTATTAATTGCAATGCGAAATGATAAGCAAAACAACCAAAGAATGGCGGCTCCTTTTTACAATCATTCATTCACTTACCAGTTTGAACATGTTGAGGGCGTTGAAAGCGTTGAGGGCTATAAACTCGATCTGTAGAGCAAAGCTGTCAGAAGACGACTAGTTGATTGGCTACGCAGCTTGTGGCATTTATATAACGTGGCAAGTTGCAAGCAAGCGAACGCGCGACCTTCGTGCCAAGAGGGCTTTGATATCTTAGCGGCTTTGTTTGGCTTTTGGCCAGCTCGTATTTCGCAAGTGAATGACTGCAACTAAGTTCTCGTCTTGAATTACACTCAATGAGCCACTGAACAACCGCCAGCCAAACTTGCCACTGGGTCGTTTCGCTGCTTGCCACTTTAAAATGAGAACACTTAAGTATCTTGAAAATTGAAGAAGTATGGCGGACAATCAGCAGTCAGAATGAATACGATGCAATATAATATATTTAAAGGTATCTCTTTGTTGAGCCATAATCAAATTAGTTGTATGTATGCTCATAAATCCGTTGAAATTTTTGAGTTTTTCCGCTTAACCGATTTTGAGGAACAAATCGAGGTCAAATGCGCAGTTTAAGCCAAGGAGCTGCGCAAATGTCCAGCAACAAGCGAAGCAACAACAACTGACCAGCAGTGACCAAAATAGGAAAATACAACGCAGATATAGTGAATAATAAGTTTATATTCAATAGGCCTGCTCGACATTAATTGCTGTTTGCGTAGGAGTTTGTTTTCGGGCACGGGCCAAAAGCAAAGCAAAGGACCACAAATGCAAAACAAAGCATTGCGCACTTGGCAAACTTCGCAATTCACGCCCAAATAAATTCAAGGGCAGTTGTGTAAACACGCCCAACACAGGGTCTTAGATGCTGACCTTGAAACGCATCGATGCGAAATACCGGAAGTGCTATTCCGGCAAAGCCTCCCATAACTGCTCACACTTAATTGTTTATTTTTCGGCCCAAAGAAGTAAACAGCAAATGGCTATAGCAAAATATTTACCATTTGGCATGTAAAGAGCTGGAGAAGCTGGGGCTGAAGATGGAGCATCGCATCGCTTGAGTGTCCATTGATAGAGGGGCAGAGTGAGGTAGGAATCGAAGGAGGTCTTTAAGCGCCTCAACTAGTTGCATGTGTATGTTGTATTTATGTGGCAGGCAGGCACAATGCTTGAGCTTATCTTGTCAGATGCGCACGACGATCAGAGAGTCCAGTCTAGGCAACTCCTTATACTCTATGCCACGAGAGTGCAGCTCTAGGGTATACCCAGCTGAAGGCAATACAACAAAGCTATGATTTAATGACAAAAAGCCTTAAAGTGCTCTTCTAACAAAATAATAAGTATAAATTCAAAGACAAAATTGCCTCTAATATTTATACCACACAACAAAAACAGTTATTAGCTGAAAACAGGGTATCTTACAATCTGTGGCCAGAGTGTAATAGGTTGTTAGTTTCTAGATTCTTTGGATCGAACGTTGAAGTGGAATTGCAATTGCAGCTGCATTCAAAGTGAGTTAAGGGTTTCTTTCAAATTGCCGCTGCTAATGCCTTTGACCTTGGCTAGCATCATGTGGACAATGGAAATGGAAGTGGAGCTGAGATGAAACTGAGATGGAGCTGAGATAGAAATGGAGCCTATAAAAGGCAGCTCCAGCCAAGAAATCGCATTTAGTTTGTTCTTTGCGACAAGACCATGAAGCTGGTAAGTGTAGCTGTGACAAATACTCGGATCTCTATCCACTCTGTAATATTCTAAACTCCTTCTTTTGCGCAGCTCATCTTTGCCTGTTTGCTGAGCTTGGCTCTTGGCCATGATATAGTGTACACGCCGGGGTTTAGTTACTATCCGGCTCCAAGACTGGCCTATGCACGCAGTGGGGCCGTGTTGCCTTTGGCCTATTCCCGGTTGATCACACCGGCCAGCCAGTCGCATGTGTACCACAGCGTGGCGACTCCGAACTCCTTCCAGCAGCAATATCGCACCGACTACCAGCCCCTGACCTACGAGTATCTCTACTAAGGTGGAAATAATTAAACATGAAATTTGAATAAAGTTTATCGGCCACACTGCAGCTTTTCTGAATGAAAGTGTTAAACACCTGAACATTGTCTCTGGTCTAGGGTCTGTACCCAGCCGTGTATTGAACCCTACAATTTCCAGTTATTGGCCTTCTCGACACAAGCGTAAACAATCCAAGCCGAAATTATCGACAATAGCCCTTTCGTTTTGCGACCACATATCGAATGTCCTGGCACCTTGAACTCGCACGTTAACGTTTTCGAAAATACAAGAACTCTTTACCTTTAAGGGGGAAACTGAAAATTAAATTGGGAGTGGCGCACGTCACAGCACTGCATCAATTGTGGCATGTAGAAACCCTAGCAATTGCTGCAAGCGTCGAATAGAATTCAGCGGAAAACTTAGCAGCGAGTTCAACTTTTATTATTTTATTACTCATTTTGCTGCTGTTGCTTTTGCTGCTGCTGCGGCTGCTGCATTGGAAACTTTTCCGTTGTACGTTCGAGCACGTCGGAAAACGTGACACGGCGCTAGTCACATGGATTCGTGGGTGTTTTGAGAACAGAACCGGAAGGAGTAGGAGTTTACAAGTAGCAGACTTCCATGGAATCAAATGCGTATGGAAAAACCAGTGCAGCAGAATAATCGCAAATATTAATTAATATTTAATTGGATTTTCATACACTGCCAATTAAGTTGGACAAATAAGTCCAACGATTTTGCACGTCATTTTGAGGATGATTGAGGGAAAACAGGTTTATTGGGAAATATATACTAAGAATATCTAGTAAGCTACAAAACATATCTCATGCTTATGTAACTTAAAAAATCTCTTTAATTGTTGTCTCTTTGGAATACCAAGCTAAAAATAACAAACTCAGTAAGCAACCCAAATAAATCGACTGGGACTGTTTGCCAATATTGTGGACTTCAAGAAGAGTCAACTGGAAGGCAGAGTATTTGCCAGACGCATCTGGTGTCTGTGAGATATTTGATTTACAACATCACACAAACTGTGTCCAGACACAAATTATGCAGAGCATAGCAAATCGAATTTGTTAGTATAAGTTATAATTAGCTGATTCAATCAAATTAAGATATCAGTTTCATCAATATTAACTGCTCTGAATTAAGTTCATTTGAATGCAGACTCCCAATCGGGAGCAGAAGATAACGAAATTACCATATAACTAGTCGCGATGGGCAACAATTTACGCAGAAAAGAACATTCGCTAAAAAAAACGTGGCACAATTATTGCCACATCATCAGCCGACAACAACAAGTTTTAATTCTTGGTAAAAAACCGGCCCACAGATCAGGCAAACGTGCCACAGCTAAACAGGCAACAGTCAGAGGTATAAAAGAGCTACAGGAATTCAGCAATCAGCTCAAAGCTAGATGGTCGCGAGCAGCGTTTGGATGACTGTTGAAGTGGATTACTCAAAACTCTAAAGATGAAATGCGCAATTATATCGGGGTAAGCAAATCTCAAGTTAAATATGTACATTTGAAATATAATTTTATTATTGCAGTTGTTGGTTTTAATTCTCATCTCCTGCTGCTGCTGCTGGACGAGCATCAAGGCCACATCCCATTTCACACATCCCATTTTCGTTTCCAACTAGGAAGTCCTACTTCAACAACAGAGACAATTACTATGTCAATGACGGCGTCTACTATGTCTTCTATACAGATTCCCCTCAGCCTATACAGATGCACATCCCTACCCCTACACCCTCAACTATGGAGCAGCACTCGACAGTGGCATAGAGCATTATCGCTAACCCCATTTTTGCTTTGATGAGAAAGCAGTTCTCACAGCGGGTGACAAATCCATCATCAGCTGAATAATAAACCCAAACAAATAAGCAACCTAATGCGTTGTTCTTCAACTGGATGCAGGGGGGATGTGGCGGTGGTATTTGAGGCGTTTGCCACAGTTACCTACTTTCGTTGGCCACAGAATGCTAAGCTCCGCACGGAGCCAAGCCAAGGAAACACAGGCAACAGGTGACCAAATCGCTGCTACGTGACATTGTCACACAATTTACCCAAGATTCGTTTTGGCCTTGACTAAAAGAGATTTCATTTGTCGGGATTTAGTGCTCTGTTTATTGAGTGTAAGAGGAATTACGAGCATGTTCCAAGGAATATATATATATATTTACACACTTATACATACATCCGAGAACCAGCCAATTTTTGCATATTTCATTTGGAAAGAATGATTGGTTTTACACTGTAAACAGAGTATGCAAGAGTGCTGGCAATTTTGTGCTTGCTGAGGGCAACTTTCTAAAGGTACTTGTGTAAGTACTGCGTACTATGCATGAGTCAAGTTGCAAAACGATTACGCCAAGTGCGTACTATTTATAGGAGCTTGTGTCCTCAACTGCTGCTGCTCTAGCTGCTACTGCTCTCCATGACAGTCTATTCCCATCAGTGGCAGCAACAGAAGAGACAGCAGCAGCTGATGGAAAAATGCTGAATGCATAAGTGCGATGCGTGCCAACAACGTGCGAGTCTCAGGTTCGGCATCAGGCTCGACTGGCAGCCAAGCATTGCAAAATGCCACTAATGAGCGAAAATTGCCTGCAATTCGCTAAGGATTTTCATTTTCCTCTCTTGTAGACAAGAGATTAACAACTTAAGTTGATTAACTAAGCATGCACAAGAGAATGGACTGGGTGCCTGATTGAAAAGAACGTTGGTAATGAAAGAGCTTAAAGCTGACATGCTTGGTATAGCAAACAATCAATAATAGTTGTAATGGACATTAAAAATATGCAGCGAAATTTAAATACATTTAAATACATTAATATATCTGAGCTGAAAAATCTAAAATATGTGTCTGAAATATACATGACTAGAGACTTAATGGGCAGAGTAAGAGATTGCTAAGCAACAAATATGGAAGTTTACTTTATGATTCTTAACATACAGACAGACACTATGGAATACACATATGGGATAGAAAAAATAAACTTCAAAAAGTTATTTGCTGGTATGTTAAAAATAAGCATTAAGGCCTTTAAAGGTAACCTTTCAGCTCATAGTCAATACTGATTGATTTGTAGCTGTTTTACATAGGTTTCAGCAAAAATACGTATTTATGTTGATGGTAGCTTTAAATATATGTTTGCATAAAAACAAACTCGCTGTGCATTTAGATAGAGTCAACAGTTGATGCTGTCCATTTAATTGTGTATATTCTCTATTCCTATGATGTGGAAATAGTTCATTATTTAGTACTTATTGCGTAAAATAATTCTTTGTGAACTTATCGTAGTAGAATTAATCTAAATATTCTTCTAAATTGCCCGAAGAGGCAATCTTTTAATAAGCTCTTAACGATAACTTAGATTGAAGGAAAGGGCACCAGCCACATCCTACACCTGATGCCTACTTTTATTTTGGGTAAATTGAAATAATTGATACACCATTGTTGACCCGCTCACGTGATTTATACCCAACAATAAAATAAATAAAAAAAACACCATCTGACTTGAGCAGCTTCCTTATTTACTTTCCGTTGCCCGTACAGAATAGAAGCTAACACGTAGTCAGGGCATATTTCACGTGAGCCAAGCAACAGCTCCGCACGTCAGTGTCGAGTTAAGGAGGGAACCATAAACGCCCAAGTTTTCTCGAACTTGTTGCAAGTGGCCTAAAAGGTGGGGCCTTCGCAGAAGGAAGGAAGTGAGTATGACGTGCAAGGGTCACGTTCACAATCCACGCAGCAAGGAGCAGAAGCAGCAACAGTCAAACTCAAAAGTGCAACATCGTTTTAGGTTTTTTTGTGTTTGCCATTAAACAATGGCCGACACAGGACAGGGGAAGCAACAATCACGTTGAAGCATGCCAACAGGTAGTCCTTCCCAAGTACGTAAAATGAAGAGAGGAAACTTTGAGAGTACAGCAAGTGGAACAGCAGCCGCTCACGTTGTGGCTGCCACAAGAGCTATTCAGGCACTGTTGCCGAAAACTATATGGCAGCTAGCTGTGGCCAGCAGCGAGGCACGAAGCACGAAGCACGAACCACGAAGTGTGTCCTCGTCGGGTAGGATAAGCGGGTGATGCGAGGCCCGAAGGTTAAGCGCGAAGCTCGGCGACATTGAGTGCAACTATAAAAGTGGCACAAACGACGCCTGCAACACCAGTCTAAGCCAAGCAGTCGTGACAACAAGTGCATCGAACAAGGACTAAACGGAAAGTGAAAACTACAAATTGATAATTGAAAATTGAAACTTGAACAAAAAATTCAAATCAATTACTATTAAACGTGAGAATGGATACGCTAACACCTAAAAATTGCTCGAACGTGAGCTCCAACTCCAACTCGAGTGGCAGCAGTGCCAATAGTTCGTCCATGAATCTCGGCGATAAGCAGTCGAAGCAGGCGAAGCGCAGTCAGCGTGACCAGAAACTCTCCAGATCGCGTAGTTTGCTGCAATTACTCAGCAAGCATCTGGGCAGGCATTTCCAACACCATCATCATCACCAGAATGATACGGTGTACAGCAGCCAGGATGATATACACAGCTCCTCGACGGACTCATTCAGTCTGAGCGGCTCGCGGAATGAGTGCTTGGAGGTGATGAACGTTGGTTCCAGTCTCGATATGGAGAACACTTCGGGCTCATCCTCTGACTCCTATTCGCCTGGCCTGGAATTCTATGATAACAATGCGCACATCTATGTGGAGACCGTCTACAGACCAAATAGCGCCATGGAGCATCTGCATCCACATCATTACGACGATGACGATGGCAGCAGCAACAGCAGCAACAGTTGCGTTGGCGATGAGGAGGAGCATGTGGATGAGAATGAGAATCGGGAGAACAACAATAAGCCAGAGCCACGTTCGACATCCGCGGCCTCGACAGGCAGAGCCAACAACAAGGGTGGACTACATTTGAGTCGCATCTCCATTTCGTCATCGGTGAGCCGCATGTTCCAACACTTCTCCACATCGGCTGCGACAACGGCAACGGCCTCGTTGCGTTCCTTATCCTGCAGCAGCACTCCACTCCGCCAGCTGAGGGTGAAGAAGTCACTCACGCCGCATAACAGCAACAGCAGCAGCAACAGCAGCAACAGCAGCCAAAGCAGCCACAGCGGCAACAGCTCAACAACCAAGTCAACCAAAAAGGATAAAAAACAGCAGAGCATATTGCGGCCTCCAGTGCACTATGTTCACATGAAGGGCATGTCCGGCCTATACTCGCGGGTGCCAAGCTATGCGGTATGCTGCCCCTACACCCTGCACCACATGTATTAGGATGGTATGAGGATGAGCGAGCGAAAGTCATCATTGGCGAGGACATTGCCCAAGACAATGAGCAGACGACAGACGACAGAAGGCGAGGGCAGCGGCAGCGGGTGAAGGCCAATGCCAAAAGTACGGGGTGGGTGGGTAGTTTATAGTGAAAAGTGATGTAGTGCCTAAAGAAAAAACAACTGAAAACTGAAACAACAGAAAAGCTAAACAAAAACCAACAAAAAAAACACGGCTAGACAAGCGATTGGCAAATGCAGCGCAGCAGCGAAAACATATTTTATAAATGTGTGTATTAGCCCAAAAAAATATAGAAGAAAAATAAAAGAAGAACAACAATTTCCATGTATTCCAAGTATTAACCATTTGTGTGCTTTGCATACCTATATCAATATAGGGACTTTCAGTTTACACCGTAGCAGATATTTAGTTGATAGCTTTTAAGTAAGCCCCTTCCCCTCTGCACACATATCTTTCCCCAAACAAATAGGTAGTTTTAAAAGTTTGACACAATATTTTTGGAGCTAGGCTCGTTAAAAAACAAAAAATCAAAAAAAAACAAAAAAAAAAATGACAATTCGAAATGTTTGTTATTTCTATACTTTGCACTTATTTCGATGGGCACCTTTGACTAGACAAAATTACGAATTTACCAATACGAAAATCAAAGAAAATTCCAAATTGTACAAAATCAAAAATAATTATATATTATACTTGAAAATAATTCACACTTTATGTCGCCAAAAATGTTTACTTATTTAATCCAATATCAAAACAGAAGACAAATGTATTTCAACACACTTTTTTATCTATTCAAAAAACACACAGACGCAAATAACAAAGAGTATAGAAAAATGCTTAGCATTTAAGTAAATACCCTATATATAAATATATACATATATATATTTTTAGAGCATATAATGTTAAGTATCAGTCTAGCTGTCAATAAATAAAAAATCCCAATCTAAAATACAAAACTTCTCTGTTTTTATTATTTGAAATGGAATCAAACACAACGGCCTCTACAGCTTTGAAAATAAAGCTCTGATTAACAGAGAACCCTTTGGGAGCATCGTAAAAGCTTTTCAAGCCGAAGGCTGGCATCGTGTTGGCAGGAGATGCGCCTGCGCCTTGCCACAGGAGGCGTGTGCTGTGGGTGCTACCGTCGACTGTTCCCTGGGAACAGTTTTGGTGTCGCCTTGTGCGCCGACTGATGATGTAGGTAAAGTCCTCAATTGCATGTTGGTGAAGGACTCGACCTTATAGTTTTGACATACGGTATCATGTCTGCATTACGACCGAATAGCACTAAGAACGACGATGACGTTAATCGGTTGTTCTTGCATGCTGGTGTTGTTGCATGGTGCTGTTGCACGGTGTAAGTGGTCGCAAATCCGCTGAATGTAAATGCAAACGATTACAATTGTGATGAAACCCAAACTAATCCCAGTGACCTCTTGATGCTTTGATCCTTGAAAACACCTTGGCTGCTTCCGATGCAAATATAGGTTGAGGTGCTTTGGGTATTATATGAATAAATGCATCGTTATATTGACGATTCTGAACATATGGCAAATCAAGTATTTACAACCTTCTATGGCTATTAAACATACCCAAAAAAAAAATACCTAAGCACAAATTATTAATGTTTAATAAAACTAATAGGTTCCATATTACGATCGTAAAAATTAATATCTTCAGTAATTGAGTGATTATTAACACAATTTCAATGTAGTTATACCAATTAACCAATCTAATAAGCACAAGCTTAGTTGGCCAGAAAAGCAAGACTATATATTTACACCCTTAATCCATTAAAACGGGGAAGAAGGCTATAAGGGTATAAGGGTATTGATTTAAAATATAACTAAAATATATTTGCATATTGAATAAACAATCAGCCTAAGCCTAGTAAGCCTCAAATATTATGGAGCTACTTATATCGCTATAGATATAGATAAATCTACAAGCGTAAGTAAAACCTGATAGAGAATATTGATAATGCGAAGTATAAAAGCTCTATCCTACAATAAACTGGTTCATTTTCCAAGAAATATAAAATAATTGCTTAAGTAACCTCAAAATTTGTAATCAATTTCTCGTCAAATTTGTAAGCAATTAATGAATTTTCAATGTAAAGATAGTTTCTAAGAGTGATTTCATGGCGAATTCCGTGTTAATCTGAAATGAGAACAAAAGCAACACAAGGTTCTTATTGATTCGGTTGTAGTTGCAATTCGAGCAGTTTAGTAATGATAGTCTGGCAATATTCTTAGAGCTTTGGTCTCGTAATTCAGAAATCCGTTAATGGGCTGACGTCAAGGGGCAGGAATTACGCCTTTAATTAGTAGATAAACAACACGACAGGAGCAATCATCGCTAGCATCTGCAACACTATATAGCCAGGCCACGCCTCCTACTCACACACCCATCATTACACCTCACGCCATTAAAACAACGGACTTCATTAAATCACCATAGACAAAGCATTAAAAAGCCACCCAGCTCCCATGATTCCGCCTCAGGATCTTGGTGAGGCGTAAAATTGGCAGTCAGTTTTATTTATAGCGCATTAAAATCAATTTTGTGCGTAATTAAATAAAATGACAACAAGAACAACCAACAAACAAGACGACAATGGCTTACATCTATTTTTGCTGGCCTTAATTGCGGCTTATGAATTTTCGTTGCGACATCGCTGTAAATCTCATAAAACTTTGGAGTGGGTGAAAATTATGTATGGGTTTGGCACACCTGAGTGATGAAGATATACCCCAAGATATATATATATATAAGTACATACATGTTCTAATAAAAGCACTTAAAAGTTCGAAAATAGTTGCAATGCTTCTATTTTTAGCTCACTGCCAGCTAAACAAAGGCAAATTGAGACTAATCGATGAGTAATCGGCTCGGAATTGCAATTGCGCTCTAGAACAATTAAGTTGCAGTCGTAGAAGCAGCAACAGCCGTAAGGAGGAGGAAAAGTAAATATTGATGGCCAGCAAAAAGGAGGAATGTAAACAAAACATGCCACTGCAAATACGAAACAGGTAAACAAAAAAGTGCCACAAATTCATATTCTGTTCATGTGGCTCTGTTATTGGCTATCAGTGCCAAAAAAAAACAGTAGGAGTAGTCTAGTTGAGAAGGCGTCGACTAGGTGATACGCTCTAAACAAGAAAGTTTTTATTCGATTTTGTTTTATGAATTATTAATTTAAATTTCAATCAAAACATAATTCAGAGTATTCGACTCACCGGCAGCAGCAACAACTCAATAAGCAAACTATAATTGATTATTTATATGCTTTTATGTTTATTGTTATATGTTATGTTTATAAATGTTCAACCTTTTGGCTTACCCACTTTGAGCTCAAATTTAAATCACACTTTAATAATACCCTCTTTATACACAAGGTGTTCAGGGTATAAAAACACATTGCAAAAACGTAGTAACTACTGCTGGAGCAGAAGGGAAGAGCGGAAGGGAGGTAGGCTTAGAGTGTCAAAGAGAGTGACTCTCGCTGTTTGCCGCTTTGCAGCGCTGGCTGCTCGCAGCCGGGCGAGTCTATAAAAGGAAGCGGCATTCGAATTGCCGACTCAAACGCGAAAGGACAACGCCAAAGTGTACACACGAAGCGAACAAAGCCAAAAAGCCGACAACTACAACTGAAAACAAAGTGATTGTGTGTGAGTGTGTGTGTTAAAGACAAAGGCCGGCAACAACAAAGAGAGAGAGAGAGAGAAAGAGTGGTAAAGCGGAACTGCAGCTATAACAATTTTGCGAACAGACAGGAAGTGCTTTGGGTTAAAATGGGTTCGCCACACGTCTGCTTTGCAGACGAACTGCAGCAGCAGGAGCACAACAACAATGCACCGGGCAACAATACCAAAAGATGGCTACTGGAATTGGAGCCCAGTGCTAGCCATGGCGGTCACTCGCCTTGCAGCAGCAGCATGAGCATTTCACCAACTCCACGATATGAGCGCAACATGGGCTTCTTTCAGCTACTAAGTCGCCGCTTTGGTCTCAGGTCAAACGATGACCTAGTTCAGGATGCAGCTGCACAGGAAGAGGATGCGCACAGTTCATCGACCGATTCGTATTCATCAATGGGGCGTGGACTAGCAGCAGCCACTACACGGCTAGAGCAGATGTCCTGCGCATCCAGTGAGACCAGCAGCACCATAGACATTGAGGAGCAGCAATTGGAGCAGCATCAGCAGCAGCAGCAGCAACAACGCAAACTGAGCCGCACGAGCTTCTCACGATTGCAACGCCGGTCGACGTCCTCATTGCGTCGAGCCTTCGAGAGTCTCTCGCTCACATCACGCTCACTGTCGTGTAGCGGCCCCTCGCCACCACCCCCACCACCGCCACCCCCCGCTGCAGCAGCATTGCCTCTGAAATCGGCTCTGAAATCGGCATCGACCGTTGAGCTGCACCATCAGCAACGTCAACACAGATTGGCCTCCAAGTCTGCCAGCAGCTCAAGCGCCTGCTCCACCTCGTCCTCATCCTCATCGTCGACAGCGTCGAAGAGCAAAGTGAAGCCGCCACCCCAGCGCATCCTGCGTCAGCCCGTCTCCTATACATATCTGAAAGGTATGTCTGGATTGCCGACGCAGCGAGTTCCACGAAGCTCCGTTTGCTGTCAATATGCCAGGCGCTAGGCAGGACTTACGGTTTACATTCATAGTTAATCATTTACTTAACAGTTCACAGTAGACAAATTATATACACAAAGTAGTTCCAATTCTTAGTGCCAAATTTCATTGCCCATAATCATTTCGAGATCTGTGATACAATAATCTTTTCATATCCAAAAAAAAAAAAATATAACAAAAATAACATCGCAGCGCAACAAAAAACAAGAATTCATCTCATCAATGGGAAACATAACCAAATTGTTTTTGCAAGTTTCCAAGACTTAAGCACTCGTAGAAATAAATATAAAATTCCAACACAGCTCTTTTAGTTCAACATCCATAACAAAAGACTGTCAAAGCAAGGAGTTGAAAAGTTAGTTGAATAACGATTATTAATCGCATTTTGTATAAATTGGTAATTCTTTGTAATTAAGTACGCTCAAGTACTTTTATAATATGATTGTACATTCGTGCCTTTATCCCAGGTGTAGATCAAAATTAAAAAAAAAAACCAAAGCCAGAAAAATAAAAATAAAATTCAAAATTTTAAAAATTTATTCTAGTATAAAATTAACTTATAGTTACTTATGACACTCGTCTTATATACGTACTTAATTAGTTGCTGTAAAGGGATCAAAAAATGTTGTCAGGCAGTTAAATTTAAGTACTCTTAAACTATGTTTACTATGCGTACAGTCCTTAAGCTTAAGTTTCTAATTTTCTTTCGGTAGTAAAGATTTTGAATAATATTCGTACAGCACTCCATACGTAGGGCTTCACGTAGTTATACATATATACTAGACCGATATATATATATACATATATATATATATATATACATAAATGAGATACAACTAACCAAAATGTTGAAATTCAAAACTGATTATATTAAAATGCAAATAGTTATATATCAGACAGATATATACCCTATACATATGCAACACACACACTTACCGAAATTGTACTTATAAAGAACAACAATCTGATTACTAACTATATATGATTAAATATACATATAGCGAGCATACAATACATAAAGCCAATAAAAAATAAATAAAAATGAAAAATGCATAAGCAATACAGTTATATACAGCCGATTATAAAGACATATACATTTAATTATAAGTTAACTATTTACCTTTAAATAAAAGCAGCTAAACTGAATATTTAATTCACACAGCATGTTCAATAAATGAATAAAAGAAATAATTTACACCAAACCTCAAGAATTTTTATACTTCGATTCGCACAAAACTTTCGCCATAAAAATCTATTTTTATTGCGTTATTGCGTAAATGGAACTTTTTGCAGAAAACAATAATCAGTTGGCATAATCGTAAGTGACCCAGTTCGAAATGCTCTCGAAGTTGCCAAAAATAGCCGTTACAATGAATCAGGGCTAATTACATCCATTCGGCCAGAAACCATTTTGAGTCACACACATTGTGTATACGCCTCGTGCCTCGACTAAACTCAATCGACGTGTGATTATATGTTGCTTATTGACGCCATCACTGGATAGGCAGAGTGTGAAGTGTGTGGGGGATGGGGGTGCGTGGGTGTGAGCAGGCATAAAAAGTAGGTCAACGATTGAAAAACCCATCAATTTTTCATGTATTACTGATGGATATCGTTGCCAAGCAAACGCCATAAAATGTTTATGGAAATTTATGTGCGAAATACGATTCCCCTGTTGAATTTATAACAAGACCAGGCGTTGACTTAGTCTAGCCCATTGTGGTGGGTGGGCCTACTTGTTGTTCTTTGACTATCATCACTTGATTAACATTATTCCAATTGAATTGGCAGACGAACTGGCATGGAAATAATTATCTAAAAAGTCGTATTTTATGTTCAACTTTAAGTGTTTAAATTCAAAACTAACTCGAACAGACTGCTTTTAAAATGAATACAGCCTTTCTCTGTTCAGTGACGCTTGATTAATGGCACCTGCTTCCCTTTTTGTTGAATTTGCAATTTAGAATAGACTGCGTCTCAACATTTCTTGATGTCAGTCAACTTTGATATGTATATCAGCAGAATATAAGTATTGGCATCGACAATCACATTTTGTAGGCATCATTTATCAAAATTCTCTCTTGACTGCACTCATTTATATTGATATACAGTCTGATTGTTATTGTTGTCAATGCTTCAACAAATAATGCAAAGTAATAGCCCTTTCGATAGCAGATGAAAGAGACACAAACTGCATAAGCTAGAATCTCGCATGTGTTAACAAAATCATATTACGTATACGCCGCATGGGCAGCAATTGATAGCCAATAACTTTAGCACTCGTAAGACAACAAATTAGCGAGTCAGACAGGCAATCAAAACCATTTTCAGATGCTGCTAATAGACCATCAAGTCACGCATCACCAAAACACGCTCGCCAGTTGTTACTGTTATTTGATGAAATACGTCAAAAGGAGAGGCCAGAAATCAGGAGTGTAGCCAACAGATGCCTTGGGGGGCGTGTCAGTTTTTGCGATGTGTGGTTGCCTAAAAATACGTATGCAGTGACCTAAATATTTCCGTTGACAAACTGACAGACGACAAATGTGCGAAACGTACAAACGTACACTCAACTTGTCGTATTTGTGATTCACTGTTGCGCATAAGAAACAAGAAACGTTGACTTGCAAATAACAATCGTGTATAACATTTTGCCGGAGGAGGCGACCGCAGTCACGTAGTCTCGCGCCCAGGGGCAGCTCAAGTCGCCCGACTCTTAAGCCCTCACCAGCATATACTATCAAGGAGCTATCCTTTTAACTTTTATTGTTGCCTTTTAATTTCTGTTTATTTTTGGGTGTATCCATCGCTTGTCCGACTGCCAATATTTAATTAAGTTTCTCCTCTTTTTTTTGTAGCTCATCTATTTTTGGAATTTCGCCATTTGTGTTTACTCGGCGCCCGCTTGACAGTAAATTTAGCTAAAGACTCAACTCGATTCGCCCTCGCATAGAGTGGCGACTGAAACTGAACCGGGCCAATATTGGACTACTGCATATTATGTGTGCCAACATTCTGAATAACACCGGGGCGTATACTTCCGCATAAATAGTCAGCATCAGCATCGAAAGACCTCTCGAGACCCTCAGCGAAAGCATTTTTCTATTCTATGCTCTCCCCTAATTTGTCCCACGCGCAATAGAAACGTTATTTGGTGTTGTACAACCCAACAAACATACCAAACAATAATTAATCTTCTTTGGCTCATAACCACCAGCACACACACACAATCGCACACCCACAAGCCAAAAGGCAAACAGCTCCAAAGAGGGAAAAAACAATAAGGAAAATTCAACTTCCGGTTGCCGAATAAATAATGCCTTTTGCCTACCAATATGCCCTGGTTATTAGCTTTTTATACAGTCAACTGTGCTCAAGTGAATGCTTGTCAAGCTTGTTAAATTAAAAAACAGTTCGAATGAGCTCAGTCGAGATACCTCGACTAGAAGATACTTCGAACCCAGCTGTTGAATATATTAATTATAGTTAATAGCTTTTAGTTTTATTTCCAATTTTTGGTATTAAGTCACCTGGTAATAAATACAAAGTTACAGTTCATCAATAACATATATTTATATGTCAAATTTAAAGATTCTAGCTCGTCAAGCAGCTAAGATCGACTTGCAGATGCACAAGCGGACATGGCTCGATCAAGTCGGCTCTCTATTTAATGTAGTCGCACATACTTCTTACTGCCTGCTGCGTAATTTCGCATATTATTCATTATACCCTGCTTAACCACTTTTAATGGGTTCAGTGTACGAAAAAGCCTTCGTCAAGGCGTTGCGCGTTTGTTGACTTAATCATAATGCCCCCCAGGAGTAAAAAGGCGTGAGAAATTCTTGTTGCTTTCGTTGATGACTTCTCACTGCCATAATTCCGGTTTCAATTTGAATGTCAAATATACTACGCATATGCTAAACACATGTGTTCTTATGCTTACTTTGGCTAAGAGCTGCTCTTTCTTTCTCTTTCTCCCTCTCTATCTGCCTCTCTATTGCACTCACTGCTGCGTCAACATTTGTGTCAATATTTACCAAAATATTGTTTACCTTTATCTTTTTTTTGTGGCTCCTGTTTGTTGGAGCATATTTTTTTATGAAGCCCTCTCTTATGCTTGTTATCTTTACGGCAGTTTCCGCTGCTTTTAATGGCTCTTGGCTGTAATTTCATTTTGAAAATATAGCTGCACACGGGCTGAGGAGAAAACAGCACAAGGCATTTAATGAATATTTAAAGTGTTTTTGTTGTTGTTCACGCTGCCGTTGTTTGAACCTTTTGCTATTTTTAGCTGTCACACGAGCATCAAATCTACGCTTATTGCCTCAAATTGAAAGCACTTCAAGCCACGCGACGCAGAGAACACAAGTTAGATATATTGGATATATATGTATATAAGTTACGTATACGCCCCAGACATGCGACGCAAACAAGATTTGCCAACCTGCATGCTAATTCACACTTTGACCCAAATACCAGACAAAAGCTCTTCACAAGATCTGTGTTTGTGGCTACACTTGATGAATAAGGACCTGGCCCTCTTAGGACCCATTCAGGCAGTGACATGAACCAAGCAAATAATAAATTATTTCAGTGTTACTTGCAACTCACTGCTTCCCTGTTCCCCAGTCCTGGTCGAGCTCATAAAATATGCACGATGTGTCGGTAATTGAAGTCAATGCCTAAACAAAATGTCTACATTTAGGCCAAGATATATATTGTGCAGGCAGCACACAGCAGCTAACATAATATGCACAACAATGGCCAATACCCAAGAGATTTTATGCTGTGGTTAAGTAAGAATTGGGAATGCTTTCTATATTTCAATCTGTCCTGCTCTCATTTTCACTTTGATTTTAATTAAATTAACCAAAATTGACCCTTTATTTGTGACGAATTTCCATTTCACACAAGCGACTGTTAAAAGTATAAATAGAAACATGAGTGTTTTGTAGTTTCCTTCAATACTTATCAAACTAAAGGTATTAAGATGCCACTTAGAAAACAAGCAGGAAGAAGGAAGTATTTTTGAACTCATAAGGGAATACTACACTCAGAAAAAAATCACATTACATCTTAGATACTCTCCCTATTTTTGTCCCCAAGAGT